CCCCCGTCCTCCTCATTTTTCCAGCCTCACTGTCTTGGAATCAACGCACAACCTCTGTCCCTTCCCCAAACCCCCCCCCCCTATTTCCGCCCTTTTTTTATCGCCTCTTATTGGTCTTGCGGCGAGCCGGCTGGCTGGTTTATCTTAGCCAACCAAGCTGATTAATCCAATCTTTGTGGTTGGCTTTTTATTAGGTGTATTAGAGCCTGCACAGAAATGACTCATTTTTCGGGATAATGAATTACTCGTCGCGGGGGTGGGTTCTCGAACTGATAAGGGCAGGTTCGAAATCGGTTATGACTCTTTTTGTGCGGATTTCGTTAACGATTATCGAAACAATATTACGATCCCCGTTGAAACGCCGCAACCCAATCAAAATCCAATTTTGCATGTCGCTTTCTGGGTGAACGCAACCTATGCGGGTGGAGTGGAGAAGAGAGCGCTAGCTTCTGTGTTTGCCGGGTGTGCCCGGGACCCATTCAGCCGTCAGCCCATCGTGCACAATATTGTATGGGGGGTTTGAGGGGGGTTGTTTGGTGTGTAGACAATACCCATCCCATCACAGTCACCCGAGAACCAATTGCCACTCGGCCAAACAGCTTCACAACCTTCCGGCGCATCAGCTGCAGGAAATGTTCGGTTTTTGCTGGCATGTCCATCAACCATTATTTTGTATTAGTTTTTTGCAGCTACGGCTTTGTATCTCCAGATTTAGCTTTTCTCCAGCTGTCATGTCTTTCCATTTTGTCATTTCTCATTAGCACAGAAATCTCTAATAACATAGTACTAGGTGTGAGTTGTAATAAATCTAGCTATTTTTTGTGCCAAAATTATCTAAAAACTTCGAAAATTTGAAATTTGAAATTTGGGTCCCAGAACCACGTTTTGTGCATTTTAGACAAAAATTGTCATGTTTTTGCATTCTAATATGGTAAACATTTTAGAAACACGTCTTCTATTGATATTAAAAAAATCGACCCTAAGCATGCATATCTATTTTGGGCTAACAACCTTGACCCCTCTGCAAAACAGCTATAAAAATTTTTAAGACGGCACAATCTTACCTGCCTGGTTTTACTACCCGCTGACTTATCACAATATATTTGTAGGTGTCAAAACGTCAGTTTCCCCCACTATATTATAGTTACAATGGCATTTTTTCACGTACGTTACCATAGAGCATAGCGCCGCTTCGAAAATTTTCCGCTTCCTCATTTCGCTTTCTGCGCAAATATTTCTTTCTTGGACGGATATCCGGGACTCCCATTGTGTGCGACACCTTCGGTTCCGTTCCTTCTTCAAAAAATATTGCCCCCCCCCCCCTCACAAACTCTTCGAGCGACTCCCCAGCCAGGCAAACAACTTTTTTGAACACTGTCGCAAGAGCCCTTAATTTTCGTTATGGAGAGCCGATTTTTTTTTGCGAACGCTGCTCAATCATCGGCCACTGGGACCCCGCGGGCCGAAAGTCCACTGCTTAGCAAAAAAGTGAACGCAGCTGCCTGTCGGGCCCCCAAACCACCCGCCGGGGGAAATTCCTTAGGAAGCTGAGAAAACGAGAGGTCAACGGAAAGATCGCACCGGTTGTTCGATTACTCAACAACCTACCCATAAATTTTCACCTAAATGTGTTCGTTAGACTCTAAAGAAATGCCGGCCTTTCAGCTGTATTTTTTGATGGTTAGGGCCCCATCCACACTTTGAACTTGCAATCCTGCCGGTCAACCCCACCGAAATCGCCGCCTCATGGGTGCGGGGGAAGCAATTTCCGACTTACTGTCGCTTCCCTGACTCTGTGATTTTTGTTCTACTCTTATATCGTTTTTTGGGGCACTCTTACGAACTCCTTTTTCCAGTGCCATGACGGCCGGCAGCGCCACGCAGCCGGGATTCAATCGGGTATTAGACAATTTGGCAAAGCGCCAGCTGCTACTGGATTTCCAGTTTGGTACCGCAAGGGAAAGGTATGTGCAAAACAAAATGACGGTATATTGTCTTGCAGATACGAGGCTATTCGTAATATCGGGGCTGGAGCTTTTGGAATTGTCTGCGAGGCGGTGGAGACCACTTCTGACACAAAGGTCCGTTCCTTGTCAAGACGAATCCCGGAAAAAGATCGGTTTCTCCCAAAACACTTAAAAGGCACGCTTTCCCCTGGTCAAACACCTTACGTAGCAAGAGCAAACAGGCCGGAAAGAAGGAATATCGTAAAAGCCATTAGAAAGGGCGGGGCGGCTGTAGGCTAGCTCGATTCGGAAAGTGCAAATGGGGAATAGAGAGCTGAATTTGGTCTAGGTCCAGGCGATGAGCAAAAGTTTATTTAGGTGGCGATCAAAAAGATCGGCCATGCATCAGCTACGCCGACGCTTGCAAGAAGGACGATGCGTGAAATCCGTGTATTGCGTTATATTCGACATGATAACATTGTTAGCTTGAAAGATATTTTCCGGACCCCTGGAAATTTAGGTAAGACTAGAAAATCAGTGTGTAAGGAAAAGTTGGATACATTTCGTGCATCATTACAGTATCCGTTCTAGGAATCAACGTTTATTTGGTGATGGATTTGATGGAAGGTTCGCTACATCATGTGATACATGGCGATACACAACAATTGGAGGATGACCTTGTTGCTCATTTCCTTTTCCAGCTACTACGAGGACTCCGGGTTTGCCTTATCAATTTCTTAAGGATTTATTCATATTTGCAGTACCTCCATTCGGCCGGTATCGCCCATCGAGACCTAAAGCCATCAAATCTACTCGTCAATTCAAATTGCCATTTGCGAATCGCCGATTTTGGCATGGCGAAACTCGCGATGCGGCATGAAGTGGATGAATCCGAGGAGCACTGCTTCTATATGACCCAACATGTTGCTACTTTGCCTTACAGGTTAGTGAAATCAAATTTCTAAAATGCGTGGTTTTTAATTCAGAGCCCCTGAACTCCTCTACGTAATGCCAGAGCATTCCACAGCCGTCGATATGTGGGCCGTTGGCTGTATCTTCGGTGAAATGCTGCTGCGGCGAGAGCTTTTCCCTGGCCGAAGCGTCAGTGGACAAATCAAGATTATCTTGACGATGCTGGGCTCGCCTTCTGAAAGGGTAGGGGTTCAATTGGAAGTCAATAAACCCCGAATGAGATTTCAGCTTATGAATGAGATTCGCTGCGAAAGGACGAAACGGCTGATCGAAAGCACGGGTGAGCAGACGGGAAGGCCATGGAATGAGATCTGCTGCACCCGCGAAAGAGACGTGAGTTTCCACCAATAACCTCAAAAATGACCAATGTTCAGATTACACAACAAATTTTGGATTTATTATCCAAACTTTGCGTGGTTGATGCTGATGAGCGCCTGGACGTCGAAGAAGCTATTAGGCATCCGTTTATCGCCGAATACTTTCCGAATATCGTCGCTGAAAGGAGCTGTCCCTTCAAGGTAAGTCGGTTTACAGTAGATTCTCTATAATACAATTTTCAATTTTCTACATATTCATGACTATAACGTTTTTCTTATTTTTGATGTATATTTTAGGTAAAAATGGACATGGCTGCCGTCGAGCATCTTTCCCATACAGAGCTAGCCGAGGTTCTAATGAAAGATATTCGAAATGCAGAAGATACAGGTACTTTGCGTTCTCCTACCCTGAACATTTCCTTTTTTAGCTGAAACCCAAACCGTATTCAGCGGTGGATCTGATGGACAGAAAGATTCCAACGAATGTTCCTTGGAAGAATCCGAAGAATCTGACACCCCCGAACTTGAAAGAACTATTGTCGCTTAACCACTTTTATGTGAACATTGAAAAATATGACGTGTATACACCTGCCCTGTTCATATATCCGGTAGTTTGGCTATCCCCCCGAACATTCCAGATTTTGCAGTTACTGCTCAATTTCCATCCCTTTTTACCCCCGATCCTATCCACCAATCGATTCATTCATATTAGTCAGCTCAGGTTCATAGACAGACCAATTCACTGGTTTCTTCCTCCCTACTTCTTCTATCACCCAAAATATCATCTCCCGCGCATAATCCCACCCCTCCTAAATTATAGTACGAATTGTTCCTGAAGCATAATTTTCCCGCTCGACGTCGACTGCCAAAGCAAAATGCATTTCAAATGACGTTCGATGAGATGTATGCCAAAATAAATACTATGAGATTTTTTTAACCCACGCACTGGATACATATAAGCAAACAGCATTGCTAAAGTTAGGAAAAAAAACAATTTTCCAAAAAGCAAGCGATAACTAACTACGTTCTCTACAAAAACAATCGAGAAAATGCACCCTCACCTTCCTTACTTTTGTAACCGGTCCCACTGAAAAAAACCTCTAGTATTACACAATCAAATGAGGCGCATTGGAAAGTTACATTTTTGTGAAAGCCGGAAGTTAAAGTTTTGATTCCGTTTGGATTTCCATCGCATATCAATATCTTCCTGAAAACTTGCCACATTTATCACCATAACCTCAGTTTTCACAAAACAAAATAAAAAACAAGTACAGCTGTTGATCAAGAATTTTCTTTGATCAAAAAATTAGAAATACCTATCTACGGGGCTTTGAAAGATTTTTTCTAAATCAACACAATTCTACTTTCAAGCTCCTTGTATTCATTTCCCTGCGCTCCGCCTGCTTGATATTATGCACTACGTGTCGATCTTGCTCCGGCCTGCTAGAAATTCGGTAGCACTACAGTCTTTTTCTCTCTATAGTATTTTGTTGACTTTTTTTTGTGTCAAAAAAATAGTCTTGCGTTTGCAGACCTGTTCGACAACTCGATCGGTCCTTATAAACCCCTCATCATTCTCTAGCGGAATGATATCTTTGCTTTATAATTATATTTAGAAAAGAGTTAATCTTCTACGAAGAATCGTTGATAAGGAACTCCCTACAACTTATTTCATCTAACCATTTGATTTGAACTTGAGGTGACTTCTTCGGTTTTCTCCTTTATTATTTTCTCACGGCTTATTTTTTGCTATTTGATTCAGCCGATGCTCAGGCTCCGCGCGCTCCGCCCTGTAGAGCGGGTAAAGCGCGAGTGGCCGTTTCCGGTCATCAACGATGTTTATCCCGGGTGCTGCCTGCAGGCTCTGCCCATCAACTACCCAGTAAGAATTTTCTGGTATCTGGGCCTGCTTAGCCAAGGAAAACTGAGGGCTATTTTCTTTAAATCACTCGTGGAAGTGATAATGGTTAATAAAATCGATGATAAAATCTATATCATGGACGTTCCCAAACTCACCTGTGATAATATATGTGCTCTTTAATAAATAATATTACTTTTTGAAGAGCACAGTTACAGTCAAACAGAACGGCAACATTTGGTAAGAACACAAACGTAGCGTTGGGAACGAATTTCGAATACACGCCTAGCGCTATCGCTATACCTCGCCGGGCAATTAACAAAGGTCGAACATTTCGGAAGTTTGTAATAAAGCACATAACTATTAGTATTTGAACCCTAAAATAACTATTTTAGGCTGGGAAGTACTCTTATAATGTATATAACCAAATATGGTTTATTAAGACATAGTTTAACTTAGTGACTATTATTACACAAAGTTTACTTAGTAGATTTTACCGTCGGTCATTTGTTAATTGTCCCTTTCGGCCGATTGTTCGAAAACTAACTCACATAGCTCTGCATCCTATTACACTATCATATTGCCAGCTGCGGTACGCTCCGAACACGCGACGCCGCCTGAACCCATGAGCGTATCAAATGATCAGCGCGCCGAACAGCGCTTTTTTTTCTCTTTTGCACCGGCGCTGTCCTTTTACATAGCCTTTCTCGCATCAAATTTCAGAATTAAAAACGATTGGCGTGTTTTGCTTTAGTTTCTCTTGATTAAACCGTAAAGTTAGCTTTATTATATTGGTGTGGAACTCGTATCCCATGTTTTCCTTTAAGATTTGCTTTATTATATTATTTTAGTTCGAGGATATGCGACGTTCAAGGGCCAATCATCCGGCAGAGTTCTTTCAACCTGTTTCGTACCGCATCCGGGCTCCAAATCAGGCGGAAGGGTTCGTAACTTCCTTTTGCTAATAGTCTTTCTTTTTTTGCAGCCGTTTCTACGACCATATGCCAGCGAATGGGAGCGTTGAAGATTTCATTGATGTGGAGTCTACAAGTGCCGAAGATTTGTCCGGATCAGCATCCGCAGAAGTTCAGGAGGGCCGATACGAGGAAATTTCTGTTTTGGGCGTTCCTTGGTATTTTATGGAATCTTTCAATAATAGTTTTTAGGGGACAACGCGTACTGATGAGGCCAGTCTACGAGAAACGTCCGCGTGGGCGGCCAAAGAACGTGAAAATTTCCCTGAATCGTCCAATTCGCGTCGGAAGTCCGTACTATTTGGATGACAAGCCACGCTTACCGATTCAGCTAAAAGTATGTTTAATTTCCACTCTGCTGATGTGATGTTTAGACGGACGATTCTATCAAGAGCTACTCATTTGTCGAGAATGCTGGAGAATTCCGTCCAAGCCTTCCGGCACGTGTTCATTACTCCTCTGGACCATCTTATAGGTGAGTTCGGTTTTCTTCTTATTGCTTTTGGATTAAAGCTGCTCTAAATAATACTTTAGTCAAATCGTCTCCGGTGGCTACGAATCACCGCATCTTGAATATGATGAGGCTCAGCTTGAATCAGATATGCAATACCACGTGCATGACAACCAGGAAATTGACATCTATGGAGCGCCGATGGATGATTACGGACAAGATTGTGAGTTACTTGGTTACTTTTTTATGTGGTTATACACATTTGGATTCTTCGGAGCTTGTTTGTAGCTGAAATTAAATTAATATTTTCGCAATTTCAGTGGCCACGCATTCCGGCGTGGATTATGGTACCGAATACATCACTGGGGATGCTGTTAACCATCTGCCCGTTGTGGAAGATGTCGAGGTGAAGACGCTGCCCTTCGAGCCAACAAAGCCGCAACCGATCGGAAAGCCGCGTGTGAGAGTCGTCAAAATGGCCGGATACACCAAGTCAACGTTGCAATCGGTGAAGGATGGCGATGTCAGAGGTCGGATCTTTAAAATTTTCCTTGAAAACACGTTGAAGCTCGTTATATAGCACATTGAATTTTTAGAACTCTACTACGTCAATGGTTCCGGCAAGACGACGTTTGTTCGCGTTGGGGCCCCTCCTAAGCCAAACCCAATGACTCAACATGCCGAGGAGCTGCCGGTAGAGCAGGTATTTCATCAGGCGTTCATAATATGACTTTTTTAGCCGACAAAGGCGGGATATGCGGGGCCACCTCGTCGAACGATCCGGATTCTGAAAAGGCTGCCGAACGCACGTCCGTTACCGTATTGATTTACTGGGAGATCTTCAAATGTATCTAGTCAAATTTGAGTCTTCCTCCTAGCCGGCTTTATTTTGTCACTTTTCTATGTTGTATGCTTTCATGTCGTCTACTTCTGATTGTGAGTGTTTGATATCGGGTCTGAGGAATAAGTTTCCGACCCGTATCCATTTCCGATTGACGTTTTTGTAACAGAATTAACGGCAATGAAATTGTCAACTAGGAAAGTACAAAATGGCTTCAAAATCACTTACCCAACTAAAATTTCTCCGAATTTCCTCCCCACCTTTTAGCTGTCTGCCGGCTTAGGCCCTTTTTTGCATTCTGTTGGCAATTTTGTTTTTACTGGCTGACTGATTTCTGTAAGATTGACCGTACTTAACCACCCCCTGCGTTGTTGTTTGTGTTTGTATGAATAAACTAGCCTGGAAACACCGCAAAGACATCCGCAGAAAGTGCATAACCGTTTCCTGCAGCGATAGAAGTGCAAATATCAGAGACACTAATGTTTTTAACAATACTAGGGTACGCAATAGTTATCACGCTTGCTAGTTGTTGGTTCCCCGGGCCAAAATTATTCTCCGGTCTGAGAATCAACTGCATCCAAGCCTAACAATATTTTCGAAGCCTACGATCATCTCGCGGAAGCGGCAACAAGAAGCTGCAGAACCTTCCGTCGGCTTTCAATAGCCTTCCATAATTGCCCTCTCTACCAAAACCACGTTCTATATTTGGCCGTGGCCAAAGGGCGTTCACGGAAGTTCGTCACCTGCCATTTTCCAGCCAGCCGATTTCCGCCCTACCTGAAGTCCAGTGGACTCCCCAAATTGGGCGCACAGCTTGGGTCCTAAAGGCGCTAGAGGCGCTGCGTGACAACGCGTTGAATAGAATTGCGATGACGGGGAAGCGGTTATAAAAAGCTGCAGTGCCTTGGGTCAAACAATCAGCCAAGCGTTGTACTTTCATGGCGTTTCGAAGCCGCTTTATTCAGAGATGTTTTTTAAAAGTTTCAAGATGTTATTGAAAAAAATAGGCGTTTTCGTTAGAAGTTAGTCCGAGTACAATTCTTGTGAACGGTACAGTGGTTGAAGAACGAATTTTTCAATTTCTATCTCACTAATCCCATAAATTCCTGAGCATTTTCTTAGTTACAAAAACATTGGAACGATGTACAAGCAACAAAACAGAAACAAAGCCTCCTCAACTGCGCGAAACACGGCGATTGATTTTGGGGAAACACCCAGGATGGGATAGGAAAAGCTGTGAGAGTACCAGCTGAGTACTCGTTGCCAGTATCCGTGTTTTTTCATGCTCACCTCCTCCCGTAAAGGCGGGGGGCGTCGAAAATGCGTCAAAATCGCAATCACTCGATACTCGCCGAGTCGACCTTGACGGAAAGAGGGGAAAAGAAGGGGGGACTGAAGAGAATTATTTCTTCTATTTTTCTGGTATCCCTGGCTCGACAATAGAGATGGCATTGTGATCAGGGATGTCTCCCACGGATCGCCTCGGGCGGGCATTGTGTCTGCCAATGGCCAGCCAGACATATGAGACTTGAGCCCGAGACGCCCTTCATATCAAACGCTTCGGTGCTTCATCTTTACGTTTGTCCACTACGATCTTACGCCATACTTTTTTACGACTATCGTTTTCTGCAGATTTTATAAAGTTGATTTGCTCCAACAGGCCGGTGTTTTTTATCACCGAAGCTCACCGTAGCCCTTCCAAAGCGAATAACTTTTATTTTCACCCAAATTATGACCAATTTCCTAGCCCATTTTTTTTCTATTGATACTAAATAGCACAAAGGTGTTCCTCATAACTTTTCATATCCACTCCTTTCATTGCTCCCCTCAAAATCTTATTCACCACTTTCCCATTTGCCGACCCGGGTGTCATTTCTGTCATCAATTATTTTTGCCGCTTCTCTTGCACGGTTCCGCTTCTTAGCAAAAATGCCTCGTTTGCCGTTGGTGGTGGTCTGCATTTTGGCCCGGCTTACTTCCGCTTTCTTTAATGCCTCGGATGACGATTTGAATGATAAAGATTACAAAAGCTATGAGGGGTAAGGCAACTTTCCTTTCTTTTAACACTTTGATTTTAGATATCAAGTTCTTACATTTCTCCCTCAATCAAAAGGGGAACTAGACGTGATAAATAGCCTTGAGACGGTTCTAAATCAAGAGGTAAATATCAGTTTTTTTCTCTATGGGGGGGAGGGTTCTTTGTCAAAGGGTCAGGTTATGAATGGCCTTGATTCTGTTCGAGGCATTGGTTGTTGCCAGGAGTTATTTTTCATGACACGTGGGGTTCGATGGGATTATCGTGGATAGAGAGAAATCACGGAATTCGATGAAACGAAAAACAGCCAACCTTTTCAGCTAGACTTCTTCCGACATGCAGCAGTTCCGGGGAGGCGATCGGACGTTATCCTGCCCCCGGATCTTATATGGGATGCGAAGGAATATTTATTGCAGAATAATGTTGATTATAATGTTAGCAGTGAGTTAGTTTTAGGTTTAGGATATGTATCAAATCCAGTACCCAATCTACGAATTCCGATTGAACGACAACGACGAGCACTGAGAGCTCCCGTATCTGCTGCAAGACCACCAACTTTTAACACATTCAATTTGAATACCTACCACACTTACAGCGAGGTAGGACTCTCTCTCTCTCTCTCTCTCTCTCTCTCTCTCTCTCTCTCTCTCTCTCTCTCTCAAACCAATTTTCCTCTTTTAGCAAATGCAATTCCTGTCTATGGCCGCCATTTCTAACCCGTCCCTCGTTCGTTTATTCACGATTGGGCGCTCATTCCAGAACCGGAATGTTCTCGGAGTTACGGTAGAGAGTGCAGCTTTCTAAAAACGTCCCCACATCATTTTTTCAGCTTGGGACCAAACGGCCGAATAAGCCGATTCTTTTTGTGGATGGCGGCATCCATGCCCGGGAGTGGATTTCACCTGCGGTCGCCCTGTTCTTCATTCGAGAGGTATCGCCGAAAGAAATTTTGTGCTTTCAGCGCAGGTGGTATTGTTATAGTTTCTGAAGCCGCAGTATCGAACGTTGTTGAACTCGATTGACATCATGATTGTACCGAACGTGAACCCGGATGGGTATGAGTGGTCGAGGACGAGGGATAGGTTGTGGAGGAAGACCAGGCAAGGGGATAATTTCTAAATTGAATTTTTCACATTCATAGATGGTTACTAATGCGTTAGCGGGGGAGGAGGCTTTTACCAGGAGGCAAACTAACTTTCTTTATGCACACGGCGTCTACTTTAATAAAAACAGTATTTTAAAGTGTGTTTTTTGTAGGTTTCCGTTTCCGAAAAGTTCTAAAAACATTAAAAAATTAGGAATTTTGGATGTTTTTCGCCATTTACATACATTTGTTCCTGGAGGTCAACGTCTCCCAAAACTCTCAACAATTTAAAGAAATTTGGATATCCCAAAGGTGTCAGAATCGCCAACTGATAAGTGTAACCGTCATTACTCCAAACCAGACTCAAGTACCCCATTTGCCCACTCTACTTCCTTATTATGACAATTCCTTTGACTAAACCCTCATAAAGACAAACTCACAACAACAGAACACCCCCCCAAATTTAATGTACTCTGATATTTTCCTAAAAATAACAGCATTGAATAAATATAATATTTACGATGACCCACTCTTATTTCCAGATCCGGCCCGTCCCGCGGATGTTTTGGCACTGACCTGAACCGGAATTTCCCCTTCCGCTACGCCTTCCTCGGGTCGAGTGCAAACCCATGCAGGTCTTCCCTCAAAACCCGGAAATAATATGCTCGGAATTTACAGTGAAATCTTCCATGGTCGTGGCGCTATGTCTGAGATTGAGGGTCGCAATTTGCGCAATGTGTTGCTGGCCCGTCGAGCGAATATCAAGGTATTCCCTGGGGTTTTGCGTAATTCGAGGTGGAAGCCCCCTCCCCAAACCCACATAAATCCGTTGAATAGAACTAGGCGGAAGCCTGGGCGCTTTTTCAAAAAACATTCTGCTCCAGGGGATTAGGAAATTACGTAGGGAGGAGACGCTAGGTAGATGAGGTGGGCGTTTAGTTGTATTTTCTGACGGCATATCACTTTACCGGGTTTCCTGAATATAAATGCATCACATCGTCTGGCTAATCCGAAAATAGAGGAATAGGAAGGAAGGTGAAGAGTTCAGCACCCATTTTAGGGCTACGTCACGCTACACTCTTACGGTGAGAATCTGCTCTATCCATGGGGCTACAACGTACGGACTTATCCATCGGATGTGACGGATTTGGTATGGATTTTGTTTATTACAAAATTTATAGAAAGCTATTAGAAATGTACACAGCAAAATAAATAGCAAGCATGGGCTTAATATTTATGAAAATCCAACTTTGCCGCCGACCACATTAATTTTTTCTAATCTCCATCTGAAAAGTTGCAGTGCATCAAAAACTGCCGTCATCTAATCCCCCAAAATCCACCCAATTTTCCGGTCGACCAACTCTCAATGACACCCCCATCAAGGATTAGCGCTCTATAGAAAAAGCTCTCAATCAATTACTGTCGTGCTGTAGTCGCTCCAAAAAAAATAGATTTCTTTGCAGTTCTCCAGCCTGGTTAATTTATCTATAAATATTCTAGATAAACATGGGACGAGCGATGAGTCAGGCGATCCAGCGGGTACACGGTACCCGATATGCAGTCGCCAACGCCGCCGACTTGCTCTGTAATTAGTTTTTGGACGATTTTTTGAGCCCCACCATGTTCCAGATCCAGCTGCCGGGGCGTCAGATGACTATGCTAAAAGCATTGGCATTAAATATGTATATACGGTTGAGCTGAGGCCGGGAGAGAATGATCGGGAGAATGATGAAAAGTGCGTAATTTTTAGCGTATAGCTTTGATGTAAATTAACGACTGAACTTGAAAGTAGCATATGCAAGAGGGTTTTCTTCAGGATGGTAGAAAAATTGAGAGAGAAGCGTTTTGTAAAGGCTCTTCGACGAAAAAAGCCTGGATTTTCCGCGCGGCATACCTTATATCAATTAAACCTAGGTCCCTCAAATCTGCAATATTCCGCTCTAATGTCCCAATGACGCTCCCAGCTTTTTTGCAACGTTCTATTTTTTTGCAGCAACCCACGAAAAATTCCACCTGGTGCCCAATTAACATCAGATTGCCCGAATTATTCTTAGCCACGCAGGTTGTAGTACGACCCCCGTGCCTGGAGACTCCCAGACCAAATAAAATGAAATGAAAAAGTTATTTAATTGAGAAAAATAATATTTCCCCACAAATTTCCGGTTAGCCCCTGTACATTGCGGAGGCGGTGAATGGAGAGCGCTAATTCCGTTAGTGCCAGCAAAAAGTGGCGCAAAAATTAAGGGATAATTTGGTGTGCCATTTCGGGTGTTGCAACGTGAATCGTGTGGGGCTAGATTAATAGGCTTACCGGAGCCCGTGGTCAGTGCCGTTGGAATGCAATTCTACACCCACGGGGGGAAGCCGCGGCCCTAGGATTAATTCGGAACTTTTCGGCAATGGTTGCCTTTAAAAGATATCGTTGGCAGGTACGGCTTCGAACTTCCTGCGGCTTACATTCAACGCACCGGTGATGAGGTGTTTCAAGGTGTTCTCGTGCTGGCCAGAAGGGTTGCCGGGTAGGTACCTACAAGTTCTGCAATGATACGATAAGAATAAGTGAGGGATGGTTGGAAAGAATGAAACTGGGTTTGATGCTGAGGTTTCAGGCCAGGGATTATGGTTGGATTAAGTAGCTCAGTATGAAACCTCGGAAAAGGTTTTTAAAAGCTGATCAAGCCGAAAAACCGCTTCGCGGCTGCACACTTGCCTGGGGGCTCTCAACTCCATCTAATTGCTCGATTTGTAAGTAAAAACTTAATTTTAATAGCGAAAAGGTAAAAACCTATTCTCCAACTAAATTAATGGATTATTTGTCCAAATCAATTGCCTAAGGCTCTATATGCGAAATAACATCAAAGAAGACCTTTTATGAATAGTACAATATCACCCCCTCGAAATAATATCTCTACTCGCCGTAAAATTTTTACGTTTGATCCCTTAGTTTTGCCATGAATTAACCATGATCTGGTGCTCATGTTTGATACCTAATTACCCCCTTTGAACTCCCAATTATCGGCCTCACCGCCCAGGGTCTCCGGGACACCTGCATTTAGTAGCACACTGTATTTCACAGCTAAAGCAAGATCCCCGACGAACTTTGGACCAGATTGTGTATTAAAAAAAAATCAGAATCCAATACCTTACCAACCACACCCGTAAAACATTGCTAAAAATAAAGTAGTCCTAACAAGTACGATTCCCCTATAGCCTCCAGAAATACTTAAAAAAGCCTCATATCAGATTCCTTTCACACATTGCCCACACCAGCCAGTTATTCTCGGCCGCACTAATTTACGCTGACGAGCCCACTAAACATTTTTCCATTTTTTGTTCACCCGACCGCTAGTAGATACACGCGAGGATGGAAAATGCTGCGTAGGGGGAAAGAGATCAAGATGGAGTGCAGAAAAAGGGAGAGAAGCCGTGGAACGGCATCATGCTCATCCCATTTAGGGGCACACACCGACATGCAGACACGTTTTGACCTTTTACACAATTCCACCCCTCAGAAGGCAAAATGCCCCGCGGAGAAGCCGTGTCTTTTTCATCTCTCCCCTCTGACGATGCAAATATAAGGATGCTAAATAATTCAGGGCCCCGGCCACTGACCTCAAAATACCTTTTCAGATGGAGCCTCCTCCCACAGCGTGGCCGCCGCTGAAACTAATCCCAGACTTGCGGGAGCGCCTCTCTCGTCAGACTCATCTTTTACCCCTCTTAGAGTTGATTACTGTATCCCCAGTTTGCCCACAATTGAATTTTTCTGTACATCAAAGAACTCTGCGCCAATCCGGGTATTGCCGTTCGCAAGATAATGTTAATAAAAAGTTTCATTTGGGAGCTAAGCCCCCTCTCCGCCATGATGACTGTAACAGGTCTACCATACCCACGGAATCAGCAAGTGCACATTATAGTATACAGTACCGCCAAGGTCGTGGGCGCAAATAAATTTTTGCAAAAATCGCTTGTCTAGCATGTCCATTAGCAGCGACGCCTCGACGCTTTTCCTCTAATCCGCTGTTTGGCCGGATATCAATCAGCGCCTGAAAATAAGACATGCCCGAAATCAGGTTTTTACAAGTTTTGCCTTGTGCCATGACGCCACTCGTTGACGCACTCATAGATGCCCTTATTCCTCACGATGTCGAATTATCATCAACCTGCATTTCCGATCTATATAATGAGAATCCGGGAGTTCTAGATTTACATCTGAGACCTTCTTCCCTTCCATTATCCTCGACAACATTCGCTCAAGATTACGTTTTTTCCGAGACCTCTAGAAGCTTCACAATCATTTACAAACCAGCGAGTTGGATGGAGAATTATGCCAAAAAGCCAAACGTGGTTCCAAGCTTAAGTTTTGGAATTCGGACTTCGTATTTAATAATTTCTGTTATTTTGAACTTGGCCAAGAGTGCTACGAATAGTTCGTAATTATAACATGTAATTTACGTTTGTTATCAATTCACTTAATAAACTACTCATTTGATAAAACCTCCTTTTGCCCTATATTTTATTTTTGTACGATTCTTGTTTTCATTATCTTATTTGTGCTTGCGACAGATTTTCGAAAAAATTAATTTAATTAGCTATGCCACAAGGAAGCCATAAATTCTAAATTTATCTGAAACCTAAACGTAATAAGTTAGGGGCTTTAATACGATAACTGTGTAGCAACCTGACTGGCTTTCTTACTGTGATTCCCTGACGTTCTTACCATTACCATACTTTTCCATACTTCTTACGTCATTTTTTTCAAGATTACTTCTACCCCTTAGACCTCTAAAAGCTTCAAAAAACCATCTATAAATGGCTTCACCCTTCCAAAAGCTACTCTCCCAGTTTAGCAATTCCCGTCCAGCTTGCCACATTCGTCATTGTTCTCGTCTGCGAGGTTGGCTGAGAACCTTCGATGACGGCAGCATTCCAAATATCATCCAAGTTAGCTCACTCTCGCTAAATGGCTACGATTGGCCTTGGCGGTCTGATGAAAAGCTTGGCGGTCGCTTATAGACGCATAATTTGGCCATGTGCTTTTCAGGGAGGCCATTCAGATGAAGGGCATCCCTTTGAATTTGTGTGTGAGGAGAGAGCATTCCAAAAGAGGAGCGCGAACCGTTTTAGGCTCCGAGGGGGGGGCCCACCCAGCTTTCAGGAGGGTCGTATTTCCAAAGATTTTTCATCTCTCGGCCCCTGATGACGTAATAGACCAGTTGACTAGATTAAAGTTTCAGGTATCCCATGGCCATAAATCGTCGGAATATTTGTGAGATGACTTCCTGAGCCTCAAATCTGCTAGTTTATGGTTTGGGGGATGATTTAGAGGTATGACGGGTAGCTCTTTCTTTTACCCTAGTTAACCCTAAGGTTGTCGAGTCAAGAAAAATTAGTCCCTTAACCTCTGGGGAATGACTACTCCTCGTCTTGAACCCAAACAATTTTGGCTCGGCTCCTCAATTTGGAGGACTCAAGCATTGTTGTTTTGCAAAATTTTGCTTGTTTGTGTTTTTCCTTCGTATAAAAAGCTTGTAAAACGAAATCAGAAATTCTAATAAAGTAAAAATTACTCACATCTCGGCGAAACACTAATTACTCAAATACCATTTGTTCTCATTTAACACTAGCGATAGCCCCCGCTTTCCAGGTGCAATTCTCCACCTGATCCAAGGCGACAATGTTCTTGGTAATTCTGCGAAACTCCTCATCATCGCTGATAAACTTGAAGCCCTGACATGATTTATGTTAACAAACAATTCCTTGATATCGTATGGCTGGTTCGGCGATGTATGCCCCGTCACCCTAATCCCCAATCTTCCAAAGACCTAGAAGTCTTCATTTTGTTTCGAAATCCCGCAAACAAATTTCAATATCCTTTCGAAGCCCGAATGCCGTCATTTTTCTGGCCTCCCGGTAACCATAATCCGGATAGACGTTGGGAGCTTAATTCCGGGAGGTCCCTCTATAGTTCTTTACAGAAAACGAGCAAGTACATGCCGGTGAACCGGCCTACAAAATGGGATCTGGGGTTGACCTTTTCTCGGCGCAGCTTTTGTAACTAACTACGTTTCTATACTATGCACGTTCGCAATTGTATTTGCGGGGACCGGAAAAATTAATTCGGGTTGCCCACTCATGCTCTTTATCGTGGCTGTCTTTTCTTGGCTTGGCATTTTCGCCGCTGTGAACCTCGAAGGGGGGGAAATTCAATCTGGGTTCCTGACGCGAGGCACCGGTTCCGCTACAACCCGAAAAAGCGGGTTAATGCTATTCGTGTTTCCGGCGGTGTTGTACTAACAAATTCGTTCGATGGAGTGAGTGTAAGTCGTCGTTGGGGGTAAAGACGTGCGAATTTGTGGGTGCGGGCCGGGTGATTTGGTTAGGTTAATGGCGTGGGTGTGTTGAGGTAAGGGGTAACAGGATTTACAGATAAAATCTGGGCCAAGTCATATAAATGTGGGTTCCGCCACACAGAACCGCCTATTTCGTTCTCGGGTTAATTAATATCTTCCTTTTGCCACAAACCAGTGCATTGAGTTTTTTTGTTGTACGGGAGCCTGTTTTCTATCATGAAACGCGGGAATTTGCTTTGAAATTTCCGGGTTGGGGTTTCTGCTAGGATTTAGCATTTGATTCTCAAACAGGATGCTATTTTCCAATCGGCTCATACCCTGTTTTTCCGGTCTCCTATAAAATCCAATGCCATTTTTTGCGATTTTGCATTGCAAACTTTTTAAGTGCGTACATCGTCCTCACTTTTCGATAATGCCGTCCAGTTCTGTGGTCAAATAACACCACTAATCCCTTCCAAGGACCTTTACATCAAATTTCCGTTTCAAAGACCATCCTGCATAATTAAATTCCTCATCCGGATTCTTCCACAGTGCCACAATTTCTTTGACCTGTCCCATCTATCGGGATGCAGCCTGCTTTTATGGGCTCTTGCTCCCCTAAATGCCGACGCACTCATCCGACCCAGTCTCAGCTGTAGGCAATGCAGGATAAAAGCAGTTAATTTGTTTATGAGAGCGGGGCTGACCCGATGAGCGTCCCTTTCTTCATAATGTAGCTCTGTTCCATGGCATTTCGGTGTGCGGATCGACCAGCGACCGAAATAGATGTTTAGTGGTGGTCTCGACAAATCCCTCATATTTCTTTTTGGTCGTGTCGATTTCTGTGGGCAATATTTGAGCCGTGGGGTGGGAAAGCAGAAAGGTCAACTCCAGTAGTCACGCCGCTCGATATAATTTATTCAGGCAAAGAAACATGGTAGCACGAAAGTGGATTTTGCGGCTGGCTGGCGGGTGCGACTTCCTGAATTTAGGGAAAGGTCAGGATTTGTACTGTAGCCACGAATTCTCTCGTGCAATTCGTTTAGTTTCTTTTTTTACTTATTTTTTATATCGTGATCCAAAGATCGGGGAAAACTGTAGTGCAGAAAATGGAGGAACAACTTTGCCGTTTCATTGCTTTCCCGGCGGAACAAATCCAGTTTGTCATCGCACCGAGGGTTTTTCTATGCCGTCTCATTGCATAACATACCGTAACCCGGGCTTTACTTATCTTTCTCTCTTGCCCTACACTATGTTGCGCCCGAACATTGGATTGAGTTTTGCTCAATTGGTAGACACAAAACGATTTTCGGTTTTGGCGCATACCGGAGACACTCAACGTACTCGGTAATTACCACTTTCAGCCCCAACTTTGACATTTTGTGATCAAGACCGTTGATAGCAGCTATTGAAGCTGGGCAGAGTGGTTGTTTCAGAAGAATGAAGTGCATGTGGCAATTACCATGGCCTCTCGCTTATTTTCTAGTCGCGATGGGTCTCGGTGCATCCGAGAAGTGGCATGTCCTAATTGATGGGTGGCAGGGATAGAGATTGTCCCTCCTTTATTCATAAGCGTGGTACCAGTAATCTTTTTTTTGGGGATGATGAATTTCGAGGGGGAGTTTGGATGGATAGATAGTAGGTGGGTTGCCAGTCGGGACTGTTAGAATTTTATTACGAGGGTGGCCGGGTTGTTTTCAGCCGACGTCATTGAAGAGGTCGGGGAACTCATTAGTTATTCTACCGGTTGTCCGTGAGTTTTTGAAGTAATGCGAAACTTTTGTTCATTTCAGGGCAAATTTTCTATGAATATGGAGGCGGCATATCAATAGACGAGGGGGTGGTTGTGGCAACGCGGTTAGACAAACAACGGGGCCCTGGCGTTGTCTAGGATAGACTAAAAGTCGACCCGTAATCTTTAGTGTGATGAATTGGGAATCAATCTTATGTTAAAATGCGTCTTTATCGTGAGATTTCGTTCTAAGATTGGTACGGGGTAGAATGCGAAGTTTTAGAGGAATACTGCATGCAGAATTCAGGCTAGTGTTTCCGATCCTTAAAAGAGTGAATTTTCCGAGAATTTTACGATATGCCATAGGGTAGGCTTAAAGTCCTTTCAAGCCAAGTGTAGTATACCAGATCCCCGAATAGATCTAAATACCAAGGCGTGGATCCAAACCACCATCCCATCGTACATAACTAATCAAAAATTCACAATTCGACTACGTCAAAAGCCCTCGAAGCACCCATACCCTCCCTCCCGAGAAGTTAGGCTTCATCCACTGCGCACCCGCACAAACAAAGCAAGCCCATAACTTTTTGGGGGGCACGCACATCGGAGAAGCCGCGACCAAAAAAGACTGACCTTTAGTGGTGGTGGTGGTGGTGGATGGGCACCCGCGCGCATCACCCACAACAAAAATATGCTCATAAAGGGGGGCGGGGGGGGGGGAATCGTCTTGTCGTACCGTGATGAAACGGCTTCAGGGATTCGTAACTTGATCTTATTTTAGTGTGGGTGGCGACATTTTATTGTGATGTTTATCGAGTGGGATGAGTGGGTGGTGGGGGGGTTCCCTAGTGAGCTATGGAGGCGGGTTTGATTTATCGGAGTAATGGCGTTAATACGTTAATGAGGGTTATATTAAATTGAGTTATGAGTTCAAAATTGAACTTGATGCAAGGTCTGAATAGCGCTTAAGATGCAATGACGAAGGGCCATGCATGCAACCCAATGGCATAAGCATACGCAATAAAAGTACCGTAATATGATTACCGCGGGAAAATAATGCTGCAACGTCGGCTTTACCTTTATCAGACCAACATTAGGTCAACTCAAAACTGAACAACCCAATTAGATATCCACGCAATTTTCCATAATAATACGCAACCATACACGTAGTTTCCCCCCGACCTTCTACTCTCATTTTCCATTGCCCTCATCAGACCCGGGCTCGCCGCGAGTTTTGCTGACCTACGCGAGAGCCGCCATAAATTTGACCGAATTCCATCGGGGGACCCGCGGCCGCAGAATAGCCAATCCCTGCCGTCGCAGAACAAGGGCGGGCCCCCCGCCTGCGAACGGCATAAAGGGCTCAAAAAATGAGAGAACCAGAGAAAGGCTAACGGCAAGACAGTAAGTTCTACGGGCCGGTCAATTGGATTGTATGTCCTTCCGGGCGTCCATGGCACCAACTCTCACCACACTGTATCCCTCCACCCCTTATTACAGCCACACCCCCTACACACCTATATAAACCCCTCCATGCCTCGACCCTTCTGATTAGGGAGGCCATCATCACAGTCCCTCCCACTTTACATCTTGGGTGGTCCACACCGAAGACCCTCGTGTACATTCTTGGTCTTCTGTCTGGGTCTCGATGGAGTGTGGCCCGTCTTTTCTCCATCTTCTCATCCTTCTTTTCCTTCTTCTTCTTCAGCTGATGTCAGCATAGAAACAGATCTTCGGTTGGGAATGAACCCAGATGCGAACATCTCCTTTGATGTCACCCAGCCAGCTGGACATCTCTAGCCAACCAGTCCGTCGTATTCGACGATCATTACGCATCCGGTCTTTAAGCCCCTGGGGAGACGTGCTTGTGCACATTTTTTTTTGGTTTTCCATATGCTGGCCTAAATTTTCAAGCCAAAAGCGGGAAGAATAACTTCCTCGATTGAACTAGATATTTGGTTTTCAAAATTCATTTGAATGGCCTATTGGCGTACGGGGCGCTCGGAATTATTTCCACTTATTTACTTTAATTTACAGAACCACCTAGTGCGTAAGTTGGTATACATGCCAATTTCCAAAATAGGAAACCTTGATTTCTCTTTATCTTGTTCTGCATCCAGGAAGGAACCCGGGTGGAGAAAAACCCCTCATTGAATAATTCTCGTTAGGGCGCGCCCAAACTCAGGTACCACCCTCAACAAAAAACGACGTTATTTGTATGGGGCTGTGTATAAAAACACCTCGTACCTCCCCGTTCTGGTGGGGCGAGAACTGCTCATTAATTGTTGGTAGTCGTTAGAATGCGTCATTTAACCTTAATTATCGCCCTTCACCTCCCTCCCCTCCATCCACATCAACTCCATAATTTTTGTTCGGAGCTTTTAATCAAAAGCATCCAGGCCGGTATTATCCACGAGATGTTTTTGTCATGAAAATAATTCATTTCAAGTTCCTCGCCGGAGACCCACTCTGTCTAGCTTGCCTCCCATTTCCAGCATTGTGGTACTCAGCCGTTCTCAGCCCGGATTTTAAAGAATTCATTATTTGACGACACGATCTCGTTAGCCCTATTTTCCGACCCGGTGAATTGTCATCGTTCTATAAAAAATAACCACCCCTCGAATCTAGCCGTTCCATTTTGAGCCATAATCCGGCGACGAACCAAAAAGTGACTCGTTGCTTCGTCAAAATTCCCTAACCCGCGTTCTGATTCAGGCTAATCCCGATGGCGTCTTGCCACTATTTTCGGATGAATCGACTTCGCGATCAAAGTATTTGTGTAGTCGGAAGAAATTTGTCATCCCAGTGCCTGGTTCATAGACGGACGGTACAAAAATTCCACAACCCCCGCTGATGTTGGCTTCTTGGGGTGCCTATTTTGAGCAATGAAGCCGGAATTCGGCTGACGGCAAAGACGACAATGGGTGGAGTAGGGCGGTTGGTGGACAGTGTTTTCCAGGGGCTGAGTTGCTGTTTTTCGGCGAGTGGGGCGGGGCGAAGGAATCCGGGGCTGTCGTGCCGGGGAACATGCACAAAGATCGGACTTTCGAGGTTGGGTCTCCCCCATCAGACCGCAGCAGATCTTGGTCTTGTTCGGCGAGTTTGTGTCTGTGGGCTCCCCCCGTCCCTCCTTCACATTTGGTTGGCATCTCCACCCCTTCCATCCGATATCACTTCTGAATATTCAAGAAGGTTGAAGAGATGGGTCCATGTTTTCCCAGGCACCCATCCCCGCATCCACCCCTAGAGGCCATTTCTTTTCAGTCCTTCTTCCAGTCCACACTAAAAAGTGGATGCCCCAAATTTTGGGGAGGTCCACTGTGTGTGAGTGTTTCTCCTCCCTCGCCCTCCTGATGATGCGGGTGCTGGCCAGCCCTTTTTTGCTCATTTTCCTTGAAACGCGCCCTCGCCCATTTGTTCTCACATTCATTTTGCGTCGGTTGATGGAGTTCCGTGTTTCATATTCCATTAGATGAAGCTTTGGTGGTGGGCGAAAAATCGGGCGATAACAGTACTATTCCAGGCCACACCCCTGTCCCGCCTCTACCCACATACGGCTCCAGACATTTTACTTGCGAGCGCCGAGCGTCGAGCCCTTCTCGTCTATTCGTACACTGTCTGCCGCTTATTATTGGTGTACATTGTATGCGCTAGAGCCCTTCCCTCCAGATGATACCCTTGCAGGTTTGTGCTTAACAGTTCAAAGCTAGCCTTTATCCTTCTATTTCTGAAACTACCACAACTTCCTCGAAGTTTTTCCATCACTCGTCAAAAAAGGAAGATAGCGCACAAACAAAACTTGTTCGCTGAGCGGTTGATTGGCCAACATTTTGGCCGGGCCAGAGCGTAGCAAGAAAAGACGCTTTCAAAACTGTGGCCACTTACAGTCAGCTGGCCAATGGGCGCCTATTTTCGAACCTGTAAAAACAGAAAACTCTTAAATGAAATTTAAAATTTTTCTTCAGCTAAAACGGCCGACTGCAGATGCCTACGCCACGTTCTTAGTATATTTTCTCTACATTCTAACAACAGCAGAGTAAGTTTTTTTGACCTGCCTATTACTGACGAATTTGAATTGTCAACGTTCATTTAATTTTCAGAGGTTACCACCGATCACGGAGGCATTCAGAAGAACCGGAAATGATTGTCACAGAAGAATGTTATCATCGATATGGAGATCCAGGTCTCCATCGAGCCTTCTCCTCATGGGTTCACCGAAAAAATTCTTCCCATTATTCGCCTATTTCTCCCTCCTATCAACAAGCTCTTCTTAATCTACAGGTTCGTTCTTAAATTTCCATATTTTCAGCTTCATCTAGTTAGCTACCAATTTTTTTTTGCGTCGAACACCGATTTCTGAGGGTCGAATGGAGGCCAATGGATTCCAATAGCTGTCCCTGGTGTAATAGATTCAAAAGTAATGCCAGTTCCCCTTTTTGCGCTTACCCTATTTTGACCCCTGACTCGCTTACTTATGCGCATATGACGAGGGGACTCTCTTGGGGCTTTTCAAACGAGTGGTGTGGGCTCTCCTCTGAATAAACCCATTATCCCCCACGCACACCACCTTAAAGCGCTTGGGGTCTCACCATTCCCCCTCCTCTCAATCCCCGGAAACTTCTGTGAAAGCTAAAGGCCGTGGGTTGGCGGAAATTTCTATAAAAATATATAAATGTGAACCAGTGACGAATTCGGGGGGTTCTAAAGGGGGGCCCATAGGTGTGTGTACCAGGAGCACGTAGAGTGCATTGGCCTCCATGTAAATACTTTAACAACGTACGTGTCGATCTGGGAATTTGTGCAGTGGTGAGCTATTGCAAAAGTGCCAAAAATAACACAAGTTATTTCTATTTATGGTAGTTTCTTAGGGTCCATTCACCACGGCACAAAGTCCATTTTCATCGCATAAAATCTATTCTATCGCACCCCATTTTAGCTGACGGGTGGTTTACAGCACAACCAGCAGATCACCACCTCGTCATCATCATGCAATTCCAAGAAATTGCCGATTATCAGCCCGGACACCCCATTGCGGGAGCGGGCGCTGTGCAAATTCGAATACGTGCTTAACTATAATCCGAGGGTGGGTGTTTGGATTTGTGGTCTGGTCAAAATCCACGGGTTTTTGGTGTTGGGTCAAAATTTTCCTCTAGCCAAGGCAACGCGAAAAATCCACTTCTTTGAAGTCCTAAAGTTTTTTGACGGAAGCGGCCAACGTACCTCAACGGAAGCCATAAAACGAATTTACAATGTCTAGTCTCATGATCCCAAGGTTTTCCCGGATTGAAAAAAAGGAAATTTAGCTTTAATTTTTATTTTCAGCGGATTCCTGCAGCGCTCACAGAAGTGAAGTGCTCGTGCCAGAAGCCGAACCCGAAATTGGTCGGAAAGCGGATATTTGAGTGCGAGCCTTTGAGGTTTGTTTTTAGGTGGTCTCCGAGCAAACTTGACAAATTTTGATCAACGGCTCATTAGTCGGCCATAGGGATGGTGTTGGCGCTTCAAAATTGAGATTGACATTGGAGGAAAACACTACCCTTTGCACCTCTTTCCAATCGCTCAAATATTCCAAAGATTCGTGCTGAAGGCATCAACGAGCTAGGGAGGGTGGATAGGGGATGAGGAGTGGTCTCCTAATTGCAGATGAGTTGAAAAAGTTGGCGGGGGATCGCGTGGGTGGCCTAATCGGATGAGTCCAGAAACCACCCAAATATTTCCTATTCAAATCTAATGCATTTTCGGTTTTTTTAGATACCAAGTGAGAGTGCTACTCTTCGACGACACATGCAACACTTTTACCGAGCACACGGAAACAATCTCCCTCGCCTGTCTACCCGTCATTCAGGTGAGAATTTAATGTAGAGATCCGGGGAAAAAGATCTTATTCAAATTGACGCAATCAGAACGGTGTCTCTTAGCGGTCCGCAATTGGGTTAATTCATCCCATTCGCCCCCCTGTGGAACCCCACACAAAATCTATTCTGATGCGCGTGTATTGAAACATTATTACGCAGTCATCCCACTCCATCATTTCCATTACGAATCCGGCTCATTTGTACATTCTGAACTGGCGAATAGTGGATGACCACGGGAGGTGTAGGCTTAAAAATAGACCGAATCTGACTCCTTTTTTGTTGTTTATTCCGGAGACGCGGTATTGTGTGCAGGTGGAAGCGAACCGTGGTTCTGCAGAATTGGGGCCGGCGCTAAAACACGTGCTAGACCTTAATATGTAGTAAGCATGGCGCATAATTGGGGCAACAATGGCACTTAAAGGTACACTAAAATCTCATGCAAAAAGTCAGTTCGTGGTCGAAAATCCGGGCCCTCTGCTGCGCAACGCCCGGACCCTTCTTATCCCCTTCCCTCTCCCCTCTCCCGTCTGTCCCATGGCCTAGTGGTCTAAAGCGCTCGCCCTAGGCGTGTGGCGAGGGTTCAGTTTTGCTCCGCGGCGAGCACCTACCGTAACCCTCTTTGCTATTCCGCGGACGGTTACCGGCCGGTAACCACACCAACGAGGCTTTAGTGTACCTTTGAGGATGTGGGGCTAGTGTTGGATAAATAGTCATTCATAGTTTCCCATTCATGTCGGCACCTGGGAGGGTTCAAAATAGAGCTCATTAATGAGAAAATATAACTATTTATTGTTATTTCAGGCCAACGCGAACGCCGAAGGTGAATTGGATTTCATTGTCCCTATCAAAGTGGATGTGCCAAACTAAGAACGATGTCACGTCCCACCGAGTGCAGCAAAAAACGTCCATTTCTCCGTCCGGGTCTTTTGTCTTTATGTCTTCTCGCGTAGGGCTGTCATGGAGTGACCATGGTTGGTCTTCACTTCATTTTCTAACCAAATCTACATTTCCCCCTTGTTTCAACCCTTGTGACGAGCAATTGTTGCTAACCCTGTTCTGGGAGAGCCCTAGGATCTAGCTCTAGTTCTATTGCCATTTCACATATTGCATTTAGCCAGCTGTCTTTCCAAAATTTGGCCCAGTCGATAACCTATTTCTCACAAATAGTCGTAAAGGGCTCTCCCAGATCCATTCCTTCCAACTCGTCCCCTAACTATCCAGTATCTTTATATTTGTGCTAATCTTTCATTAGCTTTCTTAGAACAGTGTAGGCTATTTCTCAGCCATAGCTTTGTATGTTAATAATCCCTCCAATTAAACCCCCAGCAGTTCGGCGTATTTTGTTACACCAACCACTCGTGACCAGATATTTCCCCCCTTCCTTACGGTGTTCGTGCCATTTCGGTATTGCTGGACATATTGTGCTCGACTCAAAAATCCTTGCCATGTCGATTCCTCTTCCGCGTCTCTTCTTTTTCGACGTTTTTCACGTTATCCGTTTCTCATTACTTATCGATCCATGTTACTTCTCTAACGTAATAATTTCCCCACGCCACGTTGTGTCCTAGACCCATACAAACCCTTCTAAATTTCAGATCTCAAGCAGTGCGATCACAAGAGTTATCTGGGGTTCAAATTGAGCTATTTCCGCAATGTGCTCTTCACGTGTCTCGAATGGTAGTCCGTTTATTCACTATCAATCATATGCTGTGGCCCTCCTTAATTTAATGATTCTCGTCATCAAATGATCTCAACATCTCCTCCATTCCCCCCAGATCCCACTTCAACTAATGATTCTATCCCAAATATGTACCGGCGACGGCGTGTCTTCTTTTTGTTTCTCTTGCCCTTATAGATTTTCGTTTGTGTGTGTGTTTTTCTCTTTGCTATCGGTCAATTTTGGTCTTGATTTGGACAATAAATTTTTCTAAAAGTGATTGCAATACACATGAATATACGATAGTTCTGGCCCGAAAAACAGAGGAAAGCCAAGCAAGCTCAGAATTTCAACAAAGCGATTAAAACATAAATTAAAAACGGTAATGTTACAAATTGCGAGAAACTCTGATATCTTCAAATCTTGTTCGTATAATTCTCAAATACTCAAAATGTTTAGAAAAATCTTGATTCTGCTTAAAATAAAGGCAGTATCTTTTTGCCATTCTGACCCCTCAAAAAATCAAACAATGAAAATCGTTGTTTTCCTCCTCATCGTCGACACAGTAATTCCCGGTCAATTCGAATAATATTTGCCGGTAGCGACAAAACGGAATGGCTTCCCCGAAAAATGAAGATGCACAGCGCCATCTCAAACTAATCTACGACACACTTGATCACAAAAGAGGGGGCAATTTTCCGAATTCTCTGAGGTCACAGACGTTCGGGGCTTCTGTTACGTACAAAGTGAATATGGGGTCGAAGCCGAACAAGCAGTGGGTGTTATGATGTTTTGTAATGGGGCCCTAAAAACAAGAATTATCGGGAATACTTTACAAATTATACACGGCCAACTTGAGATGCGGTTTGCAGAGCGGGCGTCGCTTGGGAATCTCTGGAATTAAGAATCCCGATCGCATTCTGACGCCTAATTCATTCTATAGCGAAGCACCCTTTTTTGATGTTTTTCGAGAAAATATGTTAATCGGTCAGACATCGGCAAATGTCGTTCCGTTTTTGGTAAGTCCGATTGAGGGCTTCAAATCCGTGCTCGGATTATCAGAAATTTGAACTGAACAAAGACGCGTGCAAGAATGTCCGAGAAACTATATGCAGCGATCTAACTGAAAGTCACTGCACTTTGCTAGATTGCCCTTTTCCGGCTACCGTCATTAAAGCGGCACCATCAAATATCCACGTTGCTTAATTTATGCTTAAAAACGTAGATCAGTTGCCGCAACTTACACCTTTTTGAAATCTCAATTTAACGATAGGCTTCGTGTATCTTTACCGGTGGTCGCAATCGGCAAGTTCTCACATCCACCAATTTTTTTTTGCAAAATATTATTTCTTCTGGTTGGGTGACAAAAGCAGCCTGAAAAACGATACGGGAGCGAATAAAGCGACATGGCACCGAGTGGCACTCAACTGAAAGCAAACGAAAGGTTGCGCCGCATTTAAATTAGCGCACGGCGCAGAGTGGGTCTGGCAGAGAAATCAACCGCTGGTCGCTACAGTTGGCAGAGCAGCAGAATAAATCTCATAACAAGGGGTTGTTTGTTGTTTACAAGAGTACGCGAGGGGCACAAGTCATAACCGGTGGAAATTTACTTTGTAAAATAATGGATTCAGAAGCTAAGCAACTGGGGTAAAAGCCGTGTTTTTGCGCAATCCCTTCAGCATGAAGACGTTGAAAATTCAAATTCTTTAACGCTTATTAGCATCTGTTTCCAAGCAATATATTTGGGCATAGGTTCAGGGGCTTCTACTGGTTTAGCCCTTTCAGGGAGGTTTTTACCTTACAAGGAGTGTCCTTTTGGTGTCATCGGCAAAACGATTCGGGACCCAGCTCATTCGATAGAGAATTGAATTCTGAACAAGACTGTGTTGTTCATTTTTGCGGAATGGCTGTCCCTGATTTTATAAAATTAAAAAACTGCCGGCGACGCCCATACATTGGTGCTTGGGAAGCGAGTTGTTGAGGTTTCGCGCTTGGTTTTTTAATTTTATAAAATCAGGGACAGCCATTCCGCAAAAATGAACAACACAGTCTTGTTCAGAATTCAATTCTCTATCGAATGAGCTGGGTCTCGAAGCGTTTTTGCCGATGACACCAAAAGGACACTCCTTGTTAGATTCAAAGAATGCTTCAATCCAGAGCCTGGAAATTTGAAATCGGTAATTTCGAATTTAGTATTTTAGAATTAGGGATTACGATCATTCAGTGTTGTGGCATTTAGAATTTTACAAATCTGGGTAGTTGTATCAAAATAACAACAACGCATTCTCAAAAAAGGCTGCCCCGCCGGGAGTAAAATACCAGCCTTCCTTTAATATACAAATTCCCCGAGAAGGACCTGGTTCCTTTGTTATCAATCGGATGATAAGGATATTGATCCTCATCCGCCAGCTTGCGCCCTGCTAAACCAATGTAGTTCTCTCCAGCCACGCTTCATTGTGCTTTTAGACTCTTTGCAAAATAACAATTGAAGTCCAATGTTGCACCCACACAACTAACACCTTTCAGGAAACCTAAAACGCTTCTGCACTGTTGTAAAGTAGCATTTTCACGTCACTGATGGTTGCGGGGTAGGGGTGAATCGAGCACATCGAGTTGGAGGGTCTACGAGGGGAGAAGCTGCTGGATGTGAGAGATAATGGTGAGAGTGGATGGAGCAGACAGAGGAGACAGAAGCCCTCCTCGTTCTCGCCTATGACTCTCGGTTTCGTTGCCGGCTGCTGTCGGCTAAGCGCACGATTATCATTCGACATTAATATTGTTATATCACTATCCTGTACTTTGCTATAGTTTCTTTTTTTTTGTTAAAATCTAATTGTCCATATCATTATTTAATCTTTTTAAGTGGTAAATGGAAGAACGGATTGATATTGGCAAGCCACGATGGGACCAGGCCACATTTGAAGTAACGCACAAGTTATTTTTAAAATGGAGGTTTCTTTCAGGGTCGCCTTCGCCATTTTGCATCCATTACCGATCCGCTTGCCGTATTTTACCCTAAGAAAGAGCTGCTGGCCGCTCGAAAGCTTGTATTCGATTACAAGTAATAATTTTCTAAAATGCCATAATTCGAATATAGGGCCGGATCCGAGCCGGTAGGCACGAAATTGGAAGATGTGTACCGCGCGCAAAAGGTTTTTGGGACGGCTTTTCATCCGGATACCGGAGAATTGCAGGTAATTCTTTTAGAAATAGTATCTAAGAAAACAAAATATGTAAGAATCTACCCGGTCGGATGTGTTTTAATGTATATGGCGGAACGATGCTTTGCGGTGCGATGATGATTTGGTATGCTAGCTTCAAAAATTTTCTAAGTTTTTCGTGTGTTATTTTCAGGTACAAATCAACGCCAGCTGTCCTATTCTGGCAATGGGCGAACCAGTCTTTTAATGCTTTGGTCAACTACACGAATAGGAATGCGAAGAGTTCCTTATCAACAACTGACTTAGTCACAGCCTATGCTGGGGCTGTCACTGGGGCCTTGGCGATGGCTACTGGTAAGCCACAGCAAAACGCATTGATATCCGCATAACTATTTCCACCGTATCATATCATATTTATTTGCCTATATTGTCGGTTTTATTAAATTCTAGAGAAAACCCTAAATTAAATAGCATCTCATTTATAGGGTTGAAAGCCTATTTTGCCAAACGCCAAGTCAGCACGATCCTCCAAAGATGGGTGCCGTTTTCGGCTGTTGCCGTTGCGAATGCTATCAATATCCCAATGATGCGTCAAAAGTATGTAGATACCGATTGATCAGCTATGTATATTTTTAAAGTGAGCTTAAAAATGGTGTTGTATGTGAAGATGAGCACGGGAATGCCGTTGGTACTTCAAGACTAGCTGCCGTTAAGGGTATTTCCCAAGTGATTCTCTCAAGGATCGTCATCGTCGCCCCGACTATGGGTTAGAAATTTTCGGCATTGAGTTTTGAAGCGTAAAAATCTTTAGTGGTAATCCCTTTGATCGTGGAGGGATTAAACAAGATTGCCTCATTCCGGCGGAACTTGAAATATCTGAACATACCAACACAGCTGGCGTTGACCTTTATCATGTGAGTTTTCTTGTGTAGTACGGTGCCTACGGGAATTTAGTTACGGGGCGATGGTTCCAGTGGGCTGTGCTGTATACCCTCAGCGAAGGTACGTTTTCGGGTATAGATTTGATTATTTTATGATTTTTTCTGTGCAAGAAAGTCCATCTAAAATCAAGAAAAACTAGAGAATTAATTCCTTGCTTTTTTAACCATCATTACAGCGTTTTTTAGCTCCATCAAACTTGAAACCCTGAAAAAACTCGAACCCGAAGCCTACGACAAAATGAAGACCAGTGGATTGACGACGGTTTATTTCAACAAAGGATTGTAGACCGATACATTAAATATTAGGTATAGAATGTATGTACACGGTGGTCAAAATAAACGATTTGCATATTTGACTGTATCAGGGTTACTGTGCCGTATGTGGAGAAGCATTTGGTTCCGAAGAAAGACCCAGTTTCAATAAACAAAACAGGGGGGATGGAAAGAAGGGGAGTAAAGGCTGAATGAATGAGGAATCTGAATATGGGGAGAAGGGACAAGTGAATCGTGGAAATTGTCGTGTATACATTATGTACAAGAATCGAAATGCTAAGGGAATGATGCGTGATTTGTAAGTATTCGTAGTCGTTCGATGTTTTTTGGACGCAGGTCGAGTTAGAGGGTCTTTCCTTTGGCGAGACGTTTGCACACAGCAAACCTAAAGAAAATGGATTGGTCGTGTGGGTAAATAGGGGGTGCGTGGAAAGCTGAATGGGCGGAAGTAGGGTTGTAGCGGAGGGTACGGTAGTTTTGAAAACAAACCCTATAGCGGCTCCGATGACGAAAGTGACGATGTTGCTCATTAGCATTCCGAGGACAAAATTGAATGTGCTGAGGCCAGGGACATGGTCTGCTCGATCACCTGAAAAAACAAATACAACGAAATTGAAAAAAATATCTTTTAGAGCCATAGTTTTTTTTTAAACTTACAACAAGCAAACGCATTTAACAGCTCGGGTTCGGGCGAATTCGGTGGTGTAGTTAGATTACTACCATACTGCCTCATTCTCATTGACCTGAAACAAAAATTATTTCTACATACAAGTTTTTGTTTCATAGATTTACATCTTCATAACTGGTTTTTAGATAACACGTACTTTGGCGGGACAGCTTCCTGACGACTGCTCCAGTCCCAGATCCAATCCGTATTCTTTCCCGGAGGCAACATCTCACGGACAAGCTTATATTTCACAGCTTCCAGCGATTCAAACTCGATATGCGGACTTTGCAGGGAAGCCGGGCTGAAAATAATAACATTAAGTTTTCAAAGCTTTTAAATAGTACCTCAAGCGTGAGTCCTTGTCAATCTTCTCACCCCCATCAAACGACGAAGCTAGAGATTGCCTTGAAGGCGCCAATTCGGTCCAAGATTCTAAATTCAGGGTTTAGCATATATAACATTTGCGTTTATTACCTTCCTGGCTGACACCGGAGCCTTGCTCATCCATATCTCGCTTCTCTTGGATGCCCAACTTCTTCTTGACGTCAAACATTTTGTAGCGGCCAACATCAAAGAATGAAGACATTATACTAAAAGAAATGAAATTAGCAACAGCTAAGATAAAAAAAGATCACATATTAATTCTTAGGTATCATCAATACTCACCTGAGTGTGTTGACCCGCGCTAAAAATAAAGATCACAAAGTTGTTGGGTGGTGGTTGATTTCAAGTTGATGAGTGACCTGAAATTATCGATTAATTAGTGCATGAGCTGATGATGATGCTTTAGAGGACATGAAATGAGGATCCCCACAAGACTAGCTCCCCCCGTTGTTGACAAAGAACCCCGGATGGCTGCTTGTTATTTTCTTGGGGCCCCCTTCCTGTTACTTGAGAGCCGAACGGAACCCTCTGCATTGGCTGCTAAAGTCATGGGAAAGAATGCAGCCGGTATCCCCGTACTTGTTTTGAACTGTCATTTCGAATTGCGTTGGACTGTTACAAATAGCTATTGGCTATCAGGTGTTGTGTGGGGAAATGCACGGTGTCTGGGGGGCTGTCACGGAATTCGAATGAAGGGGGAGGGCGGGAAGGGGGGCTTGGAAAACGGGTCAAAGAGCGCATTTCTTTTCGTTTTGCAACAAAAACGGTTTTCGGGAAGTGGGGGAGGGGTTACGGTACGGGCTCGTGAATGTGGCAAAAAAATTAGAAAGATGCAATAGTATATTTCCAAAGTAAAATGAAGGGATGATCTATGATTTTCCATTCCACATTATAATTCAAATTACAAATATTGTTACGTTGCATATAAAATTACACACTAAAATCCGAGCCGACCAAAACTGTTCAAAATTCGGAAACTACAGATTTGAAAATATAGAAGACTAAAGACTAAGACAGCCAAAAAATAAAGGAACGGCTGATAAGGACACACACAACCTTTTATCTGCTGATTACTACAACTTCAGGCTAAACATGCTAATATGATATGCGTACATCAGCCTAATTAGGATGCAAATTACAAACTTCAAAAAAGCATACTTCCTGTTCTTCTCTTTTCGATTTGCATCCCGATATCGGCTTTATATGCAATAACATCTCTAGCAAAAACTAATAAACAAAATAGATTTATAATTCCAAATTCCTATTCAAATCACCAAAACCATAACGAGCCTCTACTCCAATACGGTCACCGGGCGAGGATAAAGCGGATAATTGGGGGCGTTCCCGCATAACTAGGGCCTTTAGCCGGATTGGTGCCAGGGTACCCTAGAGGGCTATTCTCCCCTACCACGTTCGTATATATGGCCATGTGCCGGCTGGGTATCGACCAGCCTATGTGTACCAATGGGGATGGCCACGTCCTGGGGGTTCCCCTCCCCCAAAGGCTAGATACCCTGGCCATAAAGCCGTGGCCGGACACCAAAAGCCGCTACATCTGATGCTAGAGCATAGTCGGATGCATCAAACGGTTAGGGGGGTAATGGCAAAAATCTGCGAAAAATAATGAAATATTATTACGAAATAAAAGTAGGGTTTTGATCCAATACAAGCTAATGTCTGTCTATTAATCAGAACCCCCCCCCCCTCAGGTCATAGACATCACGGTACCAACAAAACAGATAGTCAACCCGATTTAAGAATTAAGCAAAAACCTCGAAAAAAGTAATGAAATATTGTTACGACATATAAGTTGTTGTCTCGTTCAGATAAATTTTTGAACTTGCAGTTTGGTACATACAAATCAAATTTTCTCCATATTTTAGACCCGACCGTGGTAGTAAATGGTCATACAAATCAGTTTGAAATTTGATAATCTGAGAATTATTTAGCCAACGAAAAAGGAAAAATCTCCAAAAAAAAATATTAAAATATCGGTTGCTGGACGATACGCGAGCTTTCTCGGGGTACGGTACCCGAAGAAAGCTCCGGAAAAAATAATTCAAACATTCACAAGCCACCCAATCAATGTTAACCGCCAAATTCCAAATCACGGCCACCCACCTGGGCGATAAGCCCAAGATGCTACAAAAACTTATCACGCTGTCGAAATTGGAGGTATTTCGCTAATAAAACTGAAAAAAAACTGATTCGTCTCCGGAAAAGGGGCGCTATGAAGATGCTCACGTGCTAAAGCCTGATCTAGGCGCTTCAGTGAAAGAAAAGGAAGAGCCGTCACGTAGCTTGCGGTGTTTTTAGGCGTTCTCGCCGCTGGGGGGAGTCGAACCGGGGCGATCAGCTGATGGAAGGATGAGAGACAAGGGTGGGAGAGGAGAGGGTAGACATGAAAGAGTAAAGGTTGGGGGCTAGAATGGATTGTGGAGAGAGCAGACATACACACGAGACAAGCACGCGCTCACGCCAAATCGATGCGCGTCATGTGAGGCCACACACAGACACACCGAAGAGCTGAGGAAGAGGGAGCCCTTTGTTTTTAGCCGACTTTCCGGAAGAGAAGCTGGTGCTTTGGCCAGGGGGGAGCGATTATCACTGGATGCACCCCGGCAAAAAACAACCAAGGTCCTAACATCGACTTTTGAGGCGGTAGACAAGGAAAAATTTAGCACGGAATTTATAAAAATCATAGGGAAAAAACCATACATTTAATTCTTGAACAAGAAATTTGGAAACCAAAAAGTAATTTTATAGAGAATTTTTGGGTAAATAACTAGTCCTATGGGGGAAAACGCGCACCGATGCGGAATAGTGCCTCCGGCAAATTCGGCATCCGGTTTTCCCGTTGTTGGTTTTTCACAAGCAAACACAGAAAATAATAATTAATTTTGAATTGATATGGTTGATACGTGTAAAAATATCATTGTTTTAAGCAAGGCATCTAAAGGAAGCAGTAGGTACCTACAGTAATCCGCAAGGTTTTATGATCCATATCGTTAAATTCTCTGCATGCGACCTTGATGAAGCGGCACAAAAACACAATTCTTCTAGAGCCATAGCTATTAGCAATGCTTGTAATAAAACTTTATCATTACTGGAATATAGCCAGCGCGTAGTAGCATAAGGGCCGGAACTTATCACAAAATCAGTTGCAGGCAAATCGGGAGAGTTGGTGTAGAGGAAGACATTGCAAAACCAAGGAAGTAGCCCGTTTAGATGTCGCGACAACAAAAGACATGGACACGTGGGGGAATAGAAAGATATAGAGGAAGTATATTTTTCTGTTATATTGCATTCCAGGGGTCACTTTGGTGGGCTTTGGCTTGTGGGTCGATTGGCGTGGATTTGGGGGCATTATTTAGGAAATGTGGATAGTTTGGGGATAGGAGGGATTGTATACACCACCGGGTAGTATATATCAATGTTGCGACCAATTGCGCATAATATTCAAATACGTATATTTGAAAGTTGGAAACTTGCTCTTAATTTTGGATTATTCTAAAGGAAATTGGAAACCATAAAAGCAAAATTTCCGCATTTTTGACGTGCTAAAAATATCAAGGCATTAATAGACTTTGAATTTGTTCCAATATCCCTTTAAAATCACTTCAATGGAATTTTTTTTTAGTTGAGCTAGAAGCATTTTTTGGCAATATGAACGGAATTGTGTGGTAAGGCATCGTTTGGAGGCTTCAAAAGGCAGGGGCAGTGCAAAACTACGCAGGCAAAATGTTAATATAACTGAATTAAAATTGAAAATGATAGGAAATATGAGTGGAGTGGAAGGGCTCAATATTATTCGAAAAAATATCGACTAGGATGATGTTATGGATGGTGTAAAGACAAGGTTGACTGGGGACTTGTTTTAACGGGTCGATTGCAGGTCCATACTAGTCGCGATTAGCATATACCCAGTTTACAAGCCCCGAAAAATAGATTAGGCGGCGCACCAAACTATAATCTAACTCGCCGAGGTGGGAAGTAATCTAAGGTAGCACAAGCATTTAAAATGACATTGAATTGTGTAGCTTATAGCTTTGTATGCTCATCAGGTTTCGGCTTCGCGGGAAGGGGAGGCTTCACACGATTCGTTCGTTCTAGGGTCGAGACGGGGCGTTGGCTGCAAATTGGTTTTGTTACGGATTTATTCGCTTAATTAAAGTAGGGAGGCTGTGAAGCAAGCGGTTACCTTAGACGCGCGTTGTTCGTCTATAGATTTGTTTAAAGGGACCGAAAATTTTTGAATTAATTTGCATGGATCACATCGAATTTTAAAAACGAATAAAAAATAAGCTTACCCATGTTCCGGTGTACTCTCCAACGTGATTAACGTCCGATTCTCAGCGTCATGCAATATTGGGGCTCGATGTGGTACAGAAACATTTGCTAAAAACGTTTTAGATTTTTGGTTGTTTCCATGGTTTCCTGTGTTCTCTGGTTTTCAGGAACTCACAACTATTTTCAGCGGGCTTCTCCTTTGCCCCCGACACATCGACAACCGGGAATCGTCCTTTAACTGGCACCTGCTGTGTCGTAGAAGTGCCCTATAACAGAGTAACGAACCGCTCGAGTTTTGCACCTGAATTGCTCCATGATAGCTGAGGGGCCGAGAAGAAATACTTGGGCGGCTTTGTAGCGTTGGTTCGAGTACTTTTGAATACACCTAAATTCTTATGTATCTTCGATTAAACAAACGAAAATTACCAAATTTTCCGGCATCTTTTTTGTCTCGGTTTCGCTGGAATATGCATTCATCGAGTTCAGAGATTCCTGTGATGCAAGCTTTTTCGAGTCATAAAATGAGCCCGTCAGCTCCTTCTCAAACAGGTCGAGGGATGTCAGATCCAAATCTCGTGATGGTACCTACATTATCAACCATTCGAGAAGTCTTTTGCGAACCTACGTTGTCATACGGGCTTGTCATTTGCATCGATTCATTGACGATTTCGAGGGGATAATGCGGAACAGTAAAGCTCGCAGATACTTTTTCCATATTCGGGACGACATGGGTACGTTCTTGTTTGTTCTGAATCGGAAAATAAGGATAAGAATGAAAATAACTAGCCTTTGTGGAATTTCGTCTAGCTGGAGGTGTAGGTTGAACGGGAGGTGGACTGAAGATAGATTCAAGGTCAGATCTAAAATTTTGAAAGTAACAACTTGCTTTTCGCTTTAAAAAATAACAACATACCTTATGGCACTAGAAGCACTTTGCTTTGTATTGGCTGGAGGAGGAAGCGGGGCCGGTTGTTTTGGTCTGACTGAAGAAGAACGACCCGGCGAAGGCGAAACCGCAAAAGAAGGAGAGGGATGGTCAGACTGTCTTAAAGTTTGCGCTTGATTTGATCGATTATTAAATACATACCTATTCTTATTGCCCATGGTGTCCACTGCCAGGGCATTTCCATGATCATATTGCTGAACTGGGCTCGGTAGCGAACGATTGACTAGAGAATTTTCAGAGGAGATCGAGGCATACGAGGTGGAGCTCGCAGGAGAATTGGAAAGTCCGGTCTAAAGAAATGTGTGTATTGATGAGTAATTTTGCCTACTTTTGGTAATGACGGGTAGTCATATTGTCGATGCTGATATGGATCCACATCCACTGGGACATGAATATCTGCTGCGTGTGCCGATCCAAATAATTGACCTGCATTCTCAAGGAGTGCTTCGACAATCTAGAAAAATGAGCTTATTCATAATTGTGGCTGTTTCTGTTACCTGCCGACTGGCAACATCATTCTCAATCGACGTCCCAACAAAGAGATTTGGTGCAAAGACAATAGCCATATTCCCCGAATTCATCCTTAATTAAAAATGCCCAAAAACCTGCGAAGAACTCACATTGTAACATCCTCATATGTAAGCATTTCAGAAAGGAAATTCATCAGATATGTCAAGTTATTTCTATTTGCCGCGGGCATACCGTGGATAACTTTTTGAAGCGCATTCACCCGAGCGGAGCCGTGTAAACTACAAAAAGCTGCATTGTTTTTTCGCAGGTTTCAGTCACCTGGCTGCATTCGTCCAGGCATTTACCAAGTCTCTCGTCAACAACGGTTCCGGCAATTCTCGAAGATAGCATTTCAGTACCGAACATACCTAATGACATAAATATTAAAAATTAATTATTATTTTGCTACCGCATGTTGATCCCTTGAATATTCTTCCCAATTTGTATGATATTGTGAAGCGTCGAAAGCCGCTTTCATCCGTTTGATTCGGTTGACGTTTCCATTGACACGAAACATTCCTAGAATTTCCAGATCAATACCCACCACATAATCACTACATCTAAACCACTATCGACAGACGTTTCCGAGTTGAAAGCCAGATAAACAAATTTTACATTCGCCTATAGCATAAACCCAAGGAGACCGAACCCAAATAAAACAGAAAATAATGCAAAACCTCGAACTGCTGGCACTAATCGACCATGTTCATCTATTGGAAATGCAAAGATAAATATTTTCTGAAAAAAATCGAGCTTCAAAAATTACCTTTTTCTTTTTCAGGATTATGCCGGATCATGGCGCAGCATTCTTCAATCACCAACGCAATATCCCGATTTGTGCGCTTCAAATGATCCTCCAAATCAACCCGAAAACGGGGGATGGATGAGCATTTTCTAAAGGGATTTAGTCAAGCGGTCAAGATGTAAATTACCGATGTCCAACAGAATTTCCGGCAATGCATTTTGATAGAGCAACAATGCGGAGTGATGATATTCGATTTGCTCCTCCACAAAATTGGCGAAACTTGCAGCTATTTCTTTTCTTTTGAGAAGAGACTGTACATTTCAATAATCGTGAGGTCCTGAAAAACAAACAGAATAATGTATATTAGATACTTTAGGCAGTGGAACAATGATTTGTTGCTTAACTTGGTCTTAACCTACCTTATGTGTCTCCAGCTTCATTTTCGAGCTATCCAGATTTTCTTGCAACTCTTTCAGCTTTTCCTCCTCGCCATGTTTTGTGTTATTCAAAGATTTCTCAGCCAAATCCACGTCGATCGTCAGATGCGCTAATTTTTCCTATATTGACGGTCATAGATTTTGATAAATCGATCGATACCTTCAGTTTCGCTAGCGACTTATCCAATTCCACATATTTGCTCAATTTTTCCATCACGTTTTTCTCGAGTTTTTGCTCAAGGTGGATCTGAGAGAGGGTTGACAGAGAGAACTTTCCATACTTTTGCATCCATCGTTTTATTCACCGTGTCACTGATCTTTTTCATGACTTTTGTCACACAAGAGGCCGGATCCATTTGCGAGGCATCTGTCCCCAATTCGGTTACGAGCCCATATTCGTCCAATTTTTTCTAGAGTCAAATTAATTTATTATTGGTAAAACTTACCTTTTTCTTATCATCTTCCTTTGAGCAAGTTTTCAGGCATGTAGCCAAATTTTTGCGGAATGTTGCAATAGCACCGATCGTCTGAAATTAACATAGCAAGGGTATTTTAGATATAAGTGTTCTGTTATTGAATAATCTTACCCGTAAATTTCTCTGATCAACTGCTTGCACCTGCTGTAGTTCATCACGCTTTTCCGATCTAAAATGGACACCATAATCCAGAAAATTAAAAGTCGTAATTTATTCCATGTTTTTGAAGTTGATTTGAATTTTAAATAACACGGCTACATTCTCTAACCTGTGGAATCCCACTACAACCAATTTATGAGTTATAAATCATTTTAAAAAGTTTTTATAAATATACAAATCAGATTTAATCAATAATACATGAAAACCATGTAAAAAGCAACAACTTACAATCCAAGATTTTGCTGGACCCGCATAAAACGCTGGCGCATGGCCTTATTTGCACGATCCATGGTTGACTACCCGATATGTACCAAATTGCGCATTCAGAAACTGAAATGTGTTGTTTTTGAAGTGTTGAAGGCGAGAGAATGCAAGAAAAATTAGAGATGAGGTGATGGGAATTGAGAGGAACGGCCGATGATTCACTTTGGCCTTTGCCTGTTTTGCCTTCTTTTGGGAGAATGGGGTGCACAGCCAGGGGCTGGTGTACGGTGGCTGGTTCGGATTTTAGGTGCTGGCGTGCAGATGGAAATTAAGGGGCTTTTCAAAAGTTCTCTGGAAATTATACGACGCAACTCCCAAAAACTTCTAACGTAATTTTGTGTAAATAACCATAATTTTTCATTTTTATTAATCACATTGTTGTAAAAAAAATCAGCAAATTTACAGAAACCTGTACAAAATGAGCACGACATTCTATGAGCAATAAGTCCGAATATTGTTTTGTAAATTTTTTTCAAAATCACGCCTAAAGCTATGGCACAGCGTCGGATCGTGGGGGGGTTGTGGAGGAAAAGCCAAAATGGATCTGTTGACTAGAATTATGGCTGAGGTTTAAGGACTGAATAAGGGTCTAGAATGGACTATCCAATATAAATATACATAACATTTCAACACAATAGGTTAGGCTATACATATTTAGCGAAAAAGCTCATCTCGTCGACGAAGCATTCGCAGGAAACACGAACGTTTAGATTGAATTTTTTCCAGATCTGAAAAAAATTCAATAAAACCTTTGATATATTCGGTAGTACCTGGCATTTCGCAGATCCTACATTCCGCAATACAACAAAATTCATATGTTTTTGCCGGCATTTACCATGGGCTTAAATGGAGTTTCCGAGGCCAGAAATACACTTACGGTAATCATAAAAGTATAGGCAAGCTTTATCAACGTCACATGTGACTTCGTTGATAAAGGGTGGGAAGAAATCTTCTGGTAACCTGAATTAAATTATGCAACCATTAAGCAGCGATGCAGATCTACCTTCTTATAGCTTGACAGGCGCCACATAACCTCAAATAACCAGCTTCTTCTGTTCCACGTTTATCACAACCAAATGGAATTATGTGGGATTCACCTGTAGATACGAAATTAGCACTTTTTAGTATCTCTTAAGGTATAGCTACTACCCGAATTGTTCAATTCTCACCGACAAGCTTCTGGTGGCGTGTGGTCTTTGCCTCTTCTTCTTTAAAAGAACTAGACGGCTGCTCGTCTTTCTGTTCTTCAAATAGAAGCGTGGAGACGAGGCGCTGAAGCTGAAGATTTGGAAGAACCCCTTGACCACAAGCCGACCTCTATTTCTCTTTTGCGTCTTTTGGGTGTCATTCGGAGTGCTGGGGAGAGTATTGTTCTTCGGGGTTCTACCCTGAAATAGATCACTGTGGAACATTCATCTTTGTTCTGTCTATAGGTTGCGCTAAACAGCGTCGGTTCTTTGAAATTTGGACAAATTCTAGGGGATTTTGGGAATGAAATCTTGCATCGTAGTTAGTGAGCTATGGTATCTGAGCATACTTTTTTATGCTGAAGGAGTTTTGCTTGATGATAGATATACTTTAAATATAAGAAATACTACAAGTGTTGGAACTAAGAAAACTTTGATAACCACCAAATCTTGTTCTCAAAAATAAGAAAAATGAAACACAAGAGTTCCCAGAGTCAAATGTCATTTCCTGGGGCTTCGTGTGACCCTTTATTTAGCATTTTGGCCCTTATTTTATGCAAACGCGCTTGTACAACAAATCCAAAGATACTAAACTCCAGAAATCCATGACTTACAGCGTCAAATTCGCAATCTTATCCCGAACATGGGGTACCCTCAAATCACACGTAGCATTCAATTCGTGCACAATCCTCGCCAACGCCTCCACATTGCGTTCGACAACTTCCTTCGCCGAGCTTCGATTTTTCCACTGTAGTTGGAACTAAGTGTTTGAATCATCCTGGATTCCAGACCCTCTTCGAATAATCATCACAAATCCTATGCACGGCTTATAACCCCCCGGATTAACATATCGGGCTCCTTATACCTGGGGCGAGCTCCTTGAAAGGCCGATACTCGTTCTATCTTACTTTGCGTCATGGTACTATAGTATTATAGCTTTTCCGGGTAATAATAAATACTAAATCGGGTATGTACTCTAGCATATGAAGCCGACTTCCGGGGTGTTCAAAAATCATAGAATGGGGGCGGCGTCTTGGCGGCAAGACGCCGACCCTTTTTGGCGGGGTGAAATTGTTACAAGCCCCGGGGGACCCGGTTTTATGGTGTCAAAAAAGTTATTAGGGCTTTTATGTTGAGGATTTATATGCGCTGTGGGACCTGAGGGGTGCTTAAGAAATATTTCAATAGCTATAGCTAGCCAATTTTAAGAATTGTCACTGAGTATTAAAAAAAATTGTAATCTCCTCTTTCCGAATCTCGAATTTGCATAATCACGAATTTTGAAAATTTCGGCTTTTCATGGTTTCTTAATAAACTCTAATATTAAGAATTTAGAAATTTGCATAGAATTTTTATGAGGTTTGAAAACCATCTGTAGACTTTCTCACAATCTTGGTTTTACATCCATCCACCGGGAAAGCCGAGATTCGGAAAATTTGAGGAAGTAAAATTTTTGAAACTCCGATGGTGCGAGATTTTGGCAGATTCCATTTCCGAGGTCGCAAGTTTCGTATTATGATAAAATTTTTAGTATATTTAATTTTGAACTAGTAGACCCCATACTCAAATGTTGTCATCGGAATTAGAAGCACCGGAAATAAGGTGACCATCTCATTCAAAAGGCGCCATCTCCCCTTCAAATGATATAGTGGCGCTTCCGATCCGTCGGGACCGACCCCTTGAGTGCTCCCAACCCAATTCGAGCCCCCAAACCCATTTTTGCCGCTCCCAGAGGCCCATGACGACAAATTCAGATTTCGCTCCCGGGGAGCTCCTCCCATTCCTTCGTCTATTGTTTCGGGGGGTGTCTTTGGCATTGAGGAGGCGAAACTCCGAAAGAAGGTTTGGTGCTGATGTTTTCAGTTCTTAGGGGAAAGCTTATTAAAATTGTGCCTAGAACTCTACCCCCAAGCATGTGATTCTACCCCTTCTATCCTATCACGCTCCTTTTAAAAAGCCAACCTCGTACTGGTCGGTAATCGTTCGATCCAGAAATCGTATAACGCCCATGACATCCCAGGCCATCAAATCCGGGTTGTAGGTTCCTTTTTGTTTCAATTCTTGCACTAACTCTGCTTGCGAAAGTTGCCTGCATTCCTCGGCAGTATGATTGATCTAAGAGATGCATAGCTTTTAAGTGTTCAACGATAATATTACCCTCGGATCAAATTGTCCTCCCTTCATATTTGAAAGTTGCTTCCTCTGCGCTTGTTTTAGCAGCTACCGTACGCACACCGCTTGCAACAACAACTATCTAAATGGGATAATAAGGAGGCACCCTATTTTAATGATTCATTTTTTTGACGTTTTTAGACTTGGAACTTATTGGACCCATTTGAAGGTGCAAAATCCAACGTCTCATTATGCAATCCCGGGTTGCAGGAACGGGTTTTGGGGTGCCTCCCGTTGATGGGGGACAGATATATTTGCACGTTGACCATTGCTTCACCTACCCGATCGTTGGGATCTTTCGGCGATTTTTCGCAATGATCCAATGCGGTCCATGAAGAATGAAGAGTTCCGATTGGGAATGGTGGCCGAGGATCGGGGTACGGGGGTAGTGACTAAAATTTCGTGTGTAAGGAAATTAGATAGGAAAAAGTTGAGACGCTATAAAAGAGTCTGAGGGCCTGATTATACGGTAGAACATCGCTAAGTGTTCATTTTTTCGATTTGCTTTCTCGCCGGGCCTTTATTGATTAATTTTCATGAAATACACTTTATACGTCTATTTTCTATCTGGTTCAAAGGGTAGTGAAAACGCGCAAGAGACCAAATTAGCGGGCGTAAACAGCATTCAACGAAATAACATCCGGCGAAATGATTTGGAATCAGTACATTCCCGGTAGAATCCACGCATTATTAGCAGGCCAGCCATCTGAGTAAACCTATTACGTTTCCTACCTTTTTTGTGGTTTTTTCTCATCCAAAGCCGGCTGTGGAGGTGGAACGGCGTAGGTGGAATTGGTTGGGTCAGAATTCACGGGCTCTTTCGTCGGCGCCATCGTAGTAGTTCCTGCCGATTTGGCTTCTTGAGTCGGAATCAATTGTTCAGTGACCATTTCCGTTTCACTTGATCCGTCCTCGCCAGATCCCTCATTCATCGCTAGCATTTCCTCTATAACGATGTTTTTATTTCTGCCTAAACCACTTAGACTTCAATCCCCCATCCACTTGAAAATTGTGCCGAAATAGGCATGAGGCGTAATTTGATCTGGCTCTTTGAAAATATGGACGGAACGGCGGTCGGGGCTTTTTGATTCCAAAATCTACCTGGTTCCCCCTTTGGTCGTCTCTCCATTCTTTGTATTGTCCTGTAGAGCCCCACGGACTTTCTGTAGGTTTTCCGCGAGAACCTTTTCATAATGTTTCAGCTCATCAACTAAAGCAAATAATAGACCGGCGGGATGCACGTCGGGTTTTGGTGTTTGGCTATTTCAGATGTGAATAGGGGTCATTATGCGCAAATCGGGGAGGGAGGGAACAGATTTATAATGGATAAGGGGTGGAGAGGACAATCGGTGAGGGATCGTTTGGGGAGGATGATGTCAGGTTTTGAATTTTGGATTTTTGAACAATAAAAATTTGCGAATTGGATCTTCGGTGTAGACATGAGGATGTGAAAGAGAAAGTGGCGATTACGGAGTGAGGAGAGAAAGTGGAGATAATGTCAGCATTTTGATCAAGGATGGCTAGATGTGAAGGACCGGTTTTTCGTTTGAAGTAGATAGTATATAGAAAGACTTACCCGTAACATTATTCAAATCCAAATTCTGCAATTTCGTGAATGTAGTAGCGGTAACAATGGTGAGAATAGTTGACGAGAGAAAGATGCCGAGATTAAGACATAGTATCGTGGCCCTGGGATTGTTCATCGGTACGCATCCGCGTCTGAGGTCAGGGTTGAGCAGGAGGGACAGGATCTCAGCACCCAATACAAGCGAAAGCCACCAGCCCCGAAAGCTTCTAAAGGGGTTGGTAGTTTGAGTGAATGAGAGGGAGGGGGGGAGGTTGTGTTGGATCGGATAGGAATGCAAGACGGCAGCCCCTCACTGTGCTGGTGGCAGCTGAGTCAGACCAGCAACTCCCCTCCAGGCTCTACCCACCTCCTCCCCCCTTCCAGCTCTCCCCCTTAAAGGAGGAGCATCAGCCTGTCTTTCATGCATACGGCTCAGATCGATCCAAAAGCCATAGACACATACACACACAACCCGCGAATACCCTCAAAACATCCTCCTTCTCCTCATCCCGCCCGATAGAGCATCATATACCAAAAGGAGGATGAGGAGAAGGGGAGGCTGAGGTTTCGGTTCTTCCGAACGGGCTTCGGGCTATCCGCCCCTTGTCTTTGGCTTTCGCTTATGGGTTGGAGGGAAAGGCAGAAGCGGATCTGGTTAGTAAGGAGGAAGGATATGAGGGAGAAAGTTCTGATAACGGGTAACTATTATATGAGGTAGTGTGTTAGAACACTGACCGCTCAAGGTTGCCAAGTGGAAGAACTGAATAAAGTTTTTCAAAATTTATTAACATTTTCGGCTCACTTGTGAATTTTCAGAAAGACAATTGAAATTTAGCTTCGCATAAATTAATAAACGACATGTTTTTAGCTTATTTTCTGAGTTTTGCCCTCATTCTTCTTATGTAAACACTTCCGAAAATTTTTCCAAAAGTTCCAAAGCACTTTGCAGGCCACTATCAACACCACCCCCATCTTGTCCCTTTATTTATGGTCAACCGGAAATTAATCCGGACCACCCAAGGCGGGAATCGTTTTAAGGAACAGCCGCTCATTCTTCTTCCCCCTCTTCTCCTCCACATTTTTAGTACCGAATCGTGGGCGAATATAGCCGTTTTTGCCATCCGTTCCAGATAAGCCATCGGAAATTCTTCTCCAGCCCAGCGAGAAGACCTACCAAATTGTGAATCAGTGGCTATTATGCCGGTTGAGGGTGTTCGTTCCCTTCCATGGCATTTGGGGCTAACGAAGCTCATACTGTTTGTTACGGCTAGAGCTCATTCCTATCCTGATAACCACAGCTTCTACTTTTACCTAAAGTGTTTTGGGGCGGAAATATTTCTCGAAAGACCCCTCGGCCGCCGACCCAGAAGAGTATCTTCAAAACGAATTTGGAATGCGTGGGAAAAGCACCTCGGTTTAGCTTCTCTCACCGCCACGCCAACTACAAATATCCGTCCGGCTGTAGGGTGTTCGCGACAAATAATGTTGGCGAAATTTCTTGATGCGGTTGGGCTTACGATTTTGTTATATTTCCGGAATGGGGGATGAGAGGGAGGGACGGTCAATATTCTGTCGTGGTGGGGGGTAGATTCTCACAATCGGGGGTAGCAACGGCAAACAGATGTAAATCGGGAGGAATCACCAAACAAAGGGCCCATTTCAATGGCCAACATCTTCAGCCAGCGTTTTTACGATGTGCCCAAATGGCTAAACGTTTTTGTGGTTTTGATTTTTATGCTTAAACGAGCCGTTTTACATCCCAGTTTCGAGCAGCACCGGGCCGACCCTTTGCAGGATTTTTCGCGGGGTTTTGGAATCTGTTTTCAAAATTGCCTACCCGGAATTGATCCCTCGAATTTTTGCTGTGGTAAAGCAGACAATTTGAAGACTTTGACTTTAAAATGATCCGTAACTTCTTGAACATGCTGATGAACCAAAGTTCGCAATACTATTCGGTGTAACGCCTGTAACTGAGATCTCCTGTAAAAAGCCTCTTTGAGAAATCAAATCCTATTTTAGCGAAAGCGTTACCTTTAAAGCAACTAGAAACAACCCCATCTTCCTCCCCGTCATTTCAATTTCAGTAAATTTCAATGACTTCCATAATTCCGCATGAAATGTTTCGAGTCCATAGATGACCCCTCCGAAAGTTCAAATAATTGAATTCCGCTTATCCGCGAATCCCTGCCCCATCCATCCGACATTAACCCCTTTTACTCCCTCGAAAGCCAGACTCCTCCCACCTTCCCGCCTCCCTTCATCCCCTTGCAAAATGAGTGGAACTCGCTTACCCGGAAAATGCACCATTTCCGCGATATTGTTCCTCTGTAGAACGGGAGAATGCTGGCCATTGTTCTAAATCTGGAGCAAGCAGCATGGCGATCTTAGGGGTCTTTAAGGGCTACTCTCATTTGCCGAAATTTGGACTTTTTCATGGGGGTATATTAGTTGCAGGGGGAAGGTGCTAGAAGCTTTTTGTTAGAGGGTCAGAAGACCACCCAGGTGGCGGAGGAGGAGGGGAAAGGGGTGGTGCTCCTGGGCAGAGTGTGGGCTCTGAGATCTTAATCGCCTCCCGGCTTAGCATCTTTGAGACGGCTTTCTGAAATGGGCGGTGAAAGGCGAAGTGGGAAGGGGAGGGGGAAGAACCACATTACCCAGGTTGCCAGGTAGGTGGGGGAATGACGCTCCGGTGGAAAGTCTTCGGATGTGAAAGGTTTTATTCAGTTTTGGGTACATTTTGGCATTCCGTGTATTAGTCAGCTATTTTTTTTTGCTGAAGGTTGCTAAACGGAAATTCAGGAAATGTTTTGATGCTTTATCGAATCCCTTCATAGTAGAATCTTGAAATCTGTAGAAATACTTCAAAGTGGTGTTTCCCGCTCACCGCCCACCGGTTCGCGAATTTTGTTAATTAGGTCACTGTAAATTAAGTTTTTTGGGCTGAAATCAAATCCACTATAATTTGGAATGGGGAAAAAATGGGACCATGCATTGCAAGACCCCCCCAAGTTAAGCAACTTTCCTGCGCTTTTGAACTGATGTTTTCAAGGAGTCATCATTCCCATCGGATTCATTCAAGATTTCTGCTCCACATCACATCATGGGATCAGCTGCGTAAGATATTGGTCCCAAACCAAACGATCGGCGCTGCCCACTTCCAGGCCAATTACCGCATAATTCAGAATGCGCTGACGACTACTGATGCCCGCCCCAACATCGGGCCAACACCGTGTTCAGTGTCACGACATGGCGTGTGGGTATGTCTCGGGATGTCTGAGAGGTGGAAATTCTTGGTATGAGGAAAGGTGGTTCTTCTCCTGCTGCTGGGGGCCTGGTCCAGCTTCTCCTCGCCCCTTTTCCTTGTCCATACTTGATGACCTATCCTCATCCGCACATCATCCTCCTGCGCTTCAGATCGCTTTGCCGGGGGCCCAAAGGCGCTTAATTGGATTATCGCAACACTTTTGAAGGGACCCATTTCCCCGGCTAGCCGGTCGTGGCTTATCCGGGAGGACGGCTCCATCGTTTTTCACCCCTTCACCCTGGCCTTGTAATCTTGAAATTGATCGCTCAGTAGATGCACAATTTCGTAGATTATTTTATAGAGTTTTTATCGTTTATGAAGGTCTTCTCTAGGTGATACTAGTCATCTTAGTTAGTTTTCATCCCAAGCGCATTAAAGGGGCTCTACAGAACCTTTGCCTCGAAACGTTCCTAATTTTGCATAAATCTACTCTTAGTAGCCAGAGAGCGCGCCATATGAAATCGACATTGCTGGTTGCAAATTTTCACATTTCGTAGAAAATTCAAATCATAGCGAAATTAATAATTAGCTAAAATTTGCAAATTTATCTAAATTCCATAAACCGATTTTAATTGCTTTGGTTACGGTAGTATGGTCAGTTCTCGCACGACTAACAACATTTTACCTCCCTCCAAAACCTATGCACATAATTCCAAACACGAGCCCGGTTCTTTGCTGCTAGGACCTCAAATTTGTATCCGCGTCAAGGTGGCCCCCCCACGTGGAAACAGGCCAATTCCGTCACTCAAATCGGCCGACGACTTCAAGTCGTCACGCCGAGCTTTTTGTACGGTTTTCCAGGTATTACAAGATCGGGTGTTTTGTCGTATAGGATATTGCCGGTCTTTTGCTCCCTGACATCACTAGAGTTTTGTGGGGCAGGCTGGGGGGGGGTTTGTTGAATCTGGAGGATGGGGCGTGCATTTTGGATGGTTTGAAACGCTGTTCTGCTTAGAAACGTTTGCTGCGCATGTTTGTTTAAGATGCTACTTTAAATTTTGATAGGATTTTGCGGGATGTGCATCAAGATTTTTAGAAGGTCGTTGAATAGCGGCTTTTTGGAGGGAAAATTAAGAACCTTCAACGGCTTTATTTTTTCTAGAGGATAGGGTGCCGTATTTCTACTGATATAAGCCCGGGCATGTATTTTTATCTTTCTAATAGACGGCTTTTACATTTTGATCAATCAAAATAGCGAAATTCGAGGGTAAAATTGATAGGCTTTTACAAATTTCATCGTTTGCTCGTCTTAAATGTGTTACTAACAATACAAGGATAGTAGGAAAAAGGGCTGTTATTCAAAATTTTTGTGAATTCGCTGCAATTTTGATAGCATTTATTGGGTGGTATATATTAGAGGGCTTTATTTTTCAACCGCCGTAAGGAGATGTTATTAGAGGCTTGATGATAGAATAAAAGGGGGCGTTTATAAACATTAAAGGAAATATGATATCTGGTATGTGGTTTAATTTGAAGAAAATGGCCCTTAGCGCTAGCTTCAGTTGTATCCTTCTTTCCAGCCCGTCCTATAAACTAAACTTCCCCGGGTGATTGGAACCAGAACACCTAGACACCAATTGGCAGCCGGGCCGGGGGGTCAATTAAAGATGTGTTATGTCGACGGTTGATGTTCCATTGGGGATAGATCCTCAATGGGTCTTTAGGGATAGGGCATCCAAGCCGAAAACGTTGTTTTGGGGCAGCCCGTAGACAGCCCCCGCCACATCCATCGTTGGGACGGATGGCCGGACGGATAAACAGGAGAAATCCCCAAAATTGTGCCCTCGGCCACGCAACTCATCAAGTCCCGCGCCTCTCCCCCGCTAGCTAGTCGAAATCGTAAAGTCAATCAGGAATGTGTTAGCCAGATTTTTTTTTCCTTGGAAGTTTGCCTTATCCCACAGCCGGATTTTTTTTCTGATGGTATACTGTAGCTCGCGATGGGAATTTTGTAGTGCAGGAGTTTTCTGAGAAGCTTTCTTACCTTACTAGTTTTTCTCACGTAAAAATTTTTAAGAAAACCAGGAAAGCCCAGGCTAATTCGCATGAAACCTGATAACGTAAACTTAGCATGGGTCTGCTCTTACTCTTGCCGGGGCCCAACGTCTTCCCTTTTTGCATAGCGTCTCCGGTTGGCGTTTGGACAACTGTAGATCTCATAGGGATTCTTGGAACGAAAAATCCAAAATTGACTGACTTTTTCTTCATCTCACTTCGAAATAAAAAAGCTTCATCTTAAAAAGCGACATGCCAGGCAATGCAATGTTTGACTCTTTTTACAGGCAAAACCCTAGGCAATTTACCGCCAAGTCCTAGGCTATTTGACCACAAAAGAACTTTCATTTTGGCGAAGGCGGATGCCAATCCGGAACCCCCGAAGGGCCAAATGCCCATTTCGACCTCATCTACCCTGCTTCCGCCCACCCACATACCTACATCAGCATCCATTCCTCAACCCTTTGTATATCTTGGTGACAACAGCAAATTTAAAAATCTACAGCAGTAGGCTTTTTTGAATGTGATATTTACATTTCTCTGACATGCTCTTAAAATCCAAACCTGTAAGGAGCTTTGGTTTTCTTGAAGATCCCCAATTTTCCGTTGTGCTTTTATTTATCAGTGTCAGTGCACTAGGTAATACTAGCCCTGGACATAGCTACATTTTTGATAACTACATGGTGGATGGGGTGGGGATTCCCGGAAAATTATTGGCGGCGTGGCGGGACCACCTGTCGACTCCCGGCAATCCGCCCAATAAGCCCGTAAATTTGTGGAGGATCGGATAAATTCCTCAAAATTTGTTGATATTTTATTTAATTAAGCAACGATGGCTTAACTTACGGTTTATTAAAAAATTTAACAGATTGATTTTAATTGCTGATTAAGGTGACGCTTATTTGCTCAAATCAGCCAGATATCAGGATTTCCTGCTTTGAAACTGGGTAGTTTTTGTGGCTCAAGTGAGTTAATATAGAGAGTTTTACTGACAAGGACTTTCATCAGTTTCCGCCACTTTAAATGTCTTTTGAACACCGCCCTTGAAGAGCCTAGCCTCCTCCTCACCACTCTCCCACGAGCACCACCAACCTAGCCGAGTCACGCATTTTTGTTTTGCTCCGCCAAACTCTCCGTTTAAAGTCCCTTTAATTACAAAGCTGCTGTATAAGCCGATGCCCCCGTGGCCGTCCCGTTTTTTCCGGAGCGGGATCGGGACTGGCTGGCTGGGTTCTCCAGGGCGTCCGGCTAGAGACCTAAGGAAAAGCCTTCCCTCCCCAACTCCTCATTCCTTTCCCCCCTTCAGATGGACGCTACCCGCAACCCCATCGAAAAACCCACGAATCTTCTACAAGGCGTAAACAAAAAATTTGACATCTTCTGTCTATTCTCCCTTTTTTCGGTGGTGCCAAAAACCATGGTTCTGCTGTTCATCAAAAAATGGCTGGTCTGGGTTGGGGTGAGGGGATGGATATTTTGGGTATGGCCGACCTGAATATGTGGGGTGGGTACTAGTTGTTTTGACAGCTGATACCGACGGGCGGGATTCTGAAAAGACAAGGAAGCCCGCAGAGCAGACGGCTCTTCCTTCTCGACGCCGTGTTTTAACATGGATCCCCATGTCGTGCACTTCAGACCTTCCTCTTCTATATCAAGAAGCCGAGGACGACAAAAGGTCACTGTACCGCCGCGCGTAAAGGATATTCTCGAGCTCTTCGCGGGTGAAATGTGAAATTTGAATGCACTTTAAGTGGGGCGGGGGGAAGGGTTTTGCTATCCGGGTTGAAGGATGGGTGCGCGGCAATGCGGAAGTTTTAGTGAGGGGTGGGATAAACTTATCCATAGGGAGTAAAGGTGGTGTGGGTATATGGGGTGGTTGAGGCGGGCAAAGCAAAAACAACAAGTTGGTAACCTTATTTCAGGGGACAGATGTGCTCGAGGTTATTGGTTTTTAATACATTTTTAGGTGTTTGCGGGTGCGTGCATTTTTGGAAATGGGTTTTTAGTGTCACGGAGGTCGCTGTAGAGCGAACATTTTCTACCATTAACACCCTGATCTCTTCAATGGTTCTAAATTTGTGTTTTTTTCCACAGTTTCAGCAAAATTTCAAATGAATTCAAGCCATTGTTTTCCATTTTAACGGATTTTAACTCCTTTCATTCCCTTAACACCTAATTGCGGAATGGATATTGCCTTTTTGAAGGTCTAGCTCTCCCCATCCACCTCATCGGACCCTTCCGTTTCCGATCAAAATTAGGACATCCATGTGGGCGTCCGAGGCCCATGAAAAGGCCCAGGGAATTTTTCGTTAGCCGGCCGGAAACTACCGGAACATGCTCCTCGACGACGTCTGCCCCCCGAATTACGAGCTTTTGTTCCGGTAAGCTCGTTTGATGGTCCATATATCTTCTCGGCAATTTTCGGGTTGCTGACTAGAAGTTTTATGGGGTGCACGTATGTTTCCGTTTGCCATTGATGGATTTAGAGTTGCGATAAATCCTTTCACACCAATTTGAAGAGATTTCTCTTGGTCTGTTTAGAAACGCATTTTTCCTTGTTTAAAACTGGCAGTTTCCCAGTTTCCCACCTGGCCAATCTTCCCATCCTCCATTTTATCCACGAATTTAAAGTTTCGAGAAATATCTCGGCACCGTTTTTGACAAGATTTTCCATGAGCTGCTTGAAATAAACCCATTTACCCAGCGGAATACTAGTAGTTCGATGAACAACGAAAAAACACTATCTTGTTTACATAGAGTGCTGCCTTCAAAAATGAGGGGTCTTTAGTCGTCTATTCGAACCCCGGGCAGTCTTCTTCTTTTTTTTGGGGGTCGATGAGCTTCTGGGATTTTTTCGCCCATCCTTCCGGTGTATTCAGCCTGCAACAGGCGATCACTAACCCGGATTATTATCGCTGTTTTCGATGTAGGACACATTAAGAATTTCTTCCAAAGTTTTTAGAATTAAATAGCAAAATCCAGTTTTTGGCCGAAGGCCTTGAATCACATTCCCATTGAGGCCCCCAAAAGTGAATCATAGACGGCGGAGTGTTGAATGGCGAGATTTCACGGTCCATTGAGCCTGTTTGTTTGGAGCTATTCGATTATTCTGGCGATGGGCTTGTGGCTGAAGCAGCTAACACATCGTTTTTACGCTCTTCGGTCTGGCTGTTGGTTTTGTGAATGAACAACATGAACTTCGTGGTCACCGCGAATGCTAGAAACTCAGCAAGTCAAAGTGTGCCACTACCCTAGCTAGACTCCTTCTTACACCTTCTTACAGCCTAGTCGTCGGGATTTCAGGCGTGATTAGAGGGAGTTGGATTCGAAATTAGCATAGTTTGGAGGGGACTAGAGGCTCCGTGGAGGGGCAGGCGTCGAGTGGGGCTCGGGGCCGTTGAGGGGCTCTCGTGCAAATTGAGCTTGAGCCGGTGAGCCTCTTCTACCTTCGGCTCCTTGGCTGGGGGTGAGGCTTCGTCTTCCGGGTGTTCTCCTTAACTGATCCTTGGAGCCAGGTGTGATCAGGGAATTCTAAAGTGCTTCAGAGGTGTTTGGGGTTTTAGGAGAACTTTGATGAATTCTTAAGGTTTTTCGGCTTCTCCTGTCATTTTGTGTATTTCTGGTTAAAGTTAAACATTTCAAGTAGGCTTTGATTTTATTTACTAGCCCACGGACCGATTTTACTTCCCATTAATTGCCGACACTTTCTGGAAAGCACAAAGTGGCTTTTGATATCACCGCTAAACCTTGGTTTCCACCTGCCCAATTTAGCGCAGAGAAAAACGTGCCCCCATCAGTCCGGCCAGCTGGAAACATGGCGCATTAATAGCCGTTTGCGTTCTCCCGGTTCTGCAACTTCCATTGATGTTTCTTTTTGGGGGCATTGACAGCTATGCTATTTCGCTTTAGATATGGCAGAAAACGACACACGACCGTCGTGTGAAGAATGGTGGCATATATTTGAGAATATTAACCATTACTTTCGCGATGATATTGTTTTGAATGGGACTGGGTATGCTTCTACAGAGGTGAGGAATTAATTTAATTTATTAAAGCTAATTGAAAAAATTGGATCTGGAACTTTTCGCCTTCGGTGTTAGCACAGCTATTCCCAAATGCAAAAGCTCTATTCATGAAAGTTGTCTGGTCCTTGGCCGTGCCGTGTTTTGACCGGCTCAACCCCACAGCTCGCAATTTAAAGCCAATGCCAACTTTTGGGAGGGACGGCCTTCCAAAAAAAAGAGGGACCCGCTCTGAAATTCCTCATTTCCAGATTGGCTACGCGATCACAGCTGCCTACCTCGTGGTGATATGTGAGTCCAAGGATCCAAGTGAAAATTCAATCTCAATAATTCAGTGTTTGGCGCCTTCGGAAATTTTATGACGATCCTGGTCGTCGTGATCAATCCTCATATGCGAACCACCCGCAACTTTTTCATCATGAACCTCGCGTTGAGCGACTTTTTTGTAAGGATTTTGGGTGGCAGATTAAAGGGGTGGTCGTGGTGGGGGGCCTAATAACAACACACCGCATTCATTATTATTTTGGGTTCTATCTGTTATCTATGGGATAGGAAAGGGAAATGAGGTGAGTGAGTCTTTCCATTCTGCAGGAATATTAATCACCACAATATGTGAGGAAGAGGCTTGTAATGAGGGCCCAGATGTGTGACATTTTTTTGGGATAAAGGGGATGTGAAAATAATGGTAAGATTGATGGGAATATGGGTTATAAAGCGGGAATTTTCTAACTTTGCATAGCTTAGGCTTAAAAACTAGAGGACTTCATAGATGTCAAATTACATTCAAGAAAACCATTTTTCAGGTCTGTACCGTCACGGCACCAATCACACTCTATACCGTAATGTTCACCTTCTGGCCATTCGGAACACTGCCATGCAAAATAGCCGGCAGTCTACAGGGGTTCAACGTCTTCTTGTCGACGTTCAGCATCGCAGCCATTGCACTCGATCGGTATGCACCTTTGGTGCGATAATAACAGAATTTCTCCGTATTGCTAGCGGTTTTACCTTTTTGGTTGGTCAGGAGCAATTAAGAATCAAAAACCTTGGGCCCCGTATTTTCCCTAGGGGGAGTCGAGCTCATGACTATGCGGCTAAGTTCAATAGTAGCTGTGAGAAATGCATGACGAAACTAGTCAATGATAAAAAAAGGTGATAAAAAAAACGTAAGCCATACTATCCAGGAATTTAATAAAAATAGAACGAATGACAATGATACGATTCATGGAAGACACCCAAATATAAATTTTTAGTTACGTGCTCGTCATCTTCCCAACAAAACGAGAAAGACAACAAAACCTGGCGCTCGTATTTTTTATCATGATTTGGATCACATCACTGGTACTCACAAAACTATTTAACCATGCCAATTTGTTTAGATACTCGCTATTCCACTCTTCATAGCATCCGACTTAAAGCCAGTGTTCCGGTCGGAACCCTGTGGAATCTCCCTAGATTTGTGCCATGAGCAAAATGATATTTGGAACAATGTAGGGAACGCGTTACCTTTTAAATAGTTTATTTTTTTAGATGTGGATCTCCAAGCGTGATTATACTCTCGGCGCACTAGCGACGCATTATGCCTTTCCGCTGTGTTCTACGGTTTGACACGGGATTCCGGATCTGAAGGCTTTGCCTTTTTCAGGTTTTTGCATATTCTCGCATCGCTCACCGTATGAAAATGCGATTTTCCACAAAAAATAATGCTCGCCCAGCGATGGCGTCGAGTCTACGGCGAAGGTAATTTGTTTCCAATCTGTCTATTTTCACTCATGAGTTCTTGGGAATATTGGATACAGGGTATATTGGTGTGGGAAAGATCAACTCAATAAATTGAGCGTATGCGACAAATTTCAAGATTATGGTGGTAAGGATGGAAAAATTAGTTCAGAAAAGTGATAGAACAGTTTTGACGTTTTGCTAAGTTGCAGATCGGTCGTCGAGAGACAAAGACGTACTCATCTATTGTTAATTTGCGTTGTGGCCGTTTTTGGGATCGCCTGGCTGCCGTTAAACGTTTTTCATATGGTAAAAGCTTTTGCATTTATTAATAATTTATTTTTCTAGACAAATACTTTCGAATGGGCGCCATTTTCTGTGATTGTCTTTGCTGGGTAAGAAAATCAAAGGAAGATGAATACTGTATTCTAGCTGTCACATCATTGCGATGTGCTCATCATGCCTAAACCCCCTCTTCTACGCGTTCTTCAACCAGAACTTCCGCACCGAATTCATCGCATTATTCGATAAGGCCGGGCTACGGTATGTTTATAATCAAATCAACTCCCACGTCGGTGCCATTCCAGTCGTGTTCGTTCGAAACTGATTTCCCCAGAGATGTAAGGTTCGCAAGTTTTTGAGCGAATGGCACATAATAAAAAATGAGCTTTGCCGTGTCCTAACGATTCCCAGTAGGATACTAACGTCAACTTGAACCTTGCTGATTTTTAAGAAAAAGTTTTTTTTAGTCGGGTGCGTCATTTCTTTGGGACGATTGATCGGCTACTTGGGAATGAGATGCCGCAGACCACGAAAGGAGGTATGCAGAATTCATATTGAAATGATGTCAGAGGGAGGACACAGGGGGAAAAATTAAATTCTATTTAATTCACTAGAAAAAGCTGACAACCCATAGATAACTTCTAACTTTTAGTCACCGCCAGCGAATTCTACCCAGACATCACCGAAACTTTCCCACTGGCTGCTACAGAAGCCCACCGACCTGAAGAAAACCTCAGCTCCCTCCGTGTCCCCAGCAAATGTGTACCGGCCTAGTCCCAAAATCTTCCTTACTCTTCGATACTTTAACCCCTTAGTTCCACAATTTGTAACATCCTCTTATAATTCTGCACGCCATTCCGGTCCTTCCGAAGCTCAAATGTTTTGAAAAATGCAGCTAGTCTCATTCAACATTATCAATTTGATTGCACCCCCGATCGGGTGATGTACGGGTCACGTATTTCCATTTTGCCTTGCGGGTAATGCTTTGATTTTGTAATTTTTTTGGTATGGATAAAGCTTTTAAAATGTTTGTTCGCGGGCGATCTCACTCCGTATTTTTGGTGGCAATGAATTACTTTAACGTCTTTATTCAATACAAACAAGAGGGATCACAGTAGAATGGATGAAGCCATAAAATGAACGGCGCATTGGATCAGAGGAGACAGCCGATGGCACGCAGCGCATTGTAGGGGCACTTTTCCAGGCAGCACTGCTGTAGTGCGTCAGCCGGATCGATCTCCTTGTCGTAGCCGACATTTTCGAGTCCTGAATTCAAATCAATAATTCAAATATGAAATTAGGTCTTACCATACTCCTCGATCAGCGCGTCACACTCGCCGGGCTGGGCGACGAAGCGCTGGACGCGAAGGTTACGTTCAAGGCGCCGAATACAGAGCTAAACTTATAGCGTTAGAAAGTTAAATATTGAGCGTCATCTACCTTTGGTCGTGGCTGCTCAATATCGGATTTCTTGATAAAGCCCGCATCAACAGCCAGCGCACAGAAGACAGCCACCAGGACGAGGAACCACAAGTTTGCCATGGAGTCTGCTGAAATTCTTGGTATCTAGGGTAGCTAGAAATTCACACCAAATCCCAAACAAATCGCGAGCTGCCAGCAAATGACTACAAGGTGAGGGCAAGTATAACAAAAATTTGGTGGAGGCGTGGCCCGATTAGTTGGACGGATGATTAGGACGGTACCCAAGGGAGTTTGAAAAAGTATTCCCATGGTGTCTAATGTTGTCGACGACATCAGATGCTATGGATCGTGTGGGGAGACCTGTTTGAGTCAGGACAATTAGTGAGGCGAATTGTAGGCGGATGAGGAGAAAATTTGGAGGTTTCATGAAATATGTACCAATTTTTAGACGCGATTTTCAGATTTATAGAAGTTGCTTTAAGTAGAAAATTCAACAACCTATGCAAGATACGGTAACTAAAGCCCATTTTTGTGAAACCAACGAAACCAATCCTAGATGTCTAGTCTCAAAAGCTGCAGACATTCTGCCGAGTTTTCCTTCCCAATTTTGAGGAACTACCATTAATCGCTTTAGCGCAGGTCCGAATCGATAATTAGCCGCTATTCGCCCCAGCAAATAATTGCCGCCCCACGGAATTGTACTTCCATCTCCGGCTTCAGCTAGATAGACGTCATTATGGGATCCCTTCCCCCTTCCGTCTTCTGTCACTTTTCGATTTATTCAAAAAGGAAATTTTGCAAAATTTGAAAATGAATGGAATGGTGGAGGCCCGGCAACACTATATAGCTACCACAAAATAAAACAAACTGACACAGAGAGAATATATACGAGGATGGGTGGAGATTGCAGCTGGGTCGGGGGGAAGAAGAGCCAACGCTTGGGAGGGCATTTTTTAGGGGCCTGGGGGGGGTAGGGATTGGGATCATCAGGCTTGTTCTTCAGATTCCGCTCTATGGGGGGTCCACATATTTTCGCATGCGGATCATCTTTCATCGCTTTCGGCTTACTTCTTTGTGTGGGATCTCACGTGCCCCACCACAATCAATCTTTCATGTTCGTTGCGGGGGATCTGTGCAATTTTTGAATATTGAGGATGGGCTTAGGCTTAGGGTGTGTTTGCAGCAAAAATGGGGGGGGGGTTTGGATCGGTTAAGGTAAAAAGGTCTGATCTTGGGACGACAGGGTAATTCGAATAAAAACGACAAACATCGCCAAAAATGGCTTCTCCTCATAGAAAATGTTTTGGCATTTTTGCATCTTAATTTGCATATTATCCCGATAAAGAACCTATACTTTAAAACGATCAAGCCAGGAAATCGCAGGGTAGGATTTTTACTATGTAGCTTTAAGGTACCCTCATCTCTTCCCCTCCAACACAGCCACAATATCTTCGAAGTCAGCTTTAAAAACACCAAAACTGCAAAAAGGTCACACGGGTTCAAGAAGATAAAACTAAGTATATCGAAAGCGAGGGGGGAGAAAGTCCAGTTTGTGTGTGCTGAGAAAAACCGGGAAGGGACCTCATTTTTGATAGCGCAGAAGAGCCTGGGTGTGTTTGGTGTGATTGGCCGGAAGGATTATATGGAAGGCAATAACTGGGCTCAAAAACCGGGTTATGTTAAAACATGTGTTACAGGATTGGGGAGGGTTGTTTTTGGAGGATATTGGATTTGAGGAGACGGATTTGCGTCAAAATAAGGGGCGACGACCGGCGAATGTTAATTCGACGGCGGCCAGACTTGGATAATATTTGGTAGTTCATAAATCGTCGTTTCAGAACAAAGGGGTATATAATAATTAAAATTAGAGCATATGGCTGTTGGCGTCGTGATGATTGTTGACAGCCACAGTCAATTTCTTCGATGGATCAGGGCTGGCAGTCTGCGAGAGTACTTGGTATCCTTCTGGCTGTTTCACCTGCAACCAGGAACATCTTTTTATTTATGGGCGCGCATCCTTGAGTTTTTAATTTTCAACCCCTCGCGGATGAGTGGGTAGTTGAGCGCGTTCTTTAGAATTTAACCTGGCAAGCGATTCGTTCGTTTACAAATAAGGAAGTATATTCCGGGGCAAGATCAAAACTCAAAATTTTGATTTCTTTTACCTCAATCTCCACAGCGCCTTCTTGCAAATATTTCTCACAAAGCCGAGCGACGACGGCCGCACCAATCGAATCACCATGGACGTTAACTAAGAAATAATTCTTAAGCGATCTTATTCTAAATTTACCAGTCGTCCTAATACGGTCCAAGAAGAAATCAATTGGGTAGATGAGAATAAACAAATTCGATGGCAGTCCAATAGCGATCAGCACCATAATCATCGTCACGATTCCGGCTTGAGGAATTCCAGCAGCACCAATACTGGCGAGGGTGGCTGTCAAGCTAAAAATAAACAAAAATATTAACTTCTAGATTCTAAGATTACCTGACAAGAATGATCTGCCCCAGGCTCAAATTTAACCCGACACATTGCGCAATGTAAATCGCGGCCACAGCTTCATAGAGCGCTGTCCCGTCCATATTACTAAAAAGTTACGATAATTGCCGTACAATTATTGTTTACATCGTGGCTCCCAATGGCAGAACAAATCTGGTGACCCTGGGGTCAATCCCGTTATTTTCCTCGCAACATTTTATCGATAACGGTAACGTGGCGGAACTGAAAGATTTCTAGTTGTTGATTGAAATTGCATACCTGGAACTAGTGGCCAATGCCGTCAGTAGAGCCTGTGCCATACCGTAGACGTATTTGATCGGATTCTTGCGGGCCAACTAATCGAGATTGTATATTTTTAAAGTTTTTTTGCTTACCACGACCATAATTAGGGGCAGGATAATGAACCCGTGAATGAAGAGGCCGAGGAGGACGGTGATCATGTAACTAAAGTTTTTGTTGACTATTTCTTGGCAGTAAGAACGTGTGCTCAACGGTATAAGGTTGTGATTTTCGATTTACCCCAAAAGTCGCTGCAATTCCTTTCCGGGGTCCTTCATCCCGACGATCTGGGCCGCAATCAGGAAGGTGATACCAATAGGCGAAACCCTAAAAAATATGCAAATTACCAAACGAATTAAAAAATGTCATAGTTTTCAGATTTTTAATTTATAAACACTCACCAAATAACCAGCCCAATCAGCTTCATCGAACAGGCTTCCAAGCTTCGGAAAAATGCGCGCAACGCCCTCCCTTCCTCCCCAATCCAGCTTAAGCATTTTTTTAGATGCTATTTGAATACTCTCATACCCAATCGTAATTCCCAACGCCACTGAAAACATCACAAGTCCGAGGATGTTCAGCGAGTCCGAGCGGACCTTCTCTGGCACCTCCTCAAAAATAGCGCGCTCCGCTAAAATTCGTAATAGATGCACTTTTTAATGTCTTACCAACGGACATCTTCATCACAATTTCCGGATCGACTAATACGCTGCCATTCAAAAATTTCATGCAGACTTTTTCCTAAAACGCGAATTGAGAGTTTTTAAGGCAACTTACACTCCGGAACGTGGCTTCGACGAGGTTTTCGGGGAAGAGACTTCTAAACAAAGATATTGATAAAAATTTATCGATATCTTACTTGACAAGATCTAGCACTGTATCGACAGCATTCGAAATGCAGGGCGGGGTCTTTTTAGTTTCACCCAATGCGGCTTCGATGTCGGTGACCACCCAGGTGCCTGGTTGGATCAGCACCACCAATATGATACCTAAATATCAAACAAAATTACTTAAAACCGAAATAAATTACCTAATATTACTGCTGACATGGTCGTTGTAAAATAAAATGCTAAAGATATCACGCCAAGTTTTCCTGCCGTGCCGGAATCCACGCTTGACAGTGATGTGCTAGAAACAAATGCTGATGGACATTTTTCAAGTGTGGTAGCGTTTTCAGTTATATCAATATTTTCAGATCCGTTTCCTGCCACTTTTAATGGTTTAAACCTACATTATACTGCTCAAAATCAACGGCAAGATCAACATCTTCAACATCTGCACAAAGACATCACCTAAAAACATTCAGATAGGTGAAGCCATACTTTATTACCGGGAAATCGCAAGTATGCCAAATGCTTCCGGCTCATCGGATTCTCCGAATCCCGCATCACGACGCCAAGCACCGTCCCGCACACCACTCCAAATACCGTAAGGAGCAGCAGTACATTTTCTTTTTGTACCATCTTGGCTTAACGTTAATTTAAATTGTTTAAATTTAAATTGTCGAATAAACATATATATAATAAAAAAATCGATAACAGAGGAAAGACGAATTGAAAAATGCGCGGGTCAAATGGAATAAGCGTATCAATTGCCCCGCTTCGCCTCGGGCAACGATGGTGATTCAGCGCAAAAGAATAACATCCCCGTCCCCGGAATATCAGGCAAAAAATAAGGTAGACGTCTCGGGGCATCTCGATGGGAAGAAGGCCATTCGCATTAGCAAACGAGAAAATAATTCCAAAAGCCTGGGTGGAGAAGCCCGTCCCGAAGGGGGTAGGAGAGATTTCTTTAGCTGATAGAAAGAAGGAGAGACCACTGGTTGGTGCCCACGATGCCAACAAACACACATACAAACGGATAGAGAAAGAGATCGACGAACCAAACAGACGGACAAACCCCACTCTTCTAATGTAATTATCGACCCGAAGGCGACTGGTTGGAAAGTGCCCGTAATTGGGAGGCGTTGAGCTGAATTTCAGCGTTTCTCCCATTCCACGTTAAGGTCAAAGCTCTTAGGTGAAGGGGATGCCCTGGCCGCCTAGAAAAAGGGGAAAAGGTGGGGAAAATTATGTTGAATTAAGAAAATATAAACTGCCCGAACTACACTGACGCGCAAAATACACCTTTAACCCGGGTTCATCGTGAAAAAGAGATTCAGTGAAAGATGATTGTAAAAATGATAAAAACCAGCTGTTCCAAAAACCAGCCCAGCATCAAAAATTTTTTTTCGAAGTTTCCGCTTCGATTGGTCCCGTTTTTTCGTCCCCGACCTTAATCCACCCATAAATCTTGCAGAAACACATGTGCCCTAGGAAGGCAGCAAAGGCAACCCCCGAATAAAGCCACAAAACTCGGATTCAACGGCTTAGACCTAAGAAATGGCAACAGAACGCTTTTCAAAACCATAAAAAATAGTTTATGTTGGGCTCTAAGCGCCGTTCGTCGCAACCCGAAAAAAACTGAAGCGTGTGTATAGAGGAAGGCAAAAGATAGCGCAACTTTTAGGAATCGGCTGAAAGTGTGATTTTTGGTTGCAAGCGTCATATGTTGCTAGTGCTACCATTTTTAGCGTAGGCCGCGCCTAAACAGACATCGTTTTTGTCCCCCAGCGGCCCACTACAAAAACGACGTCGACCGACGACAAAAAGCACAGCCAATGTTTTGCATCAATATTTTATGCCACCAGTCCACAAAAAGAGAGCCCCTAGGTATGTGTGTGCGCATTTTCAAATGCAGCCCTTTTTGGGGGTGGAGAAGCATGGGGATCCCCTGTCCCAGCCGACCCCGTGGCCCAAGCAGGAAGCCAAAAAGTGGGAGCTGAAACTGACCGAGCGTGATTATCGGGGTGCCAACGGCCGCGAAAGGTAGCGAGCACTTTGGTAATTTGTCGCCTTCTCCTCCTCCGACCACAAACAAACGAGAAAAACCAAATTCCACTAAACAACCAAAAACTAGAATTCGGTCAGAGCTGCCAGGAAAATGGATTTGTCTGGTGTTGACAGGATTCTTGGATTTTGCGCCAGCAATTAGCGGAAGCATTGGATCGAAAACTGCGGAGATCGGAGTGCCATGGAGCTGGAATCTACAAAAATCGGCCTGAGCGTAAAAATTCACTGTTTAATCTTGCTGAGCCATCGGATTTAAAACCGCTAAATCTGCCTCAGAATAAAGCGGACTTTTTTAATTTTCATGCTGCTTGCTCTCATCAAAATTCATAAGCCAACAAGGGCCGACGGTGTTGGGGGAGAGGACGTAATTTGATGCGAGGTGGAGTGTTCGACGGGGTGGAGGGGATTTTTGCAAGAAGCGCGAGATCGGCAAAGGGATTGTGTTAGGGCCCGGGTTGAGGGTGATGGCCCCGGGTCTCTGAAATTCGAACTCTGCCCCCTGGTGGAGCAGCATGGCCTCACAAGGAAAAATGGAACAAAAAGTTGGGCAAGGCCAAGATTTTGGCGAGGTCACAACGACGACAAAATCGGCAATGTGCCTTGAGGGCGGAGCGGGGAATTGAGAGCTCAACCGACCACAACCGGGAGGGTTTACATTCGGTGTGATCCGGCAAAAAAGGCGCCAATGGCCAAAGCTTAAACAGTGCACAAGTTGAGTCCGGGACCATCGCATAAATCAGGAAATGATTTTGAGCCTTAAGGGTCTTACAACGTGGCGAGGCAGGTGGAACATCTACTTTAACATGTGATAGATGGTGCTGTTTTGACGGGTGTCGGCAGCATCAACTACACGAATCACACTCGAAAATTGTATTATCGAAAATCAAAAAGCCTAAGTGCAGAGCACCGTCCAATTGCCGTGTGAGCTTCCCTTTCAAAAATTATGGATTGTCAATTGCCGGCTCCAACAATTACCAGAATCTCCGCAAGAATTACGGCACACCGAATTCTGCGGGCAGTCCCAGGCGCCGCCAAGAATACGTAGAACTGGGTGTGAATTTGGGATATGGCGTGGAAAGGTTGTGTCTTGGGGAAAGAGTTACTACCCGGCAACGTGGGTTGCAAAATTAATATAGCGTGCTAGGAATGTTTGGGGTTAGTTTGAGAAGATGGGAGGTGAGTTTTTAGCCAGAACAGGTTGGAAGGTCGGAGACCGCATCTCAAACTAAAAGTGTGGTTTCATCAAAACTTCTAAAAAAATAATAATAATAGAGAAAAGCTTTTAAGCCGGTTTTAAAGGTAAATTAATTCAACTTCGTGGGCATTAGAAAATTTTGAAAGGCGATGATAAGCTCCGTATTTTTAAAGTTTTCATTTATTTTATTTTGTTGCAATATTTTAATTTCTTTTTTACCTTAAAACCCAAAAACAAAATTAACCGCTCAGAACCCACTAAAATTCCATCGCATAACACAGCTAATCAAAAGCATGCAAAAACATCCGGCGGCTCCCCGGAGCTCTAGTATTTATGTGGGTCGCTGAATTTTTGAGATCGTTTTTTGGCCCGGGGAGGAATGGGGGGAGTTGACTGCGATTTACCGGATGAGCTGCTGAATAAAGGAAGTGGTTTTACCCGCTAAGGTGGGCGGCATGGATTTAATATCGGCAAAAGCCGAGAGATCGTTCCTCCCCTTTAGCCACATGAGGAGAACACAAATTAATTCGCGCGGTGTCTGTTTGTGTTGTCGATCGCGGTTACACTGCATTGAGATGGGAAGGGGAGGGCATGGCATGGCTTTTGCATAGTCGAGATGTAGGGGGGTTGAGGGGATCACTAGGAAAATGAGCCTGAGGAGCGGATGCTAGCTGGCCAGCAGATGGATCCAATCGGGAAGCGCCAGGAAAAATGGGTGAAATTCGAATGGGGATTCATGTCTGGAAGAGAGGCTTTTCACATAAAATGGAGAAAAAGGTTGAAGAACGACGTGTAATTTTGGCAGAATGAAAGTAAAATATGTAGATTTTGAAAGATATAATCTAATTACCATAATTCTTAGGCTAAGTTGGTCGGAGGCTAACTAAAACTTTTTTTGTGTCTTTTCCATAGACATCTACAAACAGAATCCGAAGTCTAAATAATATTTGAAATGGAATCTGTTTACCTTACCTAACAGTGCACTGAGCACCAGCTAAATGTCTCTTTGCTTACGCAAAATTTGGAGTTAGATGGTACTGTAAAACTCAATTAATTTGCAAGTCAATTCCCAAAAGCAAATTTTTAGCGACCTTCCGATCAACCTCACAGATCGGCAATCTTGCGATGTGGCATGCGGGCCAAACCCTTAAAAACCTAAGAACGGCATTTGTCCATTGTCTAGCAAAAGCCGCCAACCCTTCCCAGCCGACCACCACCAAATGCCCAAAGGAAAAACTAAATATTTTAGAAAGCCTCGACCCTGGCGACTCTCCCCCTCATTGTGTGCGTAATTCAATGGCCGCCGGTCGGTCCCGGACCGCCTAGGGCGGGTGAAAAAAGTCGAATTTTGAGGGGCGTGTGTGGGGTGGCCCCTGGGGTGCCAGTCAAGAGGTTAGGAAAAAAAGAACCGGAAGCCGAGAGGCTGCAATTTGTGCGAAGTGGCCTGCCGAGGGCAGGATATGGCCCTCAAGCGCTCCTGAGGTGGCCAGAAGGCCGCCTGCGATTCCTATGCCCCCCAAACAAATAATCCGATTCGAATCATCTCCTTCGCACCCAGCCGCGCTAAACCCTCAGGGGTGGGGTCCGAATACGGGTAGAGAGAAGCATGGAAGAAGCCCGGAAATCCGGGGAGCCGTGAATATCCCATACTCACCCCCAAAAAAAGCGAGCACGTGCTTTTTTTTTGTGGAGGGAAATTCATAGGACATTCCTTCGATGGGAGGTTAGGTGGGCTTTGGTTAATCTTGAAATTGTGAGAACAAACAGAATCAAAAGAAGGGCGCGGGGCAGTTCGGATAGGGACCAAAGAAACATCTTGGAGTAAGTGATTTTGACAGCTTGACTCATCGCGGGATCGAGATGTTCTTTTACAACTTAGGTTTCAAAGATCGTAGGCTCGGATCAGGCTTAGGCTCAGGCCTAGGTACTGTCATGTCTTGTCCTATCCTAGAAAACTAGAAATTCCTGATAATATCGCACTATAAATCTGAATAGAGTTTTTAGTAAAGTTTAGCTATATTCCAGGTGGTAAAGAATAAAAACTTAGAATAGGTACTGATCGTGAACGTGTTAACAGATAGTTTTCGAATCTAATTTTTAAGCGACAATCGACAATGGGTCGTCGAAAAATCAATATCTTTTTTTTGTCTTTTTTAACGGAATTTTTTAATGATTTTACGTTTAGGAATTACCAAAAGCGTCTTAGAAACACTTGTTATATTAAAAATTGATATCAAGGCAGAGTTCCTTTGTGAAACCCCAAAAATGTTTTAACTTCCCTAGCTGTCACACCAAATCCTAAATTCTGCTTAACTTCTTTTTTCGTTGCTTGGCACGTTGTTTCGGTAAACACCCCCCACCGGTCCAGACGGCGTAAATTCGCAAAAATATTTATTAACTTATGGGCATCCGTTAGCGCGCAACGCCTGGCAACAGCCATTCACCGCCTCAACCAGGGAATTCTTCAGCATTTGGCAGACTTGCTAAAATACGGAAATCATCAAAAAAAATTGGACGCTGAACTTACCGCCTGGGATTGACCGCCAAATTTCGTTTCATAGTCTAGGCTTTGTTTTACGTATTCTTGGCACCAGTAGGGGTCGACGGTGGTGCAAGCGCCAGTGGGGGTGTCGCGTTGGATTTGAGATCCAGGGGCTAGAAAAGGATTTAAATGAGAACACTGAATAGGAATGGAACGTACCAATAGTAGCTCCGGCATTATTATTGGCATTGTTGCCGGTTCCGGAAAGTGAATTGCTCGTGTCGCCAAAATCAGTATAGGTACGGTAAGGGTAATACATAGAGGCGAAGGTTACACCTAAAAATTATATATCTTATCTCTTATATATCATAACAATGTTTGTTGATAAAAATCCTTACAAAAAAAGAATAGAGGACTTTTAAAGAGATACCGACGGCATAGGTCGATCACCCTGATCGACTTTTGGCAAATAGCCAACAGTGCAGAGAACGCGCTCAGGGCGAGACGCAGAGACATTTTCTTTCCGGCGCGTCACTGATTACTTATGCCGTCGTTATCCCTTTAACTATTTTTTCGATAACTCTTCCCATACCTAATAGACAAGCAAAGACAGCCAGGCTTGAATTCATGATTAAAACGGCTAGTTTTGATTGACAGTTTCGAGGACGGTGTGCTAAATGAGTTGAATGTCAGTAGTGTGTGCGTTTGGTAAGTGTGGGGTGTGTCCGTCCGGGGGCAAGTCGACAAACACCTCCACAAACATTCACACAACTTCTCCAGGTCGCAGCCGAAGACCGGATAAGCTGGCAAATGGCAAACTGCACATTGGCAAACTGTTAGGTTGGATAGACGGTTAGGAGGCGGGAGTAGACTGAGAATCAAAATCAGAAATTCATAGTTGCATATTTTGATATCAGTAAATTAAAATAGTTTATTACAACTTTGATTTATCGTTTGACCCGATGACTTTGAACACGAAATCATGAAGCAATTTCTGGTATTCAGCCGGGTAGGTTTTGGCGTGCTCCACATGGGGGCGAGTCGACAAAGTTACGGTAGGTGACGTCTCGCCCCATATGTAATTGTTTTTCGTGGAATTGTTGTATTTGCCTAAATGCGTTTGAATAAATTAACTTGATTTTAAGCTAGTTTTTCTAAAAGTTAGATTTCCCACCACGAGCTACAAATTATATCCGCATCCGAATATAAATACAGCTGCCGGTGAGGGATCTTCGGGTGTTCGGCAAGATAATGGTATTGTATCATATCTTTCAGTTCATACCCCAAGAAGATTATGTTTGAATTTCATCTAAGCGGTATTAACAGACTCGATTACCACTAACCTCATAGTAATCATACGCCTTCTTTCCTAGCAGTACCCACATGGTTGCTGTCTTTTTGAGTTGCCCCAAATATGAGTCTCCGAAATAATTGCCTATTTGAAAATTCAGCACCTCGCGATATCCACCAGGGGAGTTTTCGTAAATTGGACAGCTGATGAATAAATTTAGAACGGTAATTGTGCAAACCTGTCAAATACGATGCCGATTGTACGCTCAAAGACGTCTGGGAATTTTCCGCAATTCATCAGTGATGTCAGACACATAATCCCATTCATACTCATCGAATGAATAATCAATTTCACGTGCTTTTTATTGTAAACGATTGCAAAATCGTCAAGTAGCGAGTCGATTTCTGTAGGGGCCTGATGGGTATTTTACAACGTTAGAGTAATTACCAAGCAGTAGATATTTCGGTTGTAGCCATCGAAAAATGCAGTATATCGTAGGGTAGATAATCCATAGCTTTTGTAAAGTTCAGAATATTTCTTTAGGTGTTTATCAGCAGCGCCAGCCCATCCAAGGATTAAGACCAGAATATCCTTATTTGAGTTCCATTCAAGTACACTAGGTTCTTGTTTCATCTAAAAGAAGTAAAAAATTATATATCCATTTGGATATGCTTTAGGTTAGAGCAAAGCTAAAAAATTCGATTTCTGTAAGCTGGCGTAACGGAATGAATTTCGTCTGGCCGGTCTGCCGATTGGTGTAGTCTGATAGTGCACTATCAGTTCAAACTATAATGCGCTCCACACCAGGGGGTATCAGGAAACAGTTTGATCCACAATTTATAAACATAGACGTCTTTGAGAAAATCTGCTTGACACCGGTATCACAGACAGACAGTGCTGATGATAGATTTTGATTCATGGAGCGGGGTATTAAAACGATGATATAATCGTTGGCAAACAAAAATGAGAAAGTGATCAGGGGGGTATACACGCGTAATAATTGTTTGGGGGAACCCGATCGGTAATGAACTAGCGATTGTCTAACAGGGATAGATTAACAGGTATGATTTAAATATGGCCAATAGATACATGCACGGCAACTAAAATATTAAACTTTAGGAACTTTTTGGTTCATTATCACTTTGCTCCGGGTCACCTTCATATTCTAACGACGTGGTGCGTTGACGGCCACGGGGTACGAAGAAGGTTTCGCCGGCTTCTAAACTGCGTTTAATTTTTTGGAATTTCTTATCCCACCTCCGTCAGAATCCGAGGAAGCAGCCAGATCACGCACACTTACAACTTGCGACTTTCTAAACGAGTAAATACCATAATTCTTGAGTTTAATCTACCTAGATGGTTGCAAGGCAGCTGCCCCCCGCTTTTGATGACTTCCACGGGTTCTGGAAAGCGATAGATGGCGTACAGGCGAACAGCAAGCGTCCCTTTTGGAACTGAAAAACAAAATTAAGCTGAGCAAAGCAATCACACGATACATGGCTGCACTCTCTTCCACCGATAGACCAGAGTCATTTTCGTCGCCTTTCTTTTCGATTATCGGGACTGGAAGAGATGAGGTGGAGGGCAGGGCTTCCTAGGCTGGGATTACAAAATTATGGATATTATTTCGAACCTCCATTTCGTAATCTTCCTCGTCTTCCTCGGGCAAAAGGGTTGCTTACGCCACGATTCAATGCCGGAAGTGGTGGGCTGAGTTGGTTGTTATCCATATTGAACAGTTCCACGTTGCGAACCTAGACAATGGATGTTACTTTTCGTGTAATATTCGCATACCTTGTTGTTCTCATCGACATAATGGAAGGCGTAAACAGCATCGTGAGTGTTTGTATATTCGATGGCTTGTGAGATTGAATCTTCTTCGGCGTGTTGAGAGCTAGAGAGTTGAGACTTGTTAGAAGATACTAGTTTCTTACCCAATAGTCGGAGATCGTGAAATGACAGAGGCCTTCCGGGAATCGGATTGATCCATGCTTGTTCGAGAGGAACGAGATGTCTAAAGTATATGGTGTTTAGGAAAATACATAGCTACTTACCCTCGACAATTTCTTTTGCCCAAGCTTCTTCTCCTTTTCGCGCAACACAGCCAATTCTCTTCTAGCATCTTCGTTGAGTTCAATCTCGCCAAAGTGCTCCTTATGGGAGATTTGGGCACCCAGTTCGTAACCAGTTTGGGTGACGGCCAATTGGCAGGAGAATCTAGGGGTTTAAAGGTATGAATGATATAAGAATTGCTTATACTTGGCTGATAATTGGTTCCTCTGCTTGTCGATTTCCTGATAGATGAGGTCGACGATTTCGGCAAATTTGTTGTAAAGCCATTGTGGGATGGCGATCGAGCGGATGTAGGAGGTGATCCTAAAAAAAATAATTAATCCATTCCCGATTTTCAAACCAAGAACGAATTTTAGCTTTAAAATCCCGGGTTCGAAATGACTCAATCAAATCTCTTCGACAATTTGACAGGTTTGGCATCCCAATTTCAACGATTCCCCTAATCTAATGTTACATGCCATCTAAAAACCATCTCTCTTTTTGGCCGAGCCCCTTGACATGGTATTGACGCGGTAAGGTATAGGCATGGATCGGGACACAGTTATCTATCACCCAGCCAGTGTTTCATAGCGAGCGTTCCTGAGTGGCGCCATGCTCCCTTCCCCCCTCCTCAACACCCCCCGACACCACGTGAGATCGCATCAAAAAACGAAAAAGAAACAAAGGAAAAGGACGCCTTGAACCGCTGGTCCCACCTTTTTGCGAACAGGATCATCACGTCCAATGGATATTTGGAGATGCCAAACGCCATCCGTGTGCATTTGATCACCCAGAAAGAGCACAGCCATTTCAGGAATGTTTCTTCCGCTTTGCGAGCTTCATCGAACGCTGAAAAGATTTTTTGGTCTTGAAAGAGGTTGCCTACTCCGTTGAATAATTGACGGGAACACAAGATCTTCGGCATTGTGCATGTGCTCGCTATCGCCACAAGTATCGCATTCGGAGTCTAGTTTTCGTCTGAAATGAACTTGATATTCAAGAAAATGAAATAGGTTACAATACCTTGCTGCATGAGCGGCATGATTTGCAGTCCTGGTTTTTGATCGAATGGGGGGAGAAAAGGCACGGCCAGTCTCAGAAGATGAAGCGTTCGAGACCTTAAATCCGGGAATTTTATTCTTTGGTTCCGTCATACCATAGAAGCCTGAGACGGCGGTGGATTTGGCATAGGATGTGCCATATTCGTCTGGATCGTCAGACACTTGATGCAGGGTGCCATACCTTGAAAAAGCTGTTACATGATATAGCGGAATCCTTACTGTTTTTGGTGAGAAATCGAACTGTATCCGAGAAACCCTGAAGGCACATCTTTGTGCAGTCCTCCAGTGTTGGCGGCATCAAAACGGCTATCAACCGGAATAGGTTCATTGTCGTAAAGCGAATCGACGTCTCGCTGTACATCATTCCAAAGAAGCTGAAAAATATATTTCTTTTCATTCTGTTATTAACGCACCTAGCCGATTCCCAATCCGGTGGGCAGATGTCGCTTTCCCCGGAAAATGGGGATACTGTAACCGTGTGATCATCGAATTGGGGCAGATTATCGGAGAATCCGCCATCCAGGTATTTTTCGCCCCGGAATGTGGGGAGGATGACGCCGCATACCCCAGGGATGAAGCACGAGCAAGTGATGGCCTAATTATATTTTTCAAAAAGTTCGGAGAAAAACTTACATCAACTAGTTCATCATTTGAGCTGAAATCATCAAGAATCACGTTCTTCTTGTCGCTCCACCGGGTCACGGAAATTTTCAAGCGGGCCGAGCATCTGGAATGGGTGGAGTGAGGGGAAGGGGTAACAATTATGCGGTGATGATATGGCGTGACAGCCATTGTTTGCCTCGGGGGGAATCGTTGCCTCAGGGCAAATATGGAGTCGATATGAGGAGCGGGGGGCTGCGATCAAAGAGTGAAATGACCGCAAAATCAAGGTGTGAAACTGGGTAATAGATCTCGAAAATCTCAACTTAATGTTAGTGATAAATAGACATCAAAAATTCGTGGATATTTCAATTTTGAAAGCCATTCCACAACTCCCTATCGACCTCCCTACCCTGTAGATGGTCGATTTCGTAACCCCTGCTATTGCATAATTACACGCTTTTCTCGCGTGAGATCCGACCAAAAGATTGACCGTGACCTAACCGCCCAGGATAAGATCTTGCTAATCCCACAGATCGGACCATAATCCCATGGGCGAACTGCACCTGCGAACCCCGGTTATAGAAAACGCCAGACTCACTTTATATAGGCGTCGGGCGGTAAATATCTTTTGATCTCCTCCCTCACCAATCCCATCAAATCAAAATTTGGCGAAATCACACCCAGCGAGCTCGAACGGGCCTGAAATAATTAGGGGTCATAAAAGGGGCCGTATGGCTGAGGGCTACCTCGCGTACAATACGGAGCATCGTTGATGTTGCTTGGGAGATGCAGACATTGGTGACAAGGGCTGCTGCTACAATTGCGCCTGCTGATGCTCCGGATATTGTGTTTTCTTGGATGAGTTGTGGGGCGTACTCCTGAAATTTATTTCATCATATGAGTAGGTTAAAGCAAAATTGATCGAAATTATATCCAGTTATTCCTAGCAAATTACACAAAAAACCTAGACCGTTCGATAAAATTGGATCACCCAGACCTTTGTTTTCTAAAGATGTTCGTGACGAGCACTTTAGCGAACCATGCACTTTTGCAAAGTACGGACTTTCCACCCCAACACGTCTTGCGAAATCGGGGCTGCGGGCTCAGATTGTGGCCAGAAGCGGCAAATATTGTTGCAAAAACTTACTTTAATGGCTGCTGCAACACCCCCGTGATATAGACATAAAAATCCGCATCCGGAAAAACTTAAATTCATGCGGCTTGGATCACTGTTGACGAGAGTCATCCTAGAAAGTGGAGTATAATGAAAAGAAATTGGTAAGAACTGAAGTAAAAGGTAATTATGTGACAAAGAAAACATAAAAATGGCTCGAGAAGAAGACAAAATTGTGAAAGCAGAATAGTATGGTATTTTGCGCCCCTGTTCGGGGGGGGGGTAATCGGGAATGTATTTCGAAAGTTATAACAAAATGAGGAAAACAGGAAATATGTCTTCTGACGTCAGTAATGGGATGAAGGGGGTGAAAATAGGTGCAAATGAATGATGAAGAGAGGGAGAGGTTGGGGGGATCCCCCAAGGGGGTGGAAGAAGGGCGGGCAGCGGTGGTGGGTATAGCCTTGGTGTGAGGCTGTGTGTAGGGGCAAGAACACGTGATACTTCCCATGCCCACCTAAAGAATGCCCTTAGCCACCGTGGGTGGGCACTGTATAGACCCCCCACAACTGTCCTTTCGAATGCGTCGGCCTTTATTTTTGTGCCAAATTCGAGAAAGCGGTTGGTTGTTGTGTATTTGGGGGGCAGGGGAGGGAGTAAAAAGGGTGTGCACTTTCAGTAGTAGAAGAGGGGGATGGAGGGATGGGGCGATTGGGTGAGAGAGACAGATGCCAGCCGGCGTCTGTCTCTTCGTCTGCCTCTCTGTCTGTTCGACTGTCTCTCATCAACCCTGCGTCTCCATCCTGCTCCGCGCTATCTACAATTTCCCCCAACCTTCTGACGCCAATCCCTCGCCAACGTACTGGCCCTCTCCCCCATTCCCATACTATTTCGCCCTTTATAGAGCGTGAGGGTGGTGCCCCGAAAATGTTTGGATGTGTTCAATCTATCAGAGACACCACGTGGTCTGGGCATTCGCTCGGTGTCTGGGCGCCGGTTGTGGGAGGTGTTACTTGGTGATAGCAGTCAGTGGGTCTAGTTTCAGCTTCTCCCCGGGCTAAACAAGTGGTAACTTGAGAGTTGTGTAAAGCTAATGGATGTTGTATTCAATAAAAGGCCCTCGAAAGAAATATAATTTCTATAGATTTTATCATCAAAGAGATTTTAAACTGTTGTATATCCATCTGACTGTTAAAATTTGAAGGGCTTGGTTAATTAATTGATTGCAAAAAAAAAAATTAAAAATCAATTATGATCAAATCTATTCACTTCTTGGACTCCTTGTGACTTTATAGCATTGTGAAGATAAGAGCGCAATCCTGTGCCGATGGCAAAGTAGACTATAAGACTAGAAAATAGAGACGGTGCCCGTACCGTAAAGGCAGTATAAGTTAGCAGGTAATATTAATGTTCTGGTAAACAGATTTAGCGAATGTGAGCCAGACCTTGGCCGACAAGGGTCGGCGGTCCCGTAAGACAAGAGGCCCGGATGCTTGGCCCGAGAAATATAATAGCTGCGCGCCCTAGGGCTGACCGGTAGTAAAAGGGTCGAGATGAGCCATTCGATCTGGGCAACCCACATCGTTATGGAGGGCGTCGTCTCGGAATCGATGTGAAAACGGCTTGAGGGTTGGCCCGGAGGGGTGGACTGTCAGCTGTGATGGACAAACACGGAGGGCAAATAACAAGCCGATGTGGGGGCAGGAGCAGGAGCAGCCGGATGGAGACTGGATGCTAATGGAATGGAATGGATGCATGGTACGGGTTGAATGAATCCATGAACCAAAACTTCGATGCAAAGAAAAGATTCCAATCTCCCGTTTCTTTTTGATATCTGGCTTTCGATTGAAAATCCCATTGTAAATCCTATCCTCTCACCTCAAAACCGAAATTACTGGCCCTCAAATAATTGGAAAATAAACTTACGCGCCTATCATCTCTTTACCACCTCCCAACATACCTAAAAATATTGAGGCAACAGTCTGGCATGCAACCAGTAGCCCACCCGGAAAGGGAAACCGATCCTAATACGAGAGAAAGAGCACACTGTCACGTGGCGAGACCTGAACCCGGAATTCCCATAAGAAAAAGGAGAAAAGGCAGGAAAAGGCGATCTTCACCGCGTGGCCCGGAGCCAGCAACAATGCCACCAGCCAAATCGTCTTATCAGAACGAAGGGCACTGGCGTGATTATTGTGGGAAAGGTTGAGCCTGGAAATTCAGTTTGGAAATCATCGACCATTTGAAATCAATTGGAATGAAGCGTCTCCCTAGGCGGTCGATGGCAAGAAGCCAACCCCAAAATTGGCAATGCAAATAGCAGGGAGAGGGCAGACAACGCTGAAGAGCGTAAATATTTACCAAATAAGTCACGTTGGACACGTGTTCTATTAGATATCATACGTGTAGTATTGATACGCTTTTTGAACGCTCATTAATGAGGGTAATGGCCTCAGGCCACTTTGCAGAGAAGATGTGCTCGTTTCCGAAAAAAAAATTGATAAGAGGGGCTGAGAGTGATATGCAAATTATTGGAAATTTGAGAACTAACTCTGAAAAAAATAGGTAGGTTTCTAGAACATAGCAAAACCCTAATAAATACTGAAAACTACAACGACAAAATACTAAAAATATTGTGGGGCTGTCCAGTATTGACCAGAAACCGGTTGTGCAAAATGTTGTCGATAAATAGGTCGAGCCAGAGACGTGGAGATCAGCAGCCCGCTCACGTGAAAAGCTTGATTTGCAAAAAAAGGGTTTCCGGCGCTTGAGCTTGCATTCATCGAACATCGCATAGATCGATTCGAAAATGATTAATGACAAACATTGCGGCGACGGGAGGACTTTCCAATGTGAAAAGTTGTTGGGAGGTTGGTGACATCCAGAGTAAAAAATTCTATTTAAAACGTCAAGAATTATTTTAGGTATCTTACTTAATCCCTTTGGGACAACACCAAAAAAAACCTGTGATCATGCGTATCCCCTTCCTTTCTTTTTGCATGGCGCTTAAACGTTGGGGGAAGGGAATTCCAAAACTCTTCTGGCAGGGTGGATGACGGTGTGGTCCCGCAACAGTTAGCTATGTATTTTCTCTTCGTTGACAGGTAAATAAGATAGTTCACTTTAACTATGTGCCAAGCCCCAATATAAATTTAAATCTTCCTTCCTTGTTCCTTTAACTCTAATCTAGCGACCTTTCCCAATCAGCAAAACCTTCCTGGTTCCGCCTTACTATTCCAGTTCCCCTAGTGCTCCAATTAGGTCTTCCTTCCGGTTCCGCCTTGTACCTTATCTTCTAATCTTAAAACTCACGATGTGGGTGAGTAAACAATTCCAAATGCCATCCGTAAAATAGTCTCATTCGATGCGATGAATTGCCACTATATTGGCCGGAAAACTTTCACCCTTTCGATGAGCTTCCCAATACATCCCCCGTTCCTACACTCCCCGTTCTTCACCATCATTCTTTTCCATCGTGATGTTATTCCGGAACAGAAATTGCGCCGTCGACGTGACCTTTAATTGACTAAGTGCGTTTCGAGCCAATTCTCATTATATAGCCTCCGGGCTTGGGTCAAGGAAATGGCGAAAATTGTGCTCCCGCCAGAATCGTTTCCCGCATTTCCTGTGTGGCTACACAATTCCGCATCACAAATTGCCCTTTTTTTCGACTACCAAATAAGGGCGACTTTTATGTATAAGATAAGCTGGCGGTAAAGATTTCCTGTGTCCGAAAACAAAGTTCCACAGTCGCCGTTTCGGGTAAATCTGATTCCCCGCTGAAGTAAGGTGATTTTGGGGCGACATTTACTGGACCTCAAACGCGGCGACTATTGTCAGATGTCTTGGCTACTCAGGCGGAAACCCTTTGACTAATGGATTCCCAAGAGTGAACATTGTTTCAGGATCACACGGTTGCCTTGTATTTTTAGGCATGGCTGTTTTTGGTCTGAGTTTTGCCTGGGACCTCCGGAGCTCAGGGCTTCCGGAAGCCGTGAGTCAGGTTGGTTTGGTGGTCTCCTGTGTATTAGTCTAGCGTAGGGGTTTCAAAGTCATGATCGATGGACTTTTAGGTAAGACTGAAAGAAGAAAATTTTCTGGCGCGTTTTTGGGATTCAATTTACCTTTTTCACCTGCACTGTTTCAAATAAATATAGAAAATTTCCGGGGTCCTCGGGCTTTGGGGGAGATAAAGTAAACGCTTGTCGAATTTTTCACTCCCTGAATTTTTACCATACGGAACCCGAAGAGTCGTTTGGTCCAAGTTTCATTCAGCTCATTATCCGATGGCCCAGGCTTCTGTGGGTTCCGGCGACCCGAGTTGATAGCCCCTATTCTGGCGTGTGCTGTTGGCTCTGGTCCCCTTCACAGTGGATGAATAGGTAGAATAGACGACGTGTAGAGTTCCGCCCTGGTGGAAGGTGTTTTTGCTGTCGTCGGTGCCCCCATCATCCAGGAGGCGGAGAGAAGTCTCGAAGCTGAAATTCGGGCTTCGTGCCGCTAGCCCGGGATTTGTTTATCGGAAGGTGTCCCGTAGAACACTCATTGAACTGCCACCCAGCTCCCGTCGCCGTTGTGTATGGGGCGGGCACAACATCTGCATCGTATGCCGAATTTCGAACACAACAGCGCGCCGCGTGGTAATTAATTACTTGCTTTTCTTGTTGGACGCTGATCAGAATTGGTAGAAAATTGTGGTGGCTCGGCGCTGCTTTTGCTGATCAGCTAGCTGGAGGGTGTTACTGGTCAACAAAAATCTCAAATGCAATTCATGGCGGTCGAGACGGCTTTTATGTACCTCTAATGATGTTCAGTTGATTTTCAGTTATTAATCTAGGACCAAAAATTGTAACCGGATCTTAGATCTAAACTTTATTCAATTTCAACGTTTCAGAGGACCCTAATCCAAGCTGTTTGGATTTAAGGTTTCAATGTTTGGAAACTAGTGATTTTACGCATAGAAATTCAATATCAAAATAACAAGCGTGAAAACTACAAGCTTCGAGAAAAAATTTATATATACGATTTTATAATTTTATCATTCTAAAAAATTGTTTATAAATAAAACTTTTTGTCTTTTAGCATAGCCTCTGAATCAGCCTGAATTACTTTATCCCGATATTTGTTTTAAATTCATAAACTTTCTTCCGAAAACGTCGATTTTCCAGACCCTACAGGCAAACAATTCCGCCCCCAACTCCACTGCCACTCTATTACCGTAAATTGATTCCAGAACCTTTTTTAAGCGACTTCCGCTTCCCCCTACCGGCTTAAATAGAATACCCGACGATCGAATTTGGGCGGACTCCGATAAATCAGGTGCAACCAAACTCCCTGAAACTAGCACCCCCATCCGCCAGACAACCCACCCACCGCACCCTCCTTCCCACTACGACTTCACCTCAACTATTCTGGTTATTGTGTATATAAAAAGTGCACGTCCAGAAAACAAGCATCTCGCCCGCATGATATCAAAGATTTGGTTGTACTTCGGCTATTGAATTGAGGTTAATTGCGTTGTGAGAGGAAGGACATCCTGTGTGGGCAATTATATGTCTATGGACACTATTAAATGAATGCCCTCAATTGGTGTCGACAGTAACTTCTTCAAGTGGGATATGAATCTTTGATGAGGACCTCGTTGGGACCTTCAAAAGTAAAGATAGTTGTTCAGAAATTCAGCTTTGGGCGTCCCCCCATGCCTGGGTCGTGTCCCATTCAGAAGCTTCCTTGTTTTGATGGCTGGTGAATCGGTGGAGATGGGGCTTTTTGGAAAAGGGGGGAGGGTGTTGGGGGAGGAGGAAGAGCTCTTTTGGCTTCGCTTAGTGCACCTTTAAGGCAGTTAGCACTTGAGACGGCAATAGGAAGAAGCCGTCGCTCGTTGACAGCTTGTACTTAGCCAAATGATTTTGTTAAAGGAGGGGGTGAGGCTGGGTGTGTGGGGGCTTGGAGTTTTGTTAGTTGGTAGAGGCGTGCGTCTAGCTGAAGCATCCGCTTGACCTGTCAATGTTGAAATCTTGGCTTATAAGTATTTCTGGCGGATACGATTTTTTTTCATAACGTTAGATATGCCTAGTCACGCCACAGCAAGTACCTTAAAATCGTTCTCGTAAAATTTAGCCATTTTTGAAATTGATGACTATTATTTAGAAAATTTTAACAAACCGATGAAGATTTTGATTTTTGTCTTTTTAAGGTAGATTCTTATAAATTTTTTTTTAAACTAGCTCATATCCGATAACGAGGTCTCGGAAGCTCAAATTACCCCGAAAGTCATGTTTTAGCGTGTCCACTAGATTTTTTTACGTTACATCTAGTATCTCAAATAATTTATAGCTAACTCTAAGATTTTTGAGGTTCATCTTGAAGAAGCATATTCCCATTAATCACTCCCTATTATAAGCAATGAGCTGCAGATGTGGGCGATGTGCTAAATTTGTTCCCCGTGCCCCCTTTTCCCCTCCTTGAGCCCCCACCGATTCATCCCAAATTCGTATGCATTTTTGATGGTGATGATGTCCTCAAACAGAGCGACATCCTCACTGTGTTCTACTAGCTGGCACGGACATAGACACGTGCAGACACCACAATGATTGAAATATTTCATTATTTGGCTGGAAATTGAGGACTCAATCCCTCAGGGCCGGCTAATTATGGAGGCGACCTTTTGGAAAAATTTCGGGTTGCCGAATTGACGTGCCACTTTGGGATCAATTTTGGTAGAACAGCCGTGGAAATTTCCAAAAAAAAATTAGATTTGAATTTTGGCGATTTTGGTGTTCTCTAGTTTTCAAAGTTAGTTTTTTTCGTAGCCCTTGTTGAGTTCCAGTGTACGCGAGATAGATACAATCTACCCTCCGTGATCCTTGCCCGAACCCACCAGACAAATGAACCATTCTGTCGAACGCAACCAGCCATTTAACATGCGCTACTAAATTATGTACTTTCATTGGCTTTTCCTGTTCTCTTGTCTAATTAATGTATGACATTGTCTACTTCTCTCTTTCTCTCTTTGCTACTGAATTTTTCTTGAATTTCGACGTCAACCCACCCGAAGCTTCATTTTTGCGTGCTTCCACCTATTTTCCCCGCTCCTGACAAGCTGCTATTTTGAGAAGCCGGCTTTTATGCGGGCCCTAACTGTTCAATTATCCGAATCGGTATCCCCGCCTTGAGAGGCACCCGGGGAAAACAATTGGAAATGGCCAGGTGAAAACGGGATCGGATGGCCTAAAACACCATTCTCCCTGAATCCTTTTCTGGGCACGACTTCTGTCCGTGAGTCGCTCCTGGTAGTGTTCCAATTTCATAAATTCCCGGGCAACAGCCACCCGCGCGTTTTGCCAAAATAGGCAATGGATGTGTCATTTGCAGGGATGCGTTTCTGGTGCTCAAATAATGGCAGCTAGTTGCACCTATAAAGGATCTGAGAAGAAATCTATAACCTGTAGACTTTTACGAGAAAGCAAAGTTGCATATGACGTCCGTCACCGTGTCCAGAAAAAGTTTAATATATTAAAAAAAATTAAGAGGGATTTTCGATATATGTTCAACAGTCTGGAGATTACTGCGGACTTATCCGCACTTGGCAATTTAGGTATTTTCGATATTAAATTTAAGTGTTTGAAAAACTAGGCGGCTTCTGATAAAAACCCTTTCCAATACTATATTCCAGGAATTGTCCACCCAAAAACCCAAGCTTAATTTTGAAAAAACCCGCACCTCACAATTTTTTTTGGCTCGTACGATAAAATTAGCTGTTCCCTAAGTGGCCAGCCAATGTCGGGGGCCGCCCTCAGCCAAGCGGCCCTGGTGGTGGATTTGGTTTCACCGGCTGAATACGGGATGGTTGTGGGATAAAAATCGAGCACCGCTCGATCTCCTAGAACTCTGGTCACGTCGAGGAGACCCCCCGAAAGCCATTGCCCATTCCGACTCCCCTAAAAAATTATCTTTGCTCTACCTAAAGCGTGTTTTCATTCAAGCCCATCCTGAGATCCGTGTATAGACCCTTATCAAAATAGACAAATTCCGTAGGCAAACTTCCGGTCATTACCGCCAATCGGTTAATTGTCCAAAAATACAACATTTTTAGGGCGGCCACCGGATTTGCAACTGGCACGTAGTTACGCACACAAAGATTGGAAACTTCTATAAAAAGTTGATTTTCAGCTGCTCATTGGGGTACTTCTCTTTGAGAGACTATTTTTGGATAACCTCTGTCCAGAAAGCGATAAGTGTGTGGTTTGAGGCTGCTGTTTTCTAGGTCTCGCTAAAATTGTAGTCGATGATAGGCGTAATAATATTTGTTTGTGTGTATTTTTGGGATTTGCTGGTTATACAGGGTGCGGAAAAAGTTTTGGGTGGCATCTTTTTATTTCGAAAAATTGCGGTTCTAAGCGATACCGCGCTAATTTTGTGGTGTTAACATAGATTCGGACGTGCTCTATCCCAGCCTGACAACCATAATGGCTTAAAAATTATTTCCCGCATAAAAATCGTCTTAGAAACATGAAGGCTCCAGAAAAGGTACACATTTGGCTGCTATGAACTATTGGTTATAATGCTTTGGATCTTATCACCAGGCTTTCCAGGGTTTCGGAATATGAAAGACAGGGAATAAGCAGTATCCTGCGTAAATCTTACATTTTTTGATCATCTTGGCTAAATCCTGGGCGCAATTGAGTTGAAAATCAGCAACGTGCCGCGGTTTCCGGCTATTTAACTTTTCGTGAAGCTCAACCTGGAGTTGTCTTAATGTCTATTCCCCAAATTTGGACGTCAAAAATCCTGATTTACAATATTCATATGCCTAACCTATCATTAATGCGGCGCTTCGCGGTTTATTGGCTGTAGGCTCCCCAGCTTCGCAGCGGTTTCCCATGCCGATAGGGGAATTTCTCAGACTTAAAAACGTCAGAACTCTTTGCATTTAAATCCAAATACTTTGTAATTTTGTGGGGTGATAGGGTATAGGATTGGCAATATCTTGAGCAAATTTCGTCAAATTTGGTCGAGAATGTTGCACAGGGCATACGGTAAAAGCAGCAATAGCGCTGCGTGCCGAAGATGATTTTAGCGCGACGCTTTCAGTGCATTTGCTCCCAAAAATTTCAAAAAGTTTGTTGATCTGTTGGTGCCTAGTGTTTCTCAAGTTGCCATTTTTTATTCTCCCGTTCAAAAAATCCATGTTGGACGACGCAATTTGTGAAAACATAGCTAATTCTGCCACCCAAAACTTTCTCCGCACCCTGTACTTAGCGTAGATTCGAACGTAGGTGGTTCGGGGTATTCATTCCATCTATTCAACACCAGATTAATCTGGGGGAGGCCACCAGTCTGAATGTAGATTGTATTTTGTATTTGTTGGTGTTTGAGAAAGTGCTTGATTTAGGGGATGAAAGGTAATTAGAAGAACTTCCCTTGACAGGTTAGGAGGTATTATCCGTAATGAATGGAATGTTCAACGGCTTACAAATAGAGATTATAAATCGTTGTTATGGGATTTGTTTTTGTGTAGCATTAGGGGCGGGTAGGGTGAGATATTTTAGGTCAGTATATCCCTCTGCTTAGCTGGGATTATGGTTAATCAATGTTTCTAGGTTATTCCTCTGGCTTCTCCGTCTCGATTTTACTTTATTAATTCCTTGATTTATGTAAATCCAATTGTTTTGATACTTTTGCGTGTGATACTGTGATACTACTCATGCTTCGTTATCAGCTAGACACAATCATTTTTCGCGTCGGGCCTGTGTGAAAATATAGGGCGTGTATGCTGGCAAGCATGGGTCAGTTGAAAGGCTGCCACGGCGACAAAACAGTCGGTTTATCCGTGTTTTTTGGAGGCTGCATTTTGTGGAGATGGGTAGGGCAGTGGATCCCAACTGCGCTCACACAATCCCTCGGTAATACAATTTAGTGTCCTCAACTAAATGGTTCTTTCAACGCGGTTCCTCATTCGAGGGTTCATACGAAATACACGTAGATAGACATTGGGGGGAGGGCTTTCCCAAGGGGGACCCTAGATTCTTGTAATGGATAGCTGGCTCTCCAAGCTGCGATTGTGTCATATTTGTCTGATATCGATTCTAAAGTCTTATATAGCTGTACACAGATTTTTGACGGGAATCTTTCATAATCTCGCATTTTCGGAATCTCGTATATTCAGAATCTCGCATTTTCAGAATCTCGCATTTTTAGAATCTCGCAATTTCAGTCCCACAACCTTTCCAAGGACTTTCCAAGATTTCCAAGAATTCGATGAATCATGATTTATCACAGAGTAGGTGGATCACAACAAATCCATCGAATGTCTGGGCCACTAATTTCAGAATTTCGAGATGTCATATGCGTCGTACGGATCGTTTTTCCTGGAAACCGCCAACGTTTCCAGAAACTTCCAAATGCGGAGGCTCTGTTAGTTCTAGTTAGTAGAAATGCAGCTAGTCTATGGAAAATGCGAGATTCCGAAAATGCGAGATTATCAAAATGCGAGATTCGGAAAATGCGAGATTCTAAAAATGCGAGATTCCGAAAATGCGAGATTATCAAAATGCGAGATTCTGAAGATGCGAGATTATGAAAAGGCGAGATTATCAAAATGCGAGAGTTAAATAAAAGTTTGCTATTTAAGGATCTTCTTCCCTTTCGTTCGTCATATCATTATTTAAGTGCTAAAATCTCAGTAAGTCTCAGTCATAAAATTTTGTGCCCATAAAACGCTCTCCCGACCGACCAGAATTTCAAATGTTGCGTGTGATGTGCTCGGAATTTCTAAAATCCCCCATTTAACCCTCGACACTTCACGGATAAAATTATTTCGTCTCGACGCTTCTTTTTACCCCCACCAAGCTTCATTACAACGAAAAAGGAACCTCGCGAAGGAGAAGTTCGGGGTATGTCGCGCCCCATAGCTTCTCCATCTTTTTTTCTCCCGCCATTTATTTTGACCTGTGCTCGTTAGTATTATTTCCACTCCCTAAGGAACGGCAACCAAGTAAATAAGAATTGGGGGCGCACTTGCTCGTATTCGGCTGGCCACTCGTCTGGGAAATTTATGCTCTCCCTTTTCGCACGCGTTATGGCACGTCGTGGCTCAGAAGGCTTCTCCCTTGATTCCGATTCCAAAGTATCGGGGGGAGGCCCCTTTATTCTTTTGAAGGGTAGGCCCACAACTGGGAGGAAAGCGCGAAGAAATGGGGAAATTAGATGTTTGTGACTCCCGTCACGTCGCATCCACCCACAATTCTAGGGGTAAGATTGGGGCGTCGCATCAGAGATCCCCTGCCTCGCGTATTACAATTGGCAGCGAATCCCGAATTGGGAGGGGAGCGCCAATTTGGTCTGTTAATCTGTGGCTTATGAATAGGAGGACCATTTATTGGGGGAAAACGGGGGAGGAGCGGCTTTTAATCAAGTTATTAAATGAGCAAACAACACGCATAAGTGAGGCGTTGCGCTTTGCCCTTCTTCAAGAGACCATCTCCTCGTTTCCGGCCCTCTAAACAATGCGTCGAAAAAGGCTTCCGCCCTTGGGGAAGTTCGTGCTATTTGGAATAATGCTCGATGCTCGATTGGATTACGAGGGGCCCCCAGGTTGGAATAGACAAAATGCAGCACCGCAGCGATTACGAGTACCCCCCGAACTTTTATAGTTTCCTCGTTTCTGTTGATGATCAACGAGGCGAAAATTTCGAGAGGCGGAACCAAAGCTTCCCCTTCTGAGAGAGAGGATGTATTTATGGGGCAGTCCAAGGGTAGTCTGCCCACCCCGGTGGGCCCAGCCGCGAAAATTGCTGTGGAATTGTGAGGCCGGCGTAAAGCAGCTCCTGTTTAAAATAATTCCCCCTCATCCTTTGCGGTCATTGCCCACGACTGATTTGTCTTTTCTTCGCCTTTCTTTCGAATTGTCTTCCCGCCCTTCGTAGACTCATCCGGGCTGAACTGAAAGGAACGCCCATCCGCTTCATTCCTCTCCCCACTTTTTCTTTGATACATACCCACTACAACCCAAATAGGCCATTCCGAAACTCCAGCGATAAATGTGAATCTGATCGGGCCGACTTTTTGGGAGCGATTTATCTCCATTCATCTATGCCAGCCATAAGTCAGTGTGCACGGAAAACAACTCTTGCTCGGTGGGGCCCTCTAGGGAATAAGCGATTTCGAGGAATCGTATGAGAGTATTTTGCTGGTAACGAATTTTTTCTCTGCCCCCAAGAGCCCACGCACCATGGAAATTGGCGAGCAAATTAGCAATTTTAGCATGCTGACTTTTGCATGAATGGCATAAATTCAGTTGTCATCCCCTTCTGAGTCACTTTGCTACGCAAGAAAAAAGCGGGCATGTATAGGCGGGATCAGATATATTTTACAAAGATATTTTCAAGGCTCGGAAGCGCCTCTTGCCTCGAGATTTTGCATGGCTTATCGTGCCGATTCTAGTGATTTAATAACTTTGGCATATACAGTATTTTGTCTAGTTATATAATGACAGCCTTGTTAGTGCCACATGTCGTCCTAGGCCTTTCATAAGCCCAAAAATAGAGCATTGAAGACGCGCTTGCTAGGAGACTTTTTGGGTGACCCTGATTGCATTTTCGTGGCCAGGCGCTTCCAATTCACCGTTTCGCGGAAGGATGGGTGAGACGTTAGCCGGAAGCAAAGACCCAAAAGGTGCCAGGTTGCAATCAGGCTTGTGCTACGGGTGTTCCTCTTTCGGAGGCCACGCGTTGGTCATTTTTCCGGCAACATTGGATTTCCGGTTTTGTACTTTAGACCGATGGCCGAGACCAAATTTCTATCGACTTGTTTTGCAAGAAGAACAGTGCGTTATTTCACGTTAAGCATACCCCATCTTACCTAAATATCTTCCCAACCGCCTTTTGCGTTATTCGACCCGATCTCTTTAAATCAAATGGCATACTACCATGTTTTTTTCTTTTTCCCAGCTTACTTATTTCTATGACCAGCGCCCAAAACCCGCTTCGCGGGCCTTGGGCGCTGGAATGCGTACTTTTCATGTGAAATTTGGCTTCCGATAGCTCGGGTCCTTCGGACCCCTTCCCCCACCGACCAAACACGCGCATGCAGCTCGGAAGAATGAGGAAATTTTTTAACATTATGCAAACTAGCCCTCCCGGACCCCCAAAAATGAATAAAACCGTCTTTTACTTTGTAAGAAAAAATCATATAGGAATTCTGAAAACGCGGTACTCCAAGTGATGGAGAATTAGAGCATTTTAAGCACGGGAAGGCCCTCAAATCGGGCTCGAAAGTGACATCCACACACGCCCACACACAGAGATACATCCCAAAATTATATCTTACCAGATGGTTTCATAATTTTTTATCAGTTTGGGGGTTTCTGACCACGCACTATCCGAATCCAAAGAGAGCTAAGCTCTAGCTCCTTTCCCCTTCGAGTTGAATTCGGCTTCAGACACACTGACGCCTGAAAAAAAATTATTATTGGTCATTTCAATGATCTATCCGGCAATTTCATTTTTGATACTCATTTTTCTCCCGCCATCTCACAGCTCACACATGCCCTTTTTACCTCAAAAACTTGCTCACCAAGCAGCTGCCCTTTCAAAAAATTCTTTTACCTCAACTATAAGAGCCGAAAACATTTTCTCATTGCCCTTTTGTCCAACCCACGCGCTAATTGAATTTCGCGTTGTTGCAATTTGACGGAAGCCCTAGTGGAGGATCCCCCGGATTTGGACCCGTAGGATGTAATCATAGGGCCGATATAAATTTCTTGTCCAAGTGGTATTCCAAGGTTTTATCGCTTTATCAAATCAAATCCTTTCGGCTCCGTCAGCTTCAGTAAAATCTTGCCATCTGCTGTGTCATCAAATCCTTGAATGGAAGTCGAAATCCTTTATCTTCCTATTAACTAATGTTTTCGAGGATTTTTAACGGATTTTGGGAACAGTCCGCCCCTGTGGAGTGAACATATGGGTAGGGGGGATGGAGTGGTTGCTCCCTTGATCCCCATTGGATTTTCCAAGTCTATTCTTAAATTCTTATCAAATAATGGTTAGGGTTTTCTGAATTTTACAAAATTCAGCTCATGCATTTGCAGGGTCAGAACCAAAGCCCATCATCATCTATCATTGGGAATAAAGAGGTTTTCTACATTGGATCATCAAGGATGCGACGCGGGTCTCCCTGAGATTTATCTGAACGTTGATTTACCGTAGTAATTTACATATTTTCGATTTCGATGGGGGTTACGTCTTCTGTCAGATGGATGGGGAGGGATTGGTTTTTGCGTAGTAAATAATAGAGTATGTGGTTATATGAATCATTTGGGTGGGGCCTGGGCCACAGGGGCTATGGGGGCATGAGGGTGCCATTTTTCGGACCCTGAAAGGGGGGTGGACGAGGAAGCCGGGAGGGGGAGGGCCTCTTCTTGTCCACCCAAAAGCCCACACCCATCTTCTTGTGGCTTTTATGTTGGAACAGGGGAATTTCTAGTTACTCTAGAATGTTTTTTATTTTCCATATATATTCTATAATGCTTTACTTATTTTGTAATATGCAGCTCATCTAGCCTCGTACGATCACAACCTGCCTCGAAGTTCGAAGTATACTGTAGCAATCCACCCATCCCACGTGGTTTTCCCTATCCTTCTTTCAAAAACGTTCAGGCCCATTAAAAAGTTTCGTTTTCAAAGCATACAGGTGAATACTTTTCAAAAAAAATTCTCCCAACTATTGTGCGATCCGGCGTGAATCAGCTTTTGCCATTTTGCTGCCGGTTTCCGGGCGGCCCAACCGAAATTATGGCCATCAATCCTGTGGCGCTAGGGTTATTTAGGGACGAGGGGAGATTCAGGCAAGGCTTCGTAAAGCTAGCTGAATCCGTTTTATTTGTTTTTTTTCTAAATTTTAAGCATTACTATACGCAATTCTATGCTTCTTCTTTCTTTTTATTCGTTCCTAAGACTTGAATTCTCTTTTGTTAACAATTTCTGCTGTTCCTTTCATCTATACCATAATATCCAATTTGTTATCCGCCCTTACGCTACCTGCCCACCAGAAAGCCCAAATCAAAATCTGGCTGCCTGGGGCTATTGTTTGTCACGTTTTGTTTACCGTACCTATTTGAAAAATTCATGCTCCTACTGCACCGACGCGTGACAAAACCTAGAATTACAGATGAACGCCACCGACACCACTGATATCGAGCATATCGTCGGCCACTATGGAGCGCTAATTCTGACGGTGCTCTCGGCCATCGCGCTCGTTGTCAACATATACATTTTGAATGTGAGTTTTGGGGGTCTTGAAGGATGGCAAGAGAAGGAGGCGAAGAAAATGAGCATCTGGAGCGGTTGAAATAGTGCGCCCTTTCAGGGGGGCAGTTATTTTTGACGTGGGGGCCTGTAATTCATTAGCTGGGTTGTCTTGAAAGAAAAACGGATCGGACTCGCTTTGGGCCAGATGTGTTTGATGAATATTATGGATGGGCAGGGATGGGGGCTGTATGGAAAACTTACCATAAGATCGAGTGGATGAGTCACTGAAAACGTCAGCGAAGGGCCATGCAGGAACCATTCAATTCTTGGTATTAATTAAAGATAGGCCGATCGTAAAAATAAATTACACAGAATAATATCGACCGTTAATGGGTTTTTAAACGTATTTTGTAAAACTTTATATAAAATTCTGAAAAACAGTCATCTTTCAAAAATTACTGAAAGAATACGGTAATTCAGAAAAATGCTTCAAAACTTTAGTTTGTTAGAGCGGCGAGAAAAGGCAGGATACGCTCCGTTAGAGAAAATTTTCTCACACACCCTAATCGTTTAGCCTTTGAAAGATGAGAGTTGTTAAGAATTGTAAGCTCTATTAAGTGAAGCGCATATCAGATCACAAATTTCCGACAGAAACCAAAAATACTTGACTCGGAAAATCAATCCAACTTTTCAGTGCTCACGCTTTCTGCGACGTCCAATCGGCGTCAACCTTCGATTATGCGTCACCTTAACGGCCGCCGATGCACTATGCGCTTTCTTTTACATCACCAGTTTCACGATCAACTTCTTTGTGCCCGAAAAGTATCGACCCTCAACATGCTGGTCTCTTCTGGTCGAGGTTCGATTCTTAGAAGAAACAGGGCAAAAAGACGTGGGCGCATCGTCCACAGATGTGACGCGTATGCCTATCGTGTGGGGGGGGAATAGAAACGGGCCTCTAATCCGGTTCCGATCCCATGAATAGGTTGCATAATTTTATTAGTGGGACGGGGCGCTCAACCCAAAATCTGGATCCGAATAGATTTTGGGGTGGAAAGGGCATGGTGACGATAAATTGTGGGGGGGCGCAAAGACTAACACCGAAATCAGGAAATAAGAATTTATTTGAATATTAATCAAAGAAATATACGATAAAGATAATATTTAATTATTTTTTTGTAGGCTCTGAAGCTTGCGACATTCTTTGCATCAGTGTTCACCCTACTTTCGCTGGCATTGAATCATTATGTGGGGATTGTATATCCGCTAAGGCGTCATATTATCACGTCCAAGACTGTGAAGTGAGTTTTTAAAGGGTTTAAGGTCGGCGATATAGCAGAGTTATTTATTATTGATTTTAGAATGGCAATCATCCTCTCGTTCCTCGTACCACTCGCCGCAACACTGACCATCTTCAGCGTCCATCCTAGTGGTTTCCGCAGCGGACGAGCATTCGGATTCTTTGTTCAAGATGGATGTGCTACCGCAAGAGTTTTACGTAAGTTCCTAAAACCTCAACTTAAATTGTTCACCTTCAGAAGACGTCTTCGTCCGTTGGATCTTCGTCGTTCCATTTATCTTGATCGTTCTGTTGCTCTCATTCCTCTATCTACACATCATTTTCCATATGTCAACGATGGCCAAGGTTTACTGGCAACATGATAACTAAATAAGAAATTTCAGGACCCATTGCTGACTGCAAATAACAATAATAACCGAAGCAAACGGAGCACTAACCGGAAGCTGCTAGTGACCCTGATGATGTTGGCAGGATCAGCTTGCGTTGGCTGGCTCCCCACTACAGTTATGTATGTACTGCTATGCACGGATTGCGTCTTTCCACAAGCAAGAAGCTTCTATATGATGTTATCCATCATCGCGCAATCTCTAAATGTTCTCAAGGTAAGTGCCCTTTTTGTTGTGTTACATGCTCACCATGTCATTTTTAACTTTGGGTTTGCAGCTGATTTTCGACGCATTCATCTATGCATCACGTCTCATCGAGATTCGTTATTCAATCTGGGCATTCAACGTAGCTGTGCGCTCCAATTTGACCGGTATTATCGGTTGTATTGGTTGTCAACAGTCCTTTTTCAGTGTGGAACCATCGACACAGCGATGCAACCGTTCCGTCAGAGTTTTCGAAATACGTGACGGACACGAAGGACAATAAGAAGGATCGTCAGCATCTGGCAGCACTCGATGCTCCAAGTGTAACATGTTGGTGTTAAATCGCTCTTGAGGGGTTGTGTGACCTTATGCAAAACTTATAAACAACCACCCGTCATCCATCGATTTCAGGCCCCGTCAAAGGCAGGACCACGTCGATGTTCATGGCCCCAACAAATCATCCATTTAAGAACTCCCAGAATACACGCTCTATGAAAATCTTCAAGTAATTTAGACCCTAAATCCTGTAATTAATTTCCTGCTTTAGGTCTGATCGTATGCCAAAGCCGCAGAAGCTGTGAGACAACAGCTTCTCGTCAGCCCACCAAATCTTGACGTGCCTTTCCCTTTTTCTCTTTTTTTTTAGCATTCTCAATGCTTTACGCTATTAATGGATGCTCTGCAAGCTGTGGGGACCCATTATTATATGTAAATTTTGCTTTGAATACAGCTCATTTTCTTGAAAAGCTACATTTAACAGCGCGCCCAATCAAATTCGAACGGACAATAATTAATGTTGTCTCGCAATTCTCGAAGTATCGGTAGCTTGTGTGTTCCGTTTTCAACAGGGTATTTTTATCATACACAAAATGATAGCACAAAACTATGAGGCGCTTTCTATTAAACACATACTGCGCAAGCGCTAAATCGAGCCACAATTAACATCTTGAAATATTCGACATACTTACAACATTAATGCAGGTCCGTTCTTATTACCGTAATTGTTTGGCTGGGGGATAATGGAGGGGAGAAAAACAAAACAGTGGCTGTGTCTCACAAATCGATTGATAAAATATCTGTGGCGATGGGATAGATTGCCGGGGAGAGTCAAAAACTTCAGTTCCCGATCCCAACGCAAACATAAATCACAAACCCAAAAGATGAGGGCAAAAAACACAAGAAATGACACAAAATTTAGACATAAACACATCTATATTAAAGAAATAATGTTAGGGCCTAGGCACTTTGCAGTAAACTCGAGGAAATCCCCAAGGCAGCCGCGTTGTATCACCGGTCACCCTTACGGTACGTATGCTATAGACAAATATGAAATAACTGTGAGGGTTGTTTTGAGCATGCGCAAGGGGAAGTCATATTCAGCATACAGGCCTAATGGTCGAAAATGCAAATCAAACGTAACCCAGAGCAGTGATAGCTATCTCGTCTTTTGTGTACGGTAATTTTTGGGGGAGCGTCAGGTAGGCACATTGCAGTTTGGGGGAGAAGTGGGAGACCTAGAGTTACAAGAAAACAGGAGGAGAGGGGGAGAGAACCCGGTGGATATTTGAGAAAGGAATTGTGAGGCGATGGGTTGAAAGGAATCGGGGTTTACTTCACAGATCACTAATAAAGGAGTCGTAGGGGTATAAGCGAATTACGGAAGGATGATGGGATCACGAATCTGGCCAGAAGTTTTCGGCCGCACCGGCTGCTTCTTCGCCATCGCTGACATAGACGTTGGCTAAAACAAAATCACGTTTTTTCTCGAAAAAGTATATTGAGATAAACTCTAACAGAAATTTTTTTACCGAAATAATGCAACTTTCGCTATACAAAACTTCCTTTAAAAACAAATTCAAACCCACCGAATGGCAGCAGGGCGGTGATCTTTGTGAGGGCTTGTTCCGGGGTCTGTTCTTTGAACTTGAGATAGGCGACTTCACGGTAGATGAACGTCTGGGCGAGTGTGCCCACTTGCTCAGCAGTGCTGCGAATGGTTCGTTCACCGACATTCGGGGCAATTGTTATGCAAAGCCATCCCTAAAATCAGACGCTGATGAGGAAAAAGCGATCGCGTTTTTGTTTCCCAAAATGCGCCCAAAGAGTCAGATTTTCAATGACTAGAAATCGATTTTCGGTTATCTTAGGGATGTTTTCGGGAAGGCATTACGGTAAGGTTCGGTGCACATGTAGGGATAGAAATGTGTGGTAAGAATGATGGCCCAAAAGCGTACATAGGAATTGCTGCATTTGGATTGGATGGCTGTAGAGAGACAAAAGGCACCACGAATTTGGATATTTTGAAAAAGCAATTAGCAGTTAGTGCCTTGCCCCCGAACAAAGCTTGGCTGAAAAAAAAAAAGAACAATTGGGCGCCAAAAATCCAAGATTGAACCGGTATGAAGCATGAGCGATCGACGAAAAATTAGTGAAATCCCGTAAAACAATTTTGGTTGAATTTTAAAGCTCCGTGCTTCGTTCCGCTCCGATTTTGGATATTCGTCGTGTTCCTTTCCCCGGATACACCAAAAATAAACGAGTTAATCAAAAGTTGGAGGAAAGCTTAGGGTTGCCCATAGAAATGCCCGGAAAAACTTACACCACCGGGCATCGAGTCACCCTGCGGGCCCCAAGTGCTCGCGAATGGGCCAGCGATTGCCGGTCCACCCGCAAAAAGCGCTGGGGTAGCATTTGGGTCTTCGGCCATCTAAAAATGATATATTTAAGAGTATTAGCGCAAATGGTTACCTTCTTCGGGTCACGCCACTCCCATTTCTTGCCAGGAACAAATTCGCGCGGCCCTCCTTCGCCAGTTCCGTCATCTTCTTTGTCACCGCCGGTTGAATTCCAATCACCAACGTTTGTCGTCCAGTCGCCCGGCTAAAACACATATAAAAAGTGTCAGTGACAGAGTTGCGATAGGATTCCGCTGAAAAAAACGTGGCGCACCTTGTCTTGCATGCTCATCTCCGTCATCGTCATCTCAAGGCCCTTCAGTTGTTCCTCGGTTGTGTTACGGCGCCATTGTTGAAGCTTCGAACCAGCAGCGGCGGTCGAGGTGGCGGCGCGCTAAAAGAGAAATAGAAATGAAATAGATATAGGAAAATCCAAACTATCTTCATCATATACTCACCTCAGCAATCTTGCTCTGGATCATTGACATATCGAGCTTCAGTTGCTCGACTTCGGAAGTCAGGCGATCAACTTCAGTTTGGTACGTCTAGGCAAAAAAAAATGATAATTTTGCTGGACATTCTTACCACGGCGGGCATGTTGGTAGCACTGCGACGGAGTTGGTCGAGTTCTTGTTGAGCTTGCTCAAGTCGCGGGACCTTGTGAAGCAGCTGATTGAGGAGGATAATCTGGTCGGAAGTCAATTGTCGCTCAAGGATGTCCATGCGCACGAATCCTTTCTTGACAGCGTATTGTAACTGGAAAAAAAAAACAGAAGTTTAGCTGAAGTTATCAGGGGAGATGTACCTTCTCGGAAATGGCTTGGGTGAGCTGCTGCTGATCGAGCATTTGATGGCGGAATGGGGGGTCTCCGTTAAAGGCGTCAACTTCCGGCTCTTCGCTCCAACCAGGTCGGCCATTGTCTTGCCAACGATCGCCAATCGGCAGTTCTCCCCAACCCTGAAAAGTTGTTACAAACACGATGGATAAAAATACAAAAGGGCATGAGCTATTCGAGGCTTTCCCAATCTATCGAGCTATCAAAAACGTACCACATTATAAGCTTCAGAACTTCCGGCCTTGTTCTCCTCCTCGGTATGCTCCTTCCAGCGACGGATTTCCTGGGCTTGGCAAGCCGGATCGCCCCAGGCCTAAAAACAGATGAAATAAATAAAATAGTATTACCTGAGTCCCAATGTCACGCTGCATGCGCTTTTGCTTCGGGTTCGGATCGTGCCACATCATATCGTTGTTGACATCAGAGGGGTAGGGGGCAACCCAGGGGCCGAACTGGCCAGGGTTTTCCATGCCGCGCTAAAAAAATCGAATATATTTCATTATTTCATTACTTTTTATTATTTCATTATTTGGGTACTACGTTTGGCTGAATGGTGAGCATGGTTCAAAAAAAAGGAAAAAGCTAGTTTCGATCTACCTCTTGCATGTGACGTCCTTGCTCCGGCTGCTGTTGCTGTTGCTGCTGCTGTTGTTGTTGTTGTTGTTGCTGAGCTTGAATATGTGGAGGTGGTGGTTGGCCCCATTGCTGTTGTGGCTGCATGGCCATCAATGGGGGAACGGCTCCTTGGTTTGGCTGCCACTGGTTAGCCGCCATATCGTTGCGTCCAGTCTGAAAAAAAAACCAAGATTGATGCGGTCTTGCAAATTCTATCAAATCGGCTAGGCGTTTCCCGTCGCAAAAGCAGAAATATGGCCGAGTATCGAGAGCCAAGCATAAAGACGGCAAAATGCTGCGCCAAAAGACGGAAAACCCTTTTGGGGCGGCGCGCCCATCTGGGGACTACAGTCGGCAAAAAGCACAGCCAGCTGCACGGGCGCGCAGCACACGGACTTTTTATTTATTGAAAAGAACAAACCTGAGCGCCTTGCTGCCAATTCGCCGGGCTCCATTGCGCAGGTTGCGGTGCTCCAACGGGCACCGGCCCACCTTGCCACGGCGCATTTCCGCCGCCTTGCTGCCAATCCTTGTTCTGACCACCGTGTTCCCATGGGGTACCTAAAAATGAAAGGGTGGAAAAAAGCGGAAAAAATGTATACCTTGATCGACTTTGTGGGCTCCCCATTGCTGACCACCGGGTTGTTGCATCGGCATCTTCATCCCAGGCCGCATGTTCTTGTCCATGCCGCCTTGCCACTGAAATACAACGATAGATTATCACCGACCACAAGAACTGGCGTGATAGGCTCCCCCAAAAAAAGGAAATGTACCGTAAACATGAAGTTAGGAGATTCAAGGAGCCCGTAGGCCAATGGTCATGTTTTCATATATGTAAAGCGGTTCTATTGCGGCGGATGTTGGTGAAATCAAGTAAAAATTTCCGGTGCTCATCTAACAAGCAAAACTATAGATCTTAGAATCCATGCATGCCAGGTAAGGCGAAACTAAAGCAAGTCGAATCCAATAAGCAAAAATAATGAGCGAATATTTTAAAAATACCAAAAACTCACGTGAGGCATGTTAGCGACTGGTGCTCCGGGGGCTCCAGCCCATGGCTGCATCGGATGCGCCCCCCAACCGGGTGGTGCTCCAATGGATGGAGGCATACCGGCCCATGGTACTCCGGCTCCAATCGGGTTGCTCACTGGCCGCCACCCATTGTTACCAGCCATCTGAAAAGAAGCATTCAAGAAATGGGTCATTGACGCGGCCGGGGAGTGGGTGACCAATGGAAATGCGGTGACTTGGGAATCGAACCCCAGCTCAAATTTGCTGGCCAAACGTTTGGGTTATTTTTTTGCGGCGACCTTGCTTATCTGATCGTGCCCCTGGGCGAACGATCTGATGTTTTACATTTACACCCGTCTCCCTAGACGATCAATCCGCGGCCCCGGCCAAGCCATGTGTAATTTCGCGCGATGTAAGCCTTTCTACTTTGCCAAAAAAATTGGCGAGCCAAATAAAAAAGAATTACCAACCTGCTGGTTGTTCCAAGGGTTTACTGACATCCGCACCCTTCTCTGCTAGTGCCTACAGGAAAGTTACGACCTTAATAAGAGTAAATCGTAACAATTTAGAGAAAAGAAAACAAAAAAATGAAGTGCAACAACAGCGAATCAATTCGATTAGAAAATAACCGATTCCCTCCCGAAAAATGGGAATTCCTATTTTCTTCCTTTTCAAAAACAAACACAACATCACAATTAAATTAGATTTTTAGCATTTCTAATCATAGTCTCAAGTAGAGCAGAATATTTTTGATCCTAAGCAAGCTTTTTCTCAATGAGCAGCATGACTCATGCATCCTCCCCGCACAACGATCATTCGTTGCTATGCGTAGGCCAAACGCACTGTTGTAAAAGCAAAAGTACAGTTGCAAATTATTTGAAATCTGGGATTATCCCTCCCACGCTGATGATTTTACAGGTTACGAGCCAAATCCGGCATTCGATCTAAATCCTATAAGCCTATTATTCAAAGGAACAAAACCCCCAGATCCTAAGTTGGCAAAGCGAGCACCGGGGCGCATTCCAGGTGCGCATAATTAACACTAACCCTTTCAATTAATAAGCTACTTCAAAGGGAGTATGAGGAAAAGACGTGGAGCCGCCGAGAGAAGCCCAGGAATCGAGAGGGCCGGTGAGAGGCGTTCGACAGAGAGCGCCGCGCGCACGCGACGCATCGTCTCAACCTTTCGGACGCACTTTTCGCCCCTTCCCGCACTCTATCCCCTCACTGTCATCGGTGTTCCCTAGTGGCACCACGTGAAAACAACCCCGCGATCTCTTCGCTACTCTACCGCCCGACCTCAACCATGTCGCCATGGAAGGCCGGAAAATTGCGCGCGCAAACTCAGCTAGTCAAAAAAACGCTTGAAAGAGGATACCGGAGTCCACTACAAAAAAACTGGAAACAGTACGCACTTGGAGATCCGCTTGCGATTACGGAAGATACCGGGTTGGGATGAGTGATAAGATAAAAAAATGCTGGCTGACATTTGGACACCTATTTTTGGGGGAAATATTTTAGGAATAGGTGAGGGACGGAGCGACCAAAGCAACGATTTTGACCTCGATCTGAGTGCCTGACCTGGGTGCCATCTGCTGAGCTGCCATTTTGCCGTCGGACAGATGATAAAGCTAGCCAGCGCACTATAGGCGCGCACCGGTCTTCATACAAATACACCGTTTTTGCTTTTAAATGCGCCTTACTTAGTAAAATATTAAAAATTATACCTTTAGTATTATAATATATACCGTATTTTAACGCACGATAGGGTACTTTATCATGAAACTGGCGTGTTGGGGTACATATTCTCAGGTATCGGTGCTTTATTGCTCAGTTTTAACCGGGTTTTTATGCTTTTAATACATTTAGTAAAGGAAATAGTTTATTTGAAGCGTCTTCAGCTTATTAGTTTAGTAGTATTGTGTTGGTCTACCTGTGCGTTCTTTTTTATTTGAAACGTTGCCTATAAATTACGCGTTATCCTCGTCGTTCTCAAGGTTTTTCTTTCTTACAATATTTTTTCCTGGTTTATTACCTTTCTTACCACTAATAGGAGTTCTTGTTTTTATATCAAATAGCCTCGAAATTGAAGCTTTTACTTTGAATAATCATTTTACACCTCAATCCACGAAGTAAACGACTCGTCTTCAAATAAACTATTTCCCTTACTAAATGTATTAAAGCATAAAAACCTGGTTAAAAATGTGCAATAAAGCACCGATACATGAGAATATGGACCCCTACAAGCCAGTTTCACGATAAAGTACCCTATGGTGCGTTAAAGTACGGTATATATTATAATAATAAAGGTATAATTTTTAATGTTTTACTAAGTAAGGCGCATTTAAAAGCAAAAACGGTTTATTTGTATGGTGTATTTGTAGGGTGCGCCCGCCTCTAGTGCGCTGGCTAGCTTTATCATCTGTCCGGCGGCAAAATGGCAGCTCAGCAGATGGCACCCCGGGTCAGGCACGCAGATCGAGGTCAAAATCGTGGCCTTTGTCAGTGGATTTTCAGAGGGGCGATGTCTGAAAGAAAGCTAATGTAAGAAAACGGCTGAAATAAATGGAGAAACGAATCCAAAGTATCAGGCCTAATTCTGGCAAGTTATACCATGACCAAAAGTCGATCTACAGGTGAGTTTCGCCCAGAAACCTCTTGCCAATTAGCGGAAAGCCGTAATTTACTTGGGCCAAATCGTATCTACCTACTCTAGACAACTCCAACCATACGGTAGTACCAAACTAGTCTGCCCCACAACTGGCAACTAAAAAGCTTCCCACTGAACTGGTTCCCACAGAATTTTCAATGTTCAACCGCCCGTTTTTTTTTCAAGGACCAGCCCAATTCCTTTTCCAAAAGCCAGCCCTTTGGCCCTCCCGTCCCTATATTTTCCCACGCCTTGGGTCCCGTCGCGAATTGACGCGGGCGGTGAAAAAGCCCCTCATAACTTGGATTAAGTCTACCCCATCCACGTCCTGTAGTTGATACCTATGCTAATATGCCATAAAAGTCAAATCGGGTACAAAGTACGTGGCCCCTTGCTGTTATATCGCGAGTAAATTACCCCCTTTAGAGAAATCCCAATTTCAAAAGCCTTATATATTTGTGAAAATATCTTTTGATCAATTGATAGTGAGTTTATCTAAAGCTTTTTACTCTCATTAATGGGCGGTACCATTCGAAGGTGCAGGTGTGTCTGGTGTCCACAGGTGTAGTATGTACTCACCAGGTGGAAACTTGCTCTGGATCAGCGCGCATTGATCGCCTCGAACAGTTTTGTTTTCGCCGAAAGTTAGGCAAACAAATTATAATGTATTTTGATAGGAATTATTGAATTTATTACGCAAATTGGAAATCGACAATGTTGGTGTTTTCCTTGGCAGAACCATCGATAATGTAAATTCGTGTATCATGTTTTTGAAAGAATATTGAAAAGAATTACTTTGTTTCGCGTCTGGTTGGTTGAACTTTTGGTAATCTTAGGAATTAATTTTTAAAATCTATAGGGTTTCCCCTCGGCGTTTCCGAGTGTCGCGATGTCGGACCTATTCTCTTCGATCGCCAATGCGGCAAAGACGATCACTACGAATACGACGATACGGCAGTTCACGGACACGCTGTAAGTTCATTAACAATAGTACGCCAATATGTGCATTGCTCCTTGAAAATCCAGGTTTATGAAAAGCTCGGCTACAATTTTTCGGGGCTGGTGTCCGGGTCTAGCCGTGCTTTTCTTGGAGCCTGTGTTGTTCATGAGAATCAAGACAAAATATAAAAACATGCGGAAATAATATGGCTTTTATATGGTTCTTTAATCTAAGGACACTGAATCTATTTTCGATAAACTAAGTTAAAAATCATCATGACTTCAGAAAAATGATCGGCTGAATCGTAGTTTTAGTTAATCCCGGTGATAATCAATAAACTAAAAAATATCCTTGCAAAACACTATTTCCTTCAGTCAGGGAATGGCCCTGAACTTGGCCCCAGTCGAACAATGCGTATGGGACGCAACAAACGAAGAGCCATGGGGCCCTACTGGCCCTCAGATGAAAGAAGTTTGCAACTTCACCTATCAGTAAGTACCATACCCCGTAACTAACCATTATTCCTATTTTTTTATCCCCTATCCATCTTCACGCTTGCTTTTTTAGATATGACCAGTTCTTCAGTGTCGTAAACACCCTCTACAAGCGCATGCTTGAAAATAACAAGAATGCTTGGCGTCGTGTATACAAGGTAGCAATTTTTGGGTTTGCATTTGGAATTTCGGTTTTAGAGTCTTGTTCTTTTGAATTATCTGCTTCAACATGGCTCTGAACGCGTCGTTTCCAGTGCGAAGGATAACTTGTTCCACATTCGAGCACTCGAAAATTACAAGTTTATTGACGAAAAGGGGAAAGACCAAGGGATCAATAGTGAGTCTTCAAAATTAATTTTTATAGGCAAATAATCTATGCGCAATATAATTTTTTTATAGTTCGACATCGAGCAAAGATCATTGTGGATCTGCTTCAAGACGACGACAAATTGCGAGCCGAACGCAAAAAAGCCAAAGGCGACTCGAAAGAGAAATATCAAGGCTATACCTCCGATGATATTCGGATGGGTCGGGGCGGATCTTACAATCAAAAGAATGGTAGACCAGACTATCATGGTGATAATAGACATTTTTAGAAAAGAGTCGTTACGATGATGAAGACGATTTCGATAAGCCATCAGATAGACGGAAGTACTCTTGGGAAGATGCGGGGGATGAGCATGACAAGAAGTAGGGATATCTTTTGTGCCTTTAAACTGCTGTATTAGGTCAAAGGAGGTCAGCGCATTCAAATTTGATGGTGGTAGCCGTCGCAGGGAATCAAGCCCGGAACTCGGATTTCGAGATGAGGTATGCAAAGCAAAACTATAAAACAATACATAATTTAGGGAAGTAAGAAGAAGACGGACGACGACGAATTTGGGGAATTCACATCCGCGAGGGGTACGACGGCGGCGGTAAGTTTTTTAAAGGCTATGGAGATGTCATTTAAATTTTAGAATACCTCGGCACAACCGACAAAGTCGTTGGGTCGGATTTCGGTTCCCGGGGGAAGTGTGGCCAAATCAGCACCAACTGTCCAGAAGCAACACGTTGCTGCACCACCACCTGCCGCTGTTGGATTTGATTTACTTGGTGGATTTGATGCACCGGCCACTGGAGGTAAGCTGTATCCTATTAACTTTTTGCTAGGTTTATACGTAATAAGACTTTAATTGAACTGAATCGTTTACAGGCAGCACCCCTGCTGTGGATCTTTTCGCAGATCCAGTGCCATCATCGATTCCACAGATCAACACAGCAGCCCTTCGACCGCCACGTCCTCCAAGTGGAGGGTCGGCGGCTTCAAACGGATTTTCTCCATCTCAACCAGGTAAGAAAATCTGATCATAAAACAAATTTTTATGAAACAAAGTAGGCATATGTATCCATAACTTTACAACTTCATTTTAGCAAACCTCCTTGACGATGTCTTCGGCTCCCCGGTTTCTGCCGCCCCACCAGCCAACAACTACTCCCAAATGTCAATGGATCCATTTGGGTAGACCTAGACTTTAGCGATAAAATAATATACGCAACCTTCCAGATCCCTCCCATCACAACCTTCCCCCCAGCAGGCTGTCCAGCCCTCATTCGCTGACTTCGGAGCTCCGGTAGCTGCACCTGTCAATAACACATCATCAATGAACCAGGGATCGGTTGGACATTCATTTGTTTCAAGTATTCCTTTAGCTGTTAAATGACGACTTCTTTGGTGGCTTGACGCTTCAGCCGACCAATACGCCGAACCAATTTGGGTTCCAGGCAACCGGATCGCAGCCTCAAACCGCGCAAAAATCACCGACACCGGCAAAGGTATGAGTCAGTAGAAAATTTCCATTGCTTGACAAACAGGAATAAAATACATACGTTGCGCTTGATATATTTTATATATTTGAAGCGTCGATTTTCCCACAAACTATTTTCCAGGTGGGCCGCACATGGTCTGGTACCACCGGATTAATCGACCTCAACAATCTCGGCAATAAGAACCCGTCGAAAAAAGTCCATGTCCCCATGAACCAAATGGGATCCCGAAACCTTTAAATCACTTTGCAATCACTTTATTCTTACCCCCTTCCATAGTTTTTTTTCATCGCATATCTAAGATGCCTTCACTTGACTTTCGCTTTTGTACCTGATTGGCAACGCTCCCTTCTTTCGCTCCTCTATCCAAACGGCAGTTTTATTATGCCCAGCCCCTCTAGATTTATTGGGTATAATTCATTTTTTTTGCCTGGGCTGTGATTTCGCTAGAATTCTAATGTGATATATCAAGCTATCAATTCGATTGCAACATGGGCTGTGATTCCAAAAAAGAAGTTATAATTGTCGACGATTTTACTGTGATTCGAATAGAGTCAATCATTTATAAGTGCCTTGATTTGAAATAAAGTTGTTCAAGTTTTAGAGAATGAGAAAGAAATGAATTATTGAAAAATACCAATGCGAACAAGGAAAATAGTTCGAGTCGACGAAAAATCAGTTGACAAAGCTGATATTAACAAGAAATTTTCATTAAAATTAAAAAAGCCAATCGTATGTTAGTGTTATAACAATGTTCTTCTTCGTAGTTCTTCAACACTTCATCGACATCAACTTTTTTGGCTGCTTCAAAGCTCACGGCCTTGGCAAATATTTATCGAGCTACCCCAGCCACTTGTGAGCCTTTTGAATTTCCAAGAACCCTTTTTGTAATCCTGCAATGGCGGAATAAGAAGTGTACTATTTTAAAAGGAAGGCACTAGGGTTAGGCCGCTGAATTAAATTTTGAAATCAGCAAAGTTCAGTAGTTCTACCTAAGGAACGGCAACAATGATTTCCAAATTCCACATGCATGCTTGTTCAAAGCGAACGATGGTCTTGGCTAATTTAAGGAACTGGCGACCTAGCCTGACTTAGTTTTCAGATAAGGTCAGTTTCAAATAATTTTATTAAAAAGCTTAAGAAACTCGATTTAAACAAAGTAATCACTAGGATGTCAACGCTAGGATATCAGGATTTTACTTTACGCCCATAGGATACTAATGATGCAAGGTGTACGATATCATAGTGATCTTTTCGATATTTTTCAAATTTCAAAGAAAAGCGGCAAGGCAAAATTGTGACACCGTACCATAACGCACTGAACCAGCATGCTCGATTGTCCAAAGCCTACCTAGTTCCAACAAAAAAAAATTTAACTTAAGTTGGGTAATCGCAAGCAAGTTGTACCTGCCTTACCAAGTGCAATTACTCATACACTCCCAACAAGTTTTAGAAATTGAACAACGTGTTTCTTCGTAGTGCAGCGTTCGTTCAAGCGCCAGTACCTGAATTCCAATAGCCCATCCGCTTTTACAGTCTACCCCCACGATAGTGTCAATTCCTCCACCTTGACGCGTTCACACCCCTCCTCTTCTACCCGGGGTCAAGTCGATCAATCGAGCCGACTCTCCTCAGTGGCTGTAGAGACTGAAGGACTAGTGGGCCCCCCAACACAGTCCCTTGGGCCCCTCAGTGTGCGGATCTGTTGGATAATAGTGTGGGCGGATGGGGCTGGCAGGAGTCGAGGACTATCCACTCAGCCCTGGCCCGCCCACCATGGCAGAGCTCTCACCTCAGAGAATACGTAGAATGTGGATAGAAAAAAGAAAAAGAGTGGAGAAGCGGAGGGGAGGGGAGAAGCTCTGATCCAACCACCGCCACCACTACTTCATTCTTCTGCGCCCAGGTCGCCTAGCGCAGCGCGAGGACCTCATCGCACCCGCAGTCAGGTATGCTCTATCATTCCGACCTACCGCCAGATTTCGGGTTGGCTTTTGGGCCATTTCACGGCTGGCTGCATTGGGGGACTTTGGGGAATTCGGTTGGGCTACTGTAACCCGGTGGCGGGGTATGGGCTACGGTTTCCGCTTTTGCCACTTTCCTGGGAGTTTTATGCTGATTCTGAGCGCGTTTTCAGGCTATTTCTAAAACACTACCTAGACCATCGAAAGATTTATTGAAAAACCGGGAGTTATAAGCATAAATCTAGCCTTTTACCCAATCCCTGGAGCAAGGTATAGGTTTTTGAAGCCAAAATGAGCGAAAAACCAATACACGTCCAAAACGGGCTTTGAGTCCAACTCCACAATTCATTAATTCTAACTAGCTATTTTATAATACCGTTCCTGCACATTTTTCAATTTTTCTCATACCGTTCCTTAGGAATTACATATTTTTGGAAATATTGTAAATATTTATATTTAATATGACTCCGGTTTACAGCCATCATGGGAGACCACGAGAATGACCCCGGATGGCAATACCTCCGCCGCTCTCGTGAGCAAATTCTGGAGGTTTGCGACCTTTATCACCCCAAGAATCACACCACTTTAGGACCAGGCCAAGCCTTACGACTCCAAGAAGAACTGCTGGATTCCCGATGAGGAGGAAGGGTGAGGAGAAACACCTGAAAACCTGAAAACCAAACTGATTTCTAGATATGTGGAGGGCATCATCCTCAAGACCGACGGAGACAACGTCCGTGTCGAGATCAGCCGTGGAAATGAGGCATGATTATGCGAAGAGAATCATCTTATTAAGTGATTTTCAGAAGACCTTCAAGAAGGACCAGATCCAGGAGATGAACCCCCCGAAATTCGAGAAGACCGAGGACATGTCCAACCTGACCTTCTTGAACGACGCCTCCGTGCTGAGCAATCTCCGTGCCCGTTACGCTTGCATGCTGATCTACGTAAGTCCAGAATATTGAATTCCATAGGAAATTTACTTTAATTTTTAAGTACCTATTTTAAGGTATGTAATAGATGAATATAAGATTAAATTTGGTGCATTATTTAGTTTTTTATGCATACCACCTTGCCGCTCACTTGAAATTGCAGCCAATTGATTTTTTGCCTATTCATGCTTCTCACCGATCAAGAATCCGTATTTGCTCCCATGCGGATCACCTTCAGTCTCCTTCCGAATCCCCCTCATCCAATCGATTCATCGATTTCCCACTCCCTAGCCTCCCATTCTTCCACCCTAAAAACTCGACCCCCAATCAGAAGGTTTCATCAATTTCTCGGAAACGCCGACATGGCATATACCGAAGGACCCTCTCAAAGCTCTCCTCTCTCCAGCGACCACCCGGGGCAACAGAGATTATTGAATGTGAAGAGAGACGAGAGATAGGTAGTGGCAGTCGCCGAAATCTTCTTCGAGATGCCGTCCTCGGGGGATGTGTGCGTGCGCGTTTTCTCTGTTTGCCCGGATCTCGAGGCCGATGCGACTTGCACAGTTTAAAGCCTACGATGCATGAAGAAGGGGGGAGCGGTCGGTGGGGGGAAGATTTGGTGGACCTGAGAACCTAAGGATGAATTCTTCCGAGGAACTGATTGCGGGGTAGGAACGCAGCCGTTAGTGGAGATGAAAAAAGTACATCTGGGAACCTAGGAAAAAACATGAGATTCAATAAAACTTGGAAAATGTTGCAATGCTAGAAAATTCAATGGAAATATTCGAAAATTCCGTTAATCAATGTAACGTACGTTTATTAGACTTCATAAATTATTCTGCCACTAAAATTAGCTATCCCTATTGAAAAGTAGCACTTAATAAAAGGAACTATGAAAATCAAGGATTTATTAAAACTTTTTTACGTATATCGGTCGTGTACAAATTTTCGAAAACCCACTAATTACTATATTATACTTTCATTATTATTGGTAAATTAAGAGGATGTTAAGATAAGCATAATCACAACATAGCGCTCAGTAAAAATAATTATCCAATTCAAATACTTATTAAACTGTTTTAGACCTACTCCGGACTTTTCTGCGTGGTGATCAACCCCTACAAGCGATTGCCCATCTACACCGACTCGGTGGCCCGCATGTTCATGAACAAGCGCCGTACCGAAATGCCGCCCCATCTTTTCGCCGTTTCCGGTATCCAAAACCCCGCTTAAAAAAAACTGACAACCCGTTCCAGATGAGGCCTACCGTAACATGCTGCAGAACCACGAGAACCAGTCCATGTTGATCACTGGTGAATCCGGTGCCGGAAAGACCGAGAACACCAAGAAGGTCGGATTCAAATTCGGGGGTTTGATGTTTGGAAATTTTTAGGTTATTGCCTATTTCGCGGCTGTGGGCGCAGCTCAACAAGAGACCTTCGGAGCCCGGACAGAGGTTGACCCTAACCAGAAGCAGGTCACTCTTGAGGACCAGATTGTCCAGACCAACCCCGTCTTGGAAGCCTTCGGTATAGAAATCGATTAATATAAGTGGATTAATTTGTTCTAGGTAACGCCAAGACTGTCCGAAACAACAACTCTTCTCGTTTCGGAAAGTTCATCCGTATCCACTTCTCCAAGCAGGTAAGAAAATGTTTGAAGACATTCTACTAACTTTCAGGACCGGGTTTTTCTATAAAATTCTATAGAATTAAAACATGCATAAAAAATAATTATAGGGACGTGTCGCTTCTTGCGACATTGAACATTACCTCCTCGAGAAGTCTCGTGTCATCCGACAGGCCCCTGGAGAGCGTTGCTACCACATCTTCTACCAGGTATCGTATATTGATATCAACTAATCAATTCCATATTCAATTCCAGGTCTTCTCTGGCTTCAACCCGACCCTCATCAAGGACTTGCTTCTTGACAAACCCACCAAGGATTACTGGTTCATTGCCCAGGCCGAGTTGAAGATCGATGGTGTTAACGACAAGGAGGAGCACCAGCTGACTGATGGTATACCATCAAAGCAATTTCACGAATAATCCATTATTTCAGAGGCCTTTGACATCCTCAACTTCAGCGCCCGTGAAAAGTCGGAGGTGTACCGCCTTGTGTCTGCCATCATGCACATGGGTAACATGAAATTCAAGCAACGCCCGCGTGAAGAACAGGCCGAAACTGATGGAACTGATGGTTTGCCATCTTCAGCCACCCTAAACTCTTAATTCCAGAGGCTGAGAAGGCTGCCAAGATGTACGGTATTGACTGGGAAGAATTCCTGAAGGCTCTGACCCGTCCTCGTGTCAAGGTCGGAAATGAATGGGTGAACAAGGGACAGAACGTCGACCAAGTCAACTGGGCCGTCGGTGCCATGGCTAAGGGTAGGATACAAGCCCTGAAACTCAAGCTCAAACCTCAATTTAGGTCTCTATGCCCGTATCTTCGGATGGCTCGTCAAGAAGTGCAACCAGACCCTTGACCAACAGGGTATCTCCCGTGATCACTTCATCGGTGTGCTCGACATTGCTGGCTTCGAAATCTTCGACTTCAACTCCTTCGAGCAGCTCTGGATCAACTTTGTCAACGAGAGGCTCCAGCAGTTCTTCAACCACCACATGTTCGTGCTCGAGCAGGAGGAGTATGCCCGCGAGGGTATCCAATGGACCTTCATCGATTTCGGACTCGATCTCCAGGCTTGCATTGAGCTGATTGAGAAGCCTATGGGTGGGTCTTTTAGACTTTTAGACGTTTCGTTTTAAATATAATTTGCTGTATTTTGTAAAGTAAATTTAAATATAATTTAAGGTATGCTGACTATTTTTACATATAATTTAAGGTATCCTGTCCATGCTTGATGAGGAATGCATCGTCCCCAAGGCCACCGACTTGACCCTTGCCCAGAAGCTGAACGAGCAGCACTTGGGCAAGCACCCCAACTTCGAGAAGCCCAAGCCGCCAAAGGGAAAGCAGGCCGAGGCCCACTTTGCCATGAGGCATTACGCCGGAACTGTCCGTTACAATGTGATGAACTGGCTGGAGAAGAACAAGGACCCCCTCAACGATACCCTGGTCCAGTGCATGAAGGTCTCCAAGGAAAACGAGCTTCTCGTCGAGGTGTGGCAAGATTACACCACTCAGGAGGATGCTGCCGCTCTCCAGGCTAAGGGAGGTTAGTAAGATTTGTATTTTTCATTATGTACAACTTTCCTAGGTGCCGCTGGTGGCAAGAAGAAGGGTAAGGCCGGATCATTCATGACTGTCTCTATGTTGTACCGTGAGTCGCTGCTCAAGCTGATGACCATGTTGCACTCGACCCACCCTCACTTCATCCGTTGCATCATCCCCAACGAGAAGAAGCAGTCTGGTACGTCAAATTTTGCAGGAATTGACTTAACCCTGCGTTTCTAGGCATGATCGACGCCGCCCTGGTGCTCAACCAGCTTACCTGCAACGGTGTGCTTGAAGGCATCCGTATTTGCAGGAAGGGATTCCCCAACAGAACCCAGCACCCCGACTTCGTCCAGCGATACGCTCTCCTTGCCGCCGATGAGGCCAAGTAGGCGAACCATATCTATACTGTAACTCGTTTTCCAGGTCCTCCGAAGACCCGAAGACTTCCGCGGCTGCTATGCTTGCCCGCATTGTCAAGGAGAAGAAGCTGACTGACGAGAACTTCCGTGTCGGTCTCACGAAGGTAAAACACTAACCTAGTTATCCAATACCCATCTGTTTTCAGGTCTTCTTCAAGGCCGGTATTGTTGCCCACCTTGAAGACCTGCGTGATCAGCGCCTCTTCGAGCTCATCGGTGGTCTCCAGGCCCAGATCCGTGGATACTACAGCCAGATCGAGATCAAGCAGCGTCGCATCCGCTATGAAGCCCTTGCCATGCTCCAGCGCAACGTGCGCAACTGGATCCAACTCCGCACCTGGGAATGGTTCCGTCTCCTCGGAAAGGCTAGTCATATCAACTGATCGCAATAACGTATTTGCATCCTTTAGGTCAAGCCGCTCGCCAAGATGGGCCAGATCCAAGAACAGATTGACAACATGGCCACCGCTTGCGAGACCATGGCCCAACAGCTCAAGGATGATATCGAGACCAAGGACAGGATGAAGGAAGATGGTGTCCGTGTCCAGAAGGAGACCCAAGAACTCCTGGCGCAGCTTGAGAGCACCAAGGGTAAGCACAAAACGTTGAGTCCTTTTAACAACCTTTAATTCAGGCCAGAACAAGGAGGTCGAGGCTCGGATTGAGCAGCTGACCGACATGAAGGTCACTCTTGAGAACAAGCTCGGAGACGCTACCCGCCGTCTTGAGGGAGAAGAACAGGTTGCCCAGGAACTCCTCAAGCACAAGAAGAACATCGAAGGACACTGTGCCGAGCTCAAGAAGAACCAGCAGGTATTTTCCGCTAGCCTTGATTTATGCAAATTTTAGGACCTTGACCTGACCCTCCGCAAATCCGAGGCCGAGAAGCAGAACAAGGAACACCAGATCCGCGCCCTTCAAGATGAAATGCGCCAGCAGGATGAGAACATCAGCAAGCTGAACAAGGAGCGCAAGCACCAGGAAGAGATCAACCGCAAGCTGAATGAGGATCTCCAGGCCGCCGAGGAGCAGAACCTTGCCGCCAACAAGCTGAAGCAGAAGCTCCTCTCGACCATCGAGGATGCCGAGCAGAGCCTTGACCGTGAGAAGCGCAACCGTGCTGATATGGACAAGGCCAAGAGGAAGGCTGAGGGCGAGCAGAAGATTGCTCAAGAGGAATTGGATGAGCTGAACAAGCAGAAGTCCGACATCGAGAACAGCCTTCGCCGCAAGGAAAATGAGCTGCACTCTCTTGGAATGAAGCTCGAGGATGAGCAAAACAATGTTGCCAAGCTCCAGAAGTCGATCAAGGATGATGAGGCCAAGATGAACGATGTTCAAGACCAGCTTGGAGAGGAGAAGGAGTCGCGCCAGAAGGCCGATCGCTCTCGTCTTGAGCTCCAGCAGGAATATGACAACATCCTGGATGCTCTTGAGGATCAGCGCTCTGCTGTTGGATCCCAGATTGAAGCCGGAAAGAAGAAGGACGCCGAGCTCGCCAAGCTCCGTCGTGACTTCGAAGAAGCCGGCCTCAAGTTCGGAGAGCAGCTGACTGCTCTCAAGAAGAAGGGAACTGATGCCGTACAGGAGCTGACTGACCAGATTGAACAGCTCAACAAGGTCAAGCAACGCACCGAGAAGGAAAAGAACGCCATCCAACGCGAGTACGATGAGAGCTCGTCGCAGCTTGATCAAATCGCCAAGGAGCGTGTTGAGCACGAGCGTGTCGCCAAGAACCACGAGGTGCGACTCCTCGAGCTTAAGCTCAAGGCCGACGAGCAGAGCCGTCAACTCAAGGACCTCGGATCATCCAAGGGACGTCTCAACCACGAGAACTCCGACTTGGCCCGCCAGGTCGAGGAGCTAGAGTCGAAGATCCAGATCACCAACAAGCTGCGTCTGCAGTTCTCCGCCCAGCTCGATGAGGCCAAGCGCTTCGGCGAGGAGGAGTCCCGTGAGCGTCAGAACTTCTCATCTCTGTGCCGCAATCTGCAGCGCGAGCTTGAGCAGCTTAAGGTTGCCGTTGAGGATGAGGTCGCGGCTAAGGGTGAAGCCGCCCGCCAGCTCCAGAAGTCCCAGGTCGAATTGGAGGCATGGAAGACCAAGTTCGAATCGGAGGGCTTGATTGGAGCCGACGAGTTCGACGAGGTCAAGAAGCGCCAGAACAGCAAGGCTTTCGAACTCCAGGTATTTAAAATTAGCCTTTTCAACTGATTTGATTCAGGACCAACTCGATGCCTGCAACGCCAAGATCGTCGCTCTCGAGAACGCCCGTGGCCGTCTTTCTGCCGAGGCCGAGTCGAACCGCATCGAGGCTGAACACCACGGACAAGCTGTTGCCTCCTTGGAGAAGAAGCAGAAGGCCTTCGATCGCGTAAGTATATATGCATACTTATTATGCTAATCTATCCACTTCAGGTTATTGACGAATGGAAGCGCAAGGTTGATGACCTGTACAGCGAGCTCGACTGTGCCCAGCGTGACGCCCGTACCCTGTCTGCTGAGTCTCACAAGCTCCGTGGAGGACATGATGCCCTTTTGGACCAGACTGAGGGTCTTCGCCGTGAGAACAAGTCGCTCTCCGATGAAGTTCGCGAGCTGACCGACTCTCTTGGCGAGGGTGGACGCAACATCCACGCCCTGCAGAAGAACCTCCGCCGCTTGGAGGTTGAGAAGGATGAGCTCCAGCGTGCTTTGGATGAGGCCGAGGCTGCCCTTGAGTCTGAGGAGGCCAAGTCCATTAGGTGAGTTAGTTAAGGCAATACCAGCTCTATTTTTTTCAGGTGCTCTGTCGAGGTTGCCCAGATCCGTGCCGAGATTGAGAAGCGCTTGTGCGAGAAGGAAGAAGAATTTGAAAACACCCGCAAGGTTCACCAGCAGAACATCGAATCTATCCAGGCCACCCTGGACTCGGAATCCAAGGCCAAGGTATCGTACCCCTAAAACACGATCAATACGAAATTTCTCTTTAGGGAGACCTGCTGCGCATCAAGAAGAAGCTCGAATCCGACATTAATGAGTTGGAGATCGCTCTCGACCATGCGAACAAAGCGAACGAAGACGCCCAGAAGAACCTTAAGCGTTACAACGACCAGATTAGGGAACTCCAGGTATAGCGATTAGTCTATTATGTAGCCAAATAATTTAGGTTACCGTGGACGATGAACAGAAGAGGAAGGAACTGTTCCGCGAGAACCTGGCTGTCGCCGAGAGGAAGTTGGCTGCCGCCAAGCAAGAACAGGAGGAGCTGATCGTCAAGCTCGAAGCCGTAAGCCAACCATGAAACTCCTTTCATAATTGTTTCAGATTGAACGTACTCGTCGCCAGATCGAGGGAACCGTCCACGAACAACAGGAACTGAACAACGAATTGAACTCGCAGAACGTCGTCCTGACGGCTGCCCGAAACCAATTGGAAAGCGAGTACACCCTGCTCAAGTCCGACATCTCGGAGGCCCAGCAGGAGCTCGCCGCTTCGGAGGAGCGTGGCCGCCGTGCCGCCGCCGAGGCCGCCAAGCTGTCCGAGGATCTGCGCCACGAACAGGAAGCCGCATCGACGCTCGAGCGTCTGCGCAAGAACCTCGAGAACCAGGCCAAGGATATGCAAGAACGAGCCGATGCCGCTGAGGCTGCCGTGATGAAGGGAGGCACCAAGGCTGTGCAAAAGGCCGAACAGAGGCTGAAGGGACTGCAAGCCGATTTGGAGAACGAAACGAGGAGGGCTCAGGAGGCTGTCAAGGCTTTCGGACGCGCTGATAGAAGGGTTCGCGAGCTGGACTTCCAGGTGGGAGAGCAACACGAAAGCTCAGTCTCAAATTTCAGGTTGCCGAGGACAAGAAGAACTACGACAAGCTGCAGGAGCTGGTTGAAAAGCTAAATGGCAAGCTGAAGTTGCAGAAGAAGCAGTTGGATGAGGCTGTAAGTAATAAAGAGGCTGTAGTTTGTGGGTGAGGGCTGGCTTTTCCGGGTTCTAAACACCTGGATGCATTTGAGGGGCCTGCGCATTAATGAGCGATTTTTAGGCGCAAGGAGTATGGTTTTTCCTCAATTTCTAATTTTCAGGAGGAACAAGCGAACGGAAACCTACAAAAATACCGCCAGATGCAGGTTCAGCTAGAGACGGCCGAAGAGCGCGCCGATTCCGCCGAAAACACCCTTGTGCGCATCCGGTCACGATCCCGCATCACCGTTGACCGACAATAAGCTATTTGGTTGAACATATCACTTCACCATCTCATTTCAACAAATCCACATTTCAACCCCCGCCGTGTCTCCGCCACTTTCAAACCTACACCCTCACCGAACACAACTCTCCCCAACCACTCTTTTTTTTTAGTTTTGCTACTAGCTTTTTTCTGGCGATGGCTCTGTATAGAGTAATTGCTCGTAGTGTTATTAGTATTCCGGAACGATGCCGATAAACGTTTTTGTTCTTGATGTTGGATAACGTGCATACATTGTGCCCATGAGGTACAGACAGCGAGTTGCGACCTTTGGAATGGTTGTCACGTGAATCTAAAAGTGGGGAAATTCCTTCCAAAAATCAACCGGATTTGCGCGTTGTCAGAGATAGGACAGCAGAAGAGGAGAAGCCGGGTGTCTGATAACAGGGGGGCATTGTAGTCAAGACACCGTTTCCGGCTCGACTCAATGAAGTAAGGGTGTTTTCTAGTAATTTTTATTTTTTTAATAGGTTTGTTTTGTTGAGCGCGCTTGTCGCAGCTGCAGTAGCAACCGATGGTTGGGATGGAATTCAGGTGTTTCTGGGCTTCTCGATAGTAAAGTAGGTCTAGGCGGTTTCCGCTGATGGGTTCAAGTGCCTAGCCAACAATGGATATTCATTCTTTATTGCTCGTGTCTGGGAATCCGTCGGAAACTTTGATACCACCGGCATTCAGAACATCAAGAATGCGCGCGCTGGTGAGTAGCTTACCGGGAAACACCGTTTTGTTTAGCTGGCTGGAAATACGTCGACGGTTACATTTTCCCGTGTTTGCGTTCGGGTTGCGCCTCGCCTGCTGCGCAGGTGGGAATTTTACAAAAAAAATTAGAAAACTGCGCATTCTAGGTGCAAGCTACTGTAAACAGACTTCACTCTGATGGGGCTGAGTTCGGTATGCTGTGGCTGGACATTGAGCGGTGGGTAGAAAAATAAAGGCAGATGATGACGGTGTCTGGTTTTTTGGAATTTTTTAATTTAGCCTTGCCTGGCCCGCTGACCAAAACGCTAACCGCAACTTCATCACGGCTATGGCTAACGAGTTGGATGTAAGTGTAGTTTTAGCAACCTACAATAAAAAGATTAGGCCCTGAAAGTTACATGGGGAATCTACACCAACTACAACAACTGGGCATCGATTGTTGGAGCCAGCTGGAGCGCCTACGGACATAAGCCCCTATGGTGGGCCACCTATGATGGCAGGAAGGTGAGAGGCTTGAAAATTAAAGCATTTCAAATTCGTTAAGTTAAATTTAAAGTGAAGGAAACATTTAAAGGGACAAGCGATCGTGTTTTATTTACTCGATTTAGGACAACGCCGACTTCAAGCCGTTCGGTGGCTGGACCAGCGTGGCCATCCACCAATGGGCCGGATCCGTCAAGGGGCCATGTGGCGTCAGCATGGATTTGAACCATTATTAAGCATCTCATGTATCATAAATCCTGCTAGATAAAGTCGGGTCATGCAATTTACATACGAAAACTACCCTGTGATTAGCACCATGACATAGTGAAAGAAAGAAACATTGTTGATTTTAAGACTAGAACTATCGATCACATATTTTCGAGCACAGAAAGTATGAATACAACTATCCGTACTATTAATCAGACGATCTGCAGAACCCAAAGATCAGCCAACCGTCCCAGCCTTAAAAGCAGCCGGATCTGGGCTGCAGCAGGGGGATAGATAAGGAAGGCCCTATTTGGACACCCGAGAGCTCAACAACCGGCCATGAAGTGAGTTCAGTTTTTCAAACCTTGACCTTCCTATAGGTTACTTGTCCTATGTACGATTATAGCCGTCACTTCTGCGTATGATGGTTGGGATGGCATTCAGGTTTTGTATTTAGATATATGGTATACCGCATTATAGGGCGTGTCCGTCGATGGATTCAAATGCTTGGCTAATAACGGGTATTCGTTTTTTGTTGCTCGTGTCTGGCAGTCAATCGGCGATTATGATTACACAGGAATTCAAAACATCAAGAATGCGCGAGTCGGTAATTATTATATCATCATAGATTCTAACAACTTTTAGCCGGCTGGAATGACGTTGACGGGTATATCTTCCCTTGTCTTCGTTCTGGCTGTGCACCACCTGCCAACCAGGTAACCAATCCTAAATCCGAGATTAACATAACTTATCTTAGATCGAAGCTACCGTTAATAAGCTGAATGCAGAGGGGGCTCAATTTGGAATGTTGTGGCTTGATCTGGAGCGGTATTTAACAAAACTTAATGCTGAAAATGTTTTTTCAGCTTTGAATGGCCAGCCGACCGTAATGCTAATCGTAATTATATCAGTGCGCTTGGTAACCAACTTGATGTAAGCGTTTAAAATTATGCATTATCATTAATGCATAGATGATTCTCTTTGAATTATTGTAGGCAATGCACATCAACTGGGGCATCTACACCAACTACAACAATTGGGAAGCTATCGTCGGTGCGGATTGGGCGCAGTGGTCGAGCAAACCACTCTGGTGGGCCACCTACGACGGCAGAAAGGTTATTAAAGTTCGATCACTTTAAATTTAATCTGATACTAGGATATGGCCGACTTCAAGCCGTTCGGCGGTTGGACCAAGGTAGCCATTCACCAATGGGCTGGCGATGTGAAGGGACCATGCGGAGTCGCAATGGATTTTAACTATTATCCATAAATTCAATAAATCTTTATTTCCAATATTTTTACTACACACTTACAACACTATAATCTGCTTCAAAGACCTTTAGTCCGATTCAATGCATGTGGCATTATCACGGGTTTTTGAGCCGACGTGCTGACCACGATAAGGCAGTTTGCGAGAAATTCGGTTGTTTTTCTGGACGATGTGCTTTGGCCAAACGGCTGCGCTGTTTCTACTAGTCTCTATAGCTTTTGCATATGATGGATGGGATGGCATTCAGGTTGATACATTTTTGATCGAGCTATCTGGGATTTCAGGCGGTAAATGTCGACGGGTTCAAATGCTTGGCTGCCCACAACTACTCGTTCTTTGTGGCTCGCGTTTGGCATTCCTACGGTGACTACGATGAGACCGGCATTCAAAATATTAAGAATGCGCGCGCCGGTATGAAAAACAGAATTTTCGACGCTTTTAATGCCCTCTTCAGCGGGTTGGAAAGACGTAGATGGTTACATCTTCCCTTGTACACGCGCTAAATGTGATTCTCCAGCGATTCAGGCAAGATTGCCATCTATTAATATTTTTCTTAGATACAAAATGTTGTCAAAAACTGAATGCGGAGAATGCCAATTTTGGGATGCTGTGGCTAGATATTGAAATGTAGGTCAGAACGGTTAAATTATAGTTTTTTATAGTTTCGAATGGCCTGATAACAAAACAGCCAACCAGGATTTCATTAGCGAATTGTGCAAGGAGCTTGATGCAAGTTTTCGTGCGGGGCATATATGTAAACACATGGATTTTTAGGCTCAGAAAGTCCAATGGGGGATTTACAGCAGCGCCCACAATTGGTTGAATATTGTTGGTCTCGATTGGGCTGTTTGGAAGGATAAGCCGCTATGGTGGGCAACGTATGATGGAAAGAAGGTAGTTTTCTAAGTTTCACTAATAAAACTCTAAGCTAAAGTAAATTAAAAACCGACCGACGTGTTATCACTACGTTGCATAATTAACTTGTCTTGGCAAAAATTAGGAAAAGCGCTCCGGAAGCTTTTTCTGTAAGATATTTTCTCTCTCCTTTCGGTGTATGGTAATTGATTCCAAAAATAGGGTGCTCCTGATTGACAAAACGCTTGGAGCGAATATAGAAACACACTGTTTAAAAAATCTGAAGTGTATGCAGCCTCCGCTAAGGAACTAATAGTGTACCAAAAATACTTCTATTTTTATTAACTTGCGAGATTGGCGGAAGTTGTATGGAAATGCGCACGCAAAAACTTTTTCTTTTCTATGTGCAGTCAAATTTTTAAATTTTGGAGCCGCATTAGCTACTTTCGTACATCTATGACCTTAACGGAAAGCCAATTAGCCCTTCGACGTATTCAGGACTATGCCGACTTCAAGTCATTTGGCGGTTGGACAAAGCCGGCTATTCATCAGTGGGCTGGGTCGGTGAGCGGGCCCTGTGGAGTCAACATGGACCTCAATTACTACCCTTGACATTTTCAGAATAAACTATTTTCTGTGTGTATAAAAGTATTCGGTTTTACTTCCTGGGCTTGGGGTTTCCAGCCTAGTGGTATGCAAGGTCAAACCTGATATGACTGTTTTTCGGGTGGGCGCCTCCAGTTTGGGATGCAAGCTCTTTTCCGTGTGGTTCTTTTAATATGTAAACCTATTATAAAATAGTTTTCTCTGTTTATGCTCTTTTGTATTTGTATCTTTGTATAAGCGCGTAATGGCCTGGAGGTGGCAGTACATATCTTAAAATTTTGGTAATCAGCTGTTTTCTTAAGAACATACGTATTTATGGAAATCTCGGGCATCCCTTTTAGTTACCAAACAATTAAATTCGCCCACTGTCCAGATCCACGTGTTGGCTTGGACGTTGGGTTTCCCCCTTGGGCCGATGGCCCATTGGGCGGAACCAACCGGGGTAATATTTGCAGTGCGTCAAGATGGAGAGGTGATGGGGGAAGGAAGGAAACTGTCAACGGTCCCTTTAGCTATCCTATCAGGGGCAGTCTACTGATTGACGGGAAATACTTTCCACTAGTCGTCGTGGCCTTTGCCATTTTAGGCCGCTAACTTCGTTATTTTTTGGCAAATCCTATAAAAAGCTTAGATATGTTGTATCTACCATTTCGTCTCCCCCGCCATTTAGGTTACAGCTTTTCTTACTATTAGGGTCAGCTATTGCGGGCCGGTTGGTTGCCCGGCTGGGGCTCTGGCTGAGGAGCGGGAGGAGCTCTTTGTATCTCTAACCCTCTCCCATTCTCTATATTCTCCTTCCTCTTTTTCCATCTCCTTTGGATCGACCAGTTGGTCAGTGCCACGTCGACATTAAGACCGAGTCTCCCTGACCCCTCTCTGCCTCGCATCTCATCCTCCTTTCTCCACCCATATTTCTCGAACTTTCGCTTGGCTATGGTATAAAGGGGAGGATGGGGAGGTGGATCGGCTAGGGAGCAATAGTATCTTCGCATTATTTTAGGGAAATCAGGTTCATTAATTGGTTAATTAATTACCATAATTAGCATTTACTTCCACGCTGGAATTTTGAAATTTTGAAGTTTTTAATATTTTGCAAAGTAGACTGTCAGTGTAGAGAGAATCGAATAACTGTCTTCCTGGAAATATTATGTTGCTTGCTGAAAATATTATGTTAATTTGGCTCTTCCGTGCAATAACTTTTTTTAAGTAGCCGCACTAATAAACAATGACGATTAGTACAAACGCTTAACAATTGTGCAACTTATTTTCTATATTTTTGTCGTAAAAAATCGCAACCTACATGTCCCCTTTCATCCATACAATCCAAATATTGTCCCAATTTACACATTTCCATGCAGTTCGCCGGCCACGCCTGCGATGTTCTAGATCCACCCGGTTTTTTCAGTCCATTCCCGAGGTTTCTCTGACCGTCTGACCCGAGGGGATGGAGAATGGAGGCGAGAGAAGAAGAGAGTGAGAGGGTGGGGAGAGACCGCAGCAGGGTGGTATTGAGGGGTCAACCAACCCCCGCTCCCTCGCTCTTCCACAACCTCCGACCCACTTACCCCTCTCTTCCACCAGATCCGCTCACCACAGCTCTATAAGCAATAAAAATTGATTCGTTGGGATTGGCTCCCGGGCTTTGGGGGATTAAAAGGATTTATGTTTACATTTTTTCGAGTTTTCAAATTTGGGAATTTTTAAATGTTAGATTAGGTATTATTTATTTTTTGGAGAAATCCATGATGTTGGACGATTCTATTCAAATGATTGCTGCCAATTTCTTTCACACCTTTATACCCTCCGCCTTTTGACAAAATGTCACCGCTATAGGTCTTGGCTTGCCTCAGGGTATCTTTGGCACCTATCACCCCGTTCGCATCATTATTTAATGACGATATTTTCATATCATTTATTTTCATATCTTGTTGAAATACTAAATGTAATGGTAATTAAATATAATTTTAAGAAACTTGCCGTATTCTACCTACACCATGAAATTCGTGATCGCCTGTGCCCTCGTGGCGCTTTGCCTCGCGGAGCACCACGATCCTCTCTCCGACAAGAAGCACTTCAAGGTATAAACTAAAATTCAATTCATTAACCAATTAATAAAATAAATTAATATATTATTATATATAAATTAATGTTATTATTAATATAAAATTTTGCCTTCAGGGAAGCGGAGCACGACCCGAAATTCGATCACGAAGCCTTTCTTGGAAAGGATGCTGCCGCCGAATTCGACGAGCTGACCCCGAGAAATCGAAGGAGCGCCTCGGGTTTGTGCTCTGAACCTTATAGTTTCTAAGCTATGTTTAGAAAACTGGTCCCCAAGATGGACTCCAACGGAGATGGTGTCATTGAGGAGAACGAGCTGAAGGACCACATCAACTTCATGCAGAAGCGGTAATTGAAAATAAGTAATGTAAAGATCGAAAATTAGTTATGTGAATAACGACGTTGAGCGCACGTGGAAGAACTACAAGGAGGACAAGATCGTTGATGGAAAGATCACCTGGGCTGCTTATCGGTATGGGTTTAATCGATTAGGCAATGGAAAGTTTTTTAGCGAGATGGTCTATGGACATCCCACTGGTGAGAACCAGGAGATTTCTGATCAGTACAAGAAGATGCTCGTCAGGGATGAGAAGCGGTAAATATAATGAAAAATAATAATTATCATTATTTTTCAGGTGGGCCGCCTCCGACTACGATTCCTCTGGAACCCTTGACCGCACCGAGTACGGATGCTTCATGCACCCCCGAAGATTGCGAGCACATGCGTGATGTTGTCGTCTCTGAGACTGTTGAAGATATTGACAAGAACAAGGACGGATACGTCGACCTCGAGGAGTACATCGGAGATATGTACCGCCCGGAGGATTACCCTGAACTCAACGGAAAGGAGCCGTGACTGGGTTGCATCTGAGCGCGAGATGTTCAAGGTGGGTGTTGGCGGATAAGTGGAAAAAGTGTATTCTAGATGCTATTGACTCTAAAAACCATATGTTTATAGGAGCACCGTGATAAGGACAACGACGGCAAGCTGAACCAGAATGAGATGCGTGACTGGATCATGCCGATCGGCTTTGACCACGCTGAGGCTGAGGCTCGCCACTTGATGGGGAATCTCTGATGATAACAAGGTAATTTCAAATTTAATCACATAGGGCTAGTATCTATGAACGAAAATGTAAATTAACAAATCATAAATTTAGGACGGAAAATTATCTCACGATGAAATTATCGCTCATTACGATACCTTCGTCGGATCCCAAGCCACGGATTATGGAGAGCAACTGCAGAAGCACGACCCTGCTGACCTCTAAATGATAAACCCCCTCTCCATCAGCCCCAATACTTCTTCACTTCAATTCAAGTCATTCGCCTTGTGATCTTTCCATAACTTAACGTCATCAACTACTTATCGGGACCGCATAAGCATTTCAAAAAAACGACCGCATGCTTTTCACACACCCACCCCTCCAGTATTTCTACCCAACCCCAAAAAACCCTCTGTCCAAACTCGTTTTGGGTGCTTCTGACAAATGCGGCAAGCCAGATTCTACCGATAGGAACAAATATTCGCCCTCATTCACCGTGCCTCTCATTGTTATTACGTGCCCAAGGAAAACGTGTCTTGACCGCCTAATAATATTCATTAATAAATGGTTATAAAGCCAATTGAATTGGAGGTTGTTGCATGAAAAAGGCGACAGATATAATATAATATTGTAATTTACAAACAAGAAATTATATGTTTTACGGTCTTTGACTTTTAATTTGGTGCCTATCTTGATGTGATTTTCGGATTTTTAGCGGTTTTCGCACCGATCAGCCTTTTCACGCTTTTCAGCCATAAAAAAGAAAAAAGACACTAAATCTAGAAAGTGAAAAGCGGTTGATTACTATTAATAATCCAATCGTTTCTGTTAACAAATCCCTAGATCATAAAATTGAGCGTCTCCCGTGATAGGTAGGTGCTTTTTCAGCTTACGCTTTAAAGAACCCAGACAAAGAATTTACGAAAACATTATTTTCGCCGCTTCTCGATGACTCAGCTCTATTGTAGCCAGAGACCGTGCTAGAGATAGAGAACGCGATCGCGGGATGAGCAAAGAGAGGAGCGCCATAGTAGGGGGCGCTTCCGCGCCTTGGGGCGACCTGGTTCTTGGAGCACAGCCGCCCACATGAACCCGCTCAGATCTCGTCCTTTCAACATTCTATCGATTATACTCCTTGTCCCGTTGGCATTAATCACAAGATCTCAAGCCTTCGACGTCCCTTGTACCCGTGAGCTTTTTTGAGAATTTTATTGCGACTGGAATCAGTAAAGGGCAAAAGGAATTTAATGATTCGATAATTCTCAGAAAAACTTATCGGCAGTAAATGTTTGTTCGACGAAGAATGTTACGGGATTGAATACGGTCTGCAAGGGAGGGCGATGCTCATGTCCGAATAATTTTGAAGAATATGATATCGATGAGAAGACGACTGTTTGTCGACTTGGTAATTGAATTATTTAAATTGATTATTGATACCTAGCACCTTCCAAAATCAGCGACAGCTGTCAGCGAGATTGTAAGCCACCTTTGCTATGCCGTGACGGTCGGTGTGAATGTTGGGGTGGAAGCATTGTCAATGGCCAATGCGTAGTTCGTAGGTTACTACGGACACAACCTTAATTTTCTTTGATTAGCATGCCCTGCCGGCCTCCAACTATATGGTGTTGAATGTACTCGAGTGGCCCACTGGGGGCAGATGTACGAAAAAGATTCACAATGTGTCGATGTCTTCAATGCGTGTGTCGCAGGGACTTGCCAATGTGCGCCTGGGACTACGAGGGATGTTCAGCGCGGGTTTTGCTATGCAGGTGAAAAATGGAAATGATAAAAAATAAAGCTGAGTTATTTTAGTGTGCCCGGACGGGATGCATCCTAGACAGACATGTCGAGGCTTTTTATTAATGATATTGATATGTTGGAATCGGCAGCTTCTACAGGTTTGTTCAAGTCATTTTTGAGGCCTCACACTTTTATAAATTTCTACATAACGAATGAAATAAGTTGAAAAGGGTAATTACATGTGCTGGCGACTTTAAGCCTTTTACTATTCATTAATTAGAAAGTAATTCTATCTATATTTATACAAATGAGAAGTCTTCCAGACTCTTGCCCCTCGGCTATCGTTGCGTGGCTTATGGGAGCCCTATGTTGGCCACTGTTGCAGATTGAGGTGTCCATATGGTGAACCCGATCTAACGTAAGTCTTCCCATTTTTTCAAGACCCAGTTGCCATACGATTGCTCTTTTTGAGTAATTATTCCTGTTCAGCCAGTCGTGCGATGCTGGTGCTCCGCCGGAGGGAAAGTGCCGACCGCTGACTCATTTCTGTTACACAGTCACCGAACCTGGTTGGAAGAGCTCGTTGTGTTGCCCGAGACCGTGCAGGTAGTGGTTGTGAAATCACTTAGAAAATTTAGTAAAAATCTCCTAACTATACCCTGGTAAACCTATCGAATTTTTTAGGGATCCAACCCCACTGTACATCAACGGACAATGCATGTCCATTGCCCATCGTGAAGATCCATGCCAAATTGATCAACAAGTCTCCAATTGTCTTAAATTCTATATTGATTTATTTAGTGTGAAGGCGGAATTACGATGAGTTGTGTATTGGGCGTTTGCCAATGTAAACTTGGATTCAAAGCGGTAAGACGCGCAAAAAAATACATAGGATGTTTTAGAATAATGACGATCGATTCCCGGCGTGTGAAAGGACGTGCAATCGGATTGATGAAATTTCGCTTGGTGATCAGTGCTTGGCTAAGGTATGAACTACATAAAAACCCAGATTAAAATACCGTACAATTGCCCACTAAGCAAAATTTTCATTTTTCAGGTAAGCCTCAGTCAACGCTGCCTAGCCAGCAAGCAATGCCCCAATTTTCGGAATGCCGATACGGCACTTGCCAGTGCCTATGTGGCTATAAACAAGTCAAGGTATCCAAAAATGTCCTTAAACTTTTAAATTCAAGTTGAAATTAAATTAAATTCATCATTCGATTGAAATTCTTAAACTTTTTCAGGATACATTCGGAGTTCGCTGCACGAATCCCGACGACCCGCTCAGCCTGAACTCGATCCTGAGTGGCGTTGAACAACTATTTGGCAAGCAGTCGGCACCCAGATATTAGGAATATTTATTGCATTGATGGACCATAAAATAAATTAAAATAATGTATTAAAAATGCACCTGTCGCATGCCAAGTTTTTGCCAATCGATCCAGCTGAGGCGGGCGACAAGTTCTAAGCATACAAATGTTTATATATATTCAAAATTTACAAACCAGTCGTGCTCCAAGCTGGTGCATTATAGTTAGGTTGCTTTGCATATGTGGTACATTCTCTGATATAATCTTCAGCTTCAAGCGGGGAGCTGAAAATATAAATTTAAATTACAGACACAAGTACTTACGATAATATACCATTCAGCATATTAATATATGCTATGGCCAGGTTGAGTGTGTCAATTTTTGAGAGCCTTTTTTCGAAGGGGAAGTTTGGAATGTAATTCCGTAGTTCCTAAATTAACGATAAACATAAAATTGTTAAAACCTACAGCGAATGCAGCATTTATTGTACTCATCTAGCAATAGTAAATATTATAGATTAGAGAATCGGTGGATGATAGCTAGACAAATGAGGAGAGCCTCGCCCCAAGCCCCAAGCCACTTCACATTGTCAGAAACAGCCATCCGTGTAATTGGCCCGGCTGCCGCGGCAAATCGGAGACTTAAAAGGGATAAAGGGATACGCAAATATAAACTACGGAATAAGGCCGAAAATAAAAAGTGAAGTTTATGGGGAACTTTGGTGTTTTTTGTTGGGTTGAGGCGGAGTTTAACCCCTAGGGATTACTCTTGCTAGCTGTTGGGCAGCTGGGAGTTAGTTTCTCGAATTCAACCTAAAGAAATGCTGCGTTTTGCATCGATTGGGATATTTTTGGTTACTGTGGCTATTGCATCAGTGGTTAGTTGATTTTATGTTAAAATATATAGATAAATTAAATAAGGCTTCAAAGGCCTGTGAAAAAGTGTTGAAAAAGTTATATTGCATGTAACCTGGGCATCTATGTAATGGGCATGTAAGACCCAGCTATGATGTATAAGATAGAAATCCTGTGTTTATTTTTGTATATAAAATTAATACAAATCATTTCAGCCCTACTGCCCTGATGGAACTATCGCCTACAAAGGTAACTGCCTCCATTTCATGACCGCCAAGAATACCTTCAACATGACTCAAATGACTTGCGCCTCCCTCCATCCAAACGCCACCCTTTTTGGCTTCGAAAACAAAGACGAGCTGGTAGATACCTAAACCTCTTAAACCGTATATCTATTTTAGAGTGCTCTCAAAATGTGGATGCCTCTCCAAGTTCCGATCTGGGTTAGCAAGGCCCCTGCTGGCAGAATGCAAGAAAATCGGAAAAGCCGGAAACTAAGGGAGTGAAAGGACCGAAAGCTCGTGGGTTTTGCTTCTTTAAATATGGAAATTCTACTTGAATCATGCCTTCGTTATCTTTTTAGCAAAATGCCCAGCCCTCTACAACAGCCAAAAGCGCACCGACTTCCCGAATCTGACCTGCGCCAAGCAGTATCAATTCATTTGCACCCATCCGGCCCCTCAATGTAACCAGTAATAACCGATATTTATAAAAATTATTTACTTGCTTCTACAGTAGCTTCCTATTAATAAATACTTTGAGCAGCACCTGGAAGCAGAACACGAGATGTATAAAGCAAAACACAGATATGTAATCTAGGCAAATACCACTAATTTCCTGACGCGCCGAAGCCCTGGGGATATTTTTTTTTGCGCTACAATCTGGAGAACACCGGCTGTATTTGCTAAGCATATTTACATATGGATTTTATAAATAGAGGTCTATTTACGCGTAAATCTAGTCAAAAGTCATTTTCAAAATTGGATATCACGATGGCACAGCTGGATTTTGCGAGGGAACCTTTTTGGAATGGGGTGAATAACCAAACCAAATTTTCATAGCTGTTCTATGAATTGAGGTTAGAGCGCATGAAAAATTTTTGTCAGATAAATTTTAAATTCTCTATAACAATTTTTATCAAGACGGAAATAGTGAAAATTATAACTTACGTCGATATCCAAGAGACGTGACCAAAGTTTCACGAGTCTATTTTTGTTGCTTTTCCCCGGAAATTTTCCCAGCCACGTCATGCTAAATGTTGCCTCGACTACGGTAGTGATTGATGATGTGCTGTCTATCTTTTGAAGAGCTGGGATGGCGGGGTCGTAGAGTGCGCGTGGCCACAATTTAGGGAAGGGTGCCGGACGAGGTCGACCTGGAAAAGTCAATTGGATTTGAGCATTTGTGTTTCTTCGAAAAGCCGCCACCCAGATGCGATTTGGGCGAAGGGGACCTCTAGCTGGGGAGCATTGTGTCCCTCCTTCGGACTCGCATATTCCCCCTCCTGGCTCGTTGGCACACTTCACAAAAAACAGCTTTGTTCGCGCTGGGACGCCGGGTTGTCGATAGGAATGCGGAATCCAGGCTTTGCCTAAATTTAGAGCTGTTTTGGAGTATGTAAATCTGTTTTATTGGCCAGGGATTGCATAACAATCAGCCGCAAGGTTCCAAAAAGATAGACAGTATACTACAATTAGTGCTAATATATTTTCTGCTAGTATCAAGTTTTTCAATAACTAATTTATAATAAGGTGCTAAGTGTTGAAGTTAAACTGTTATATTTTTTAGAGCTCTATTGGATCGTGTTTAGGAAATCTTGTAAAAATAGCGAATTTCACGCTTTATGTTTAAACATTGTTTTTGGAGAAAGTATTTATATTACAATATTTTAACCTGCATACAAAACCTTGGCTGCATTAATTGCCGTCGAATAAATATTTAAAAAGTTTTGTGAACATTTGCGTGGTGTACTGATGGGGCGCGACGTACTTTCTAGCCGTTTTTCCCCCGAATATTGCTAATTCTAAGCTCGAATAACAAACCCTTGAAAATTTTCGATTAAGTACCTCCCCCGCACTTCCCTCATCATCCGCTTTACATCCATCTCGAAAATCGACGTGGGTCGTCGCGGGGGGTTCGCGGGGGAAAAGTGTGGCGATGCTGAGGCGCGCTCCGGTCGGCCCTACTTGATGGGCCCTTTAAGGGGGCCATGGGATGGCCCGTGTGCTTGGGTTCGGGCCCATCCTCCTTCGGCGCCCTGATTATAGCTCTTTTATTCAGAATGATGGCACCGCACGCGTCAGGTTCCAGATGGGTGGGGGGGCTTTAGGTACTCGTACTTAGGATGGGGGTACAATCATGGCCGCAAGGATTCTGGGACAATTAACTGCTCAATTTCCGCTTTATAAATGGGGCGATTGGTCTGGATCTTTGATACGGTGCGCATCGGGCTGTATGATTTCATGGGGTACATTTTTATTTTTGTAAATTTTTATCTCGCTGTAGGTTCATTTCGCCGAATTTTACCTCGCAGGATTTTGTTCATTAATGCTAATTATGATAGTTGCTTGTAAAATTATTAAGAAATTAAGTGTTTTGGTATAATTGGATTTTTCAGATTTCAGAGACCAGATTTTGAACCAATGTTTCTCGCTGATGTTAGAAACTTTGGGTTTTATGTAGCGTTCAGTATTCTCTACCTAAAAAGTAGTGAATACTGCCAAGAAGTAAATTAGCATTAAATTACAGCAGTTGGCAACGTGATAGTCGGTAACATAAATGCTAAATGCTCTTTCTTGACCCTTTTGCCAGTGTTCCGAAAATCTTTGCAAAAGCCTCCCGAAATTCTTCCATTCCATAGATGTATCATAGTAACTAGCTTCCCTAGTTATTCGCCTCCTGAAAAATGTCTCCATCCTTCCTCCCCTAAAAACTTCCCGTGCCCAAATTTTGTTAATTCACCCGGATTCGCTACAAATTCCTGGCTCCAGCCAACGTGGGAATCAATCAGTCAAAAACAGCTCACATTTTTGCACCGCCGTCGCTACTATGTGCAGGCACAAATTATTTTCTATGTGGTCAGACTGATCAAAATCGAGGAACCAAATTTTGCGTGGCCATCGAAAAGAAAGGGTGGACAAAGAAGGAAAATAGACGCGCATCTCCACCGTCCACTCAGACGATGAGTGGGCAATCAAACTCAGTAGCTCTCGGCGGGTGAAAAAAAACTGCGCGGAAGGATCTATAGGGAGAAAAAGGACGAATTTCGCATATGGCATTTCAAAGATCTAATTTGAATTTGGGGCTTTATTCTAGTTGACTGGCAAAATTTCGCCAAGAAATTTGTAATTTTGAATTTTCAAGATTTGCAAATATGGGCGGTGTCTCCGAGCACTAAAATAAATCATAATATATTATTTGAAACCGGTATATCTGCCACTACGCTCACTGATTCTTAAATATACTTTGCATACCATTTTAAGCCTTGTTTTGACCTGTCACCGTCTCTTCAACCAAATATACTATCGAGCTCATTTCACACCCATCTCCCGCCTACAAACCCCATTCTTTCAAATTCACCCCTTCCGCATCGCAACTGCTTTAAGAATACCCTGCCCTAATCTGCCCTCCCCTATTTTGTGTTTTCAATAGCGGGGAGCAGGTGTGGAGAGCTGGATTAATAATCACCCCGTGTATGATCCCCCTTCACTATCGTTTTTTCTGATATTGTTGATTTGAGAGGCTGTTGCGAACGGGATGCCATTTAGAATCCCGTGGTTCTGGATTTGATTTGATGAACCGGCCGGGGCGATTTTCGTGGCTAGACAAAAATGCGGCTGGGATGGGGGCTGAGAGGCTTTTGCGGCGAAATAAAACACCGGCCATCGGGGCCTCGGGGCGGTCTCTAGCTAGAATTTGGCCAATTATTGCGCGTCCATTCCTCGTTTGTTCGTACTTTTCCCCTCCTGGCCCGTTTCTTCCACATACCTTCACCCATCCTCCGCTCCATTACTCACGTATTCTTGCTGGGGCCAGACATATTTTTTGTAGCAGTATATTTTCGATTTTTAGGGATAAGAGATTGACGGGTTGTGATGAGATATGGGCGGCCACAAGAAGTGATCCAGAGGTGAGGCTTTTACGGACTGATGACATGTCTAGGTCTTACTGTACCGTGGGTATTTGCTTGATTGGTTAGAGTCTAGTGGAGTTCAGTTGAGTCTAGGATGCAGCCTTACTTATCGTGGGAAATTTTTCTGGTCTTTAGAAGTTTTGGGTAAAGCTAGCTCCAGGGTCAGTAGATAGAATCTGCTAGGAGTTTCCAGTTGATTAGAAAACTTGAATTTGAGTAGGTCAGTGGCTTCTATTTGATCGTTAAAATGTAGATTGAATTTAAGTTTCGGAAGCGGAATGGGCTGAATTTAGCAAATCTGTACCGTACAAAATCTCGTCTTTTTATTGAAAGCTCCGAATTAGATTTGAAAATTCGCACGTTAGGTTAAAAAATTGTTTTATATTATTTAAGAAGTGAATTCTAGGCGCTAATCAAATATATAATCGTAAATTGCTATTATTCTAATTTTAAAATAGCAAAAGTTCCGTCCGAAACAGCAATCACTAAAAATCGACTTTGAATCGACTAAATAGCAAACTGCACTAAACTTACCAATTTTTTTAATAACGAAGTGCATCTGCTGGAGTGTTTGTATGTGTCTTTCTCTAAGTGTACCTATAGTGCGACATGCCCTTCTAATTGGCCTCCGTTCCTAATTCTTCATACGCCCCATCCCAAGTAAATCTTTTCAGCACGCAGGACTTCACCCCACTGCCACGGATTTTTCTCAAGCTTTTTGGTAATGGTAGTGGTGGCTCAATTCCTTTGGGCCAATTGGGGGAGGGCCACGAAATTCCAGAGGACCCCATCTTTCGCTTCTTTCGCATCCACATCCTTTAGCTGAACCTCCCTGGGCCATCTTTCTATTGGCTAGACAATGGTCGTTTGGGATCGGGGGCGCCAACTTTCACACATTCATGATGAGATCATTTTTGGACTGCTCGCTTCTTGGATAGCTTTGGGGGAGTCTGAAAAGAACTCGGCGCCGGGGGTATCCCGAAATTTTCGTAATGTTAAGAATATGGTTGTCTTCACTAAGTGTTTGCCGATTTTTAAACGTGCCCGCCTGCTACCGACCCTTTAAAAACGCCTCCGCGGCCGTATCGGAGCCGTAGATCTTTCACAAGAAAAAAAACTTTGATTTTCATAACGAAAATCGCGCTTTTTGTAAATTTTATTTTATTTATCCTGTCATTTCGCGCATCGCGTTAAGACCAAAAATCGGCACTGTCTTTAAGTACTTCCATATACTCCTGACGAAGCGACGCAAGATGCAGACTAATGTAGGCGAATGTAGATATTTTAAGAGTTTTTCATATATAAGGCCTACAGCGCAAATTAAGGACCAAAATCCTCCGGCATTTTAGCTTTTTTTATGAGCAACATACAGCATAACCCCGAATTATAGAGCCGCCTAAAAGTGGGAGTGTTCGAGCTGTGAACCTTCCGGACGTCGAGGTCGACGCATCGAGGTGAGTCTCTCTCCTCCCTTCCATTTATGTTTCCTCCCAGACGGCCCTAGTGGGCCCCCTACACTTTTTGATGAATGACCGATCGTAGGCCAGAAAAATTTGCCCAG